CATAATAAAAACAACAACAAAATTATTACTACTGCTGCTGCTGCTACTATTACTATATTGCAGGGAGGTGGACTAGAGAACCCTCAGGGTCCCTTCTGACTCCATAGTTCCATGATTCTATTATGATGATGACGATGTACTAAGAGGAATGTAAGTTGAGCAGTTAATGTGCATAATACCTGGCCAATGTGCACATTCACTGGGCCTCATGGAGTGTGTCAGAGCCAATCCAGTGCTCCTGTCCCACCCCACTGAGCTCAAGTGCCTCACCAGCCCATTCAATAAGTGGCAGCAACACTTTTCCTTTCCTTAGCAGACCATAACAATATTTTCCCTTTCCAATAGCACCAGCACAAGGCACTGTTCATACGGATCGTGTGACTCAATGTCTGCCCCATTCCAGATGGTGCTGAACATTTCGGAGAAATTTATTCCCGTTCCAGTTCCCAAATAGAGACTTCCTGTAATGGTGAGATTTATGAGGCCCTTCCTGGTGGGTGTTGCTCAATGCAACACTGCGGACCTTTGTTGAGTATGACTGGTTTAATTCACACTGAAATGGGAATAGCTAAGTTGTATGTCAGTGAAAGGGTTTAACTGGAGAATTCCATCGTAGCTAAAGAACAGCAAGATGAGCTCTCTCACATGGAGCTATTTCTAAGATATATAAAAGAAACTTCCGAAAAGTTTTACACATCACTTGGGAAGACAGGTGAACTAATACCAGTGTACTGGAAGAAGCAAAGATCACCAGTGCAGAAGCAATGATTCTTCAACATCCACTTCGTTGGACTGGTCATGTTGTGCTGATGCCTGATTATCGTCTTCCAAAGCAACTACTCTATTCCGAACTTTAAAATGGAAAGCGTAATGCTGGTGGTCAACAAAAGGGGTTGAAAGACTCTCTCAAGGCAAATCTTAAAAAAAAAAAAAAATGTAGTATAAACACTGACAACTGGAAAACACTGGCCTGCGAGTGGTCCAGTTGGAGAACAGCCTTTACCAAAGGTGTCATGGGCTTTGAAGACACTCGAACTCAGGACACAAGGGAGAAACGTGCTAAGAGGAAGGCATGCTTGACAAATCCACACCATGATCAACTCACACCCGGGAACCAATGTCCCCACTGTCGAAGGACGTGTGGATCCAGAATTGGCCTCCACAGTCACTTACAGACCCACTGTTAAAACCATGTTTATGGAAGACAATCTTACTCGGCTACAAGTGATCGCCAAAGAAGAAGATTATTATTATATATAGAGTTTATATACCGCCCTATACCCAGAGGTCTCAGGGCGGTTCACATAAAAAGATCACAGCATATAAAATAAAAATAAAAGCAATAACCCAATAATACACACACACACCGAAAAGAGCCACATTTTAAAGGGGTATGGGATGTTGATCAGGTCAACCAAAGACTTGGTTAAAAACGAACATCTTTGCCTGGCGCCTAAAGGTGTATAATGAAGGCACCAGGTGAACTTCCCTGGGGGGAGCATTCCACAGACAGGGAGCCACTGCAGAGAAGGCCCCGTTCTCTTCTTGCCACCCTCCGGACCTCTCAAGAAGGAGGTACATGAAGGAGGGCCTCAGAAAATGATCTCAGGGTCCAGGTAGGTTCATATGGAGAAAGGCGGTATTTTGGGATGTATATTTGATGTTTCTGTTCTGTTTTGAAGAAAGTTCCGCAAGTAAACTTTTGGATTAAACTTATAGGCCCGGACAATTTTTTTATTCCCAAAGGACTCTGTTTTTACACACCCAGTCGCTTCAAACTGCACAATATTATTTGCAATAACCAGCCCTTGCCAATCGTGCTGGCTGGGGGTGATGGGAATTGTGATCCCAAACATCTTGAGGGCACCAGGCTGCTGACTGCTGGCCTCTCACAAACAATACCTTCTGTAATGCTGGGAATTGCCACTCATTAACACTGTAAGGAAAGGATGATTAAACTAATAGTTACTGAGAAACATTTGCGGTGACAGGAGGCAGCGATTAGAATAAACTGACTTCTCTGTGCATTTAGACCTGGGAATAATGGGAAGTGGCAGGAAGCCAACAAGGGAACATGGCCCTCAGCTCAAATCAATGAATTACTCTGCCCCGCCTCCCACCTTTATAGCGCTACATGGTACACTAATGAAAAATCAATAGCCCCCTGTAATTCCAAATTGTACTCAATCGTTTGACCTGACAATTTCTTTCCTTGCTTTTTTTTCCCTTCCCCCCCAACCCCCATCACACTCAATTGGGGTTTTTTTTTCCTCTCCCTCCTTCCCTCCCCTCTCCCAGGGAGGACACAGTTCAGCTGAAAAGTGCAGTACTTCACCAGGCATACAGGAAGAATCTGCCACCGGCTACTAACAATTTATCCCAGCCGCACAAAGAGGAAGCGAGATCACTGTGCAGAGAGAATTCTACCAGGCCAGAGCTCAGTAGTAAAAACAAGCTGTTTGCATGCAAAACATCCCAGGATTAATCGCTGGCATCTCCTGGTGTGGCCGGGGAAAATCCCTCTCTGAAAGTGACACTTATTATTATTATTATTATTATTATTATTATTATTCTGCCATTTATCCGTAGATCTCAAGTGGTGGCACATAAACTTTGGAACTCCCTATTTTCTAGAGATGTCCCTGATTTAAAGAAGCCATCATGGTTTCTGATTTGATCCCAGAAGGTCCCACTTTTCCTTAAAAAGTAAAGGTACCCCTGACAGTTAAGTCCAGTCGCGAACGACTCTGGGGTTGCGGCGCTCATCTCGCTTTACAGGCTGAGGGAGCCGGCGTTTGTCCGCTTCCGCAGGCAGTTTTTCCTGGTCATGTGGCCAGAATGACTAAGCCGCTTCTGGTGAAACCAGAGCAGCGCATGGAACACCGTTTACCTTCCAGTGGTACCTATTTATCTACTTGTACTGTGTGCTTTCAAACTACTAGGTTGGCAGGAGCTGGGTCCAAACAACGGGAGCTCACCCCGTCGCGGGGCCTTGAACCGCCGGCCTTCTGATCGGCAAGGCCAAGCAGCGCAGTAGTTTAAACCACAGCGCCACCCGCATCCCCCCACTAGGATGTCCCTATTTTCATTGGAGAAATGTTGGAGGGTAAGGAGTTATCTGACCCCTGAGCTGTCTGAAGGCAATCCTGTGTAGGGAAGATTTCTTTAATGTTTAATTATGATTTCATATACAGTCAAACCTCATTCTGTGTCCGCCTCCGCTTGCATCCGCTTTGGCGAACGTCCGCGGCAAACCCAGAAGTACCAGAACGGGTTACTTCCAGGTTCACTGCTCGCACATGCGCATTAAATCGCGCGTCATGCATGCACAGACGTGGCGCTTCAATGTGTGCCATTTTGGGGTTGCAGCGGGGCCTCCGAAACAGATCCCCGCCGTATCCCGAAGTTCCACTGTATGTTGGAAGCTGCCCAGAGTGGCTGGGGCAATCCAATAAGATGTGTAGGGTATAAATAGCAAAATGATCATTATGGAATGGGACGCCCCTATTTTCATCAGAGAAATGTTGGAGGGTATGTTCTTAAATTCTTATACATCTGGCCATGTGGCATAGGCCTTGCCTCCTTCCTTCTGCTGCTTCTTCTCTCTATTCTACCTTTTCTCTGCATTACTGCTTTGCCTCCCTCCTCCCCACCCCACCCCGAACCCACCTTCCGCTTCCTTTCTTGGAATATTATCACAGGCTATCCATCCACCTGCTTCACTCCCTACTGTAGACATGCAGTGTGGAGCTTCAGCTGCAGGGCCTCTGCTGCCTGAGGCAAACCAGGACAGCTTAGTCCACTTTGCAGGATGCGTTTGCTGCCTCGGGCGTCTTTCTGCTTGGCCTGTGAGTGGGCTGCTGTTTCCCCTCCTCTCCCAAAATGTATTAGCACCACCTGCTGAATAGGAGCACAGGTAAGAATGACAGCTCTCAGGGGCAACAGGGTGCTAGATGAAGGGAGTTTTCCTAGGAGCATTCTGGGCATGCTGTTAGAAGTGCAGATTTTTTTAAGTGCACATAGGTCCATATAGTTAAAGCTATGCTTTTCCCAGTACAGTCGTACGTCGGGTTAAGCACTTAATTCATTCCGGAGGTCCATTCTTAACCTGAAACTGTTCTTAACCTGAGGCACCACTTTAACTAATGGGGCCTCCTCCTGCCACTGCGCTGCCGGAGCACGATTTCTGTTCTCATCCTGAAGCAAAGTTCTTAACCTGAGGTACTATTTCTGGGTTAGCAGAGTCTGTAACCTGAAGCGTATGTAACCTGAAGCAAATGTAACCCAAGGTACCACTGTAGTGGCATGGAAGTGAGAGCTGGACTATAAAGAAGGCTGATCATCGAAGAATTGATGCTTTTGAATTATGGTGCTGGAGGAGATTCTTGAGAGTCCCATGGACTGCAGGAAGATCAAACCTATCCATTCTGAAGGAAAGCAGCCCTGAGTGCTCACTGGAAGGACAGATCCTGAAGCTGAGGCTCCAATACTTTGGCCACCTCATGAGAAGAGAAGACTCCCTGGAAAAGACCCTGATGTTGGGAAAGATGGAGGGCACAAGGAGAAGGGGACGACAGAGGATGAGATGGTTGGACAGTGTTCTCGAAGCTACCAGCATGAGTTTGACTAAACTGCAGGAGGATGTGGGAGACAGGAGTGCCTGGCGTGCTCTGGTCCATGGGGTCACGAAGAATCGGAAATGACTAAATGACTAAACAACAACGAACAGCGGTGTTTATTCCAGTTCTGTTTGTGTCCAAGGAGGATCGAGCCAGGGTGTCAAGTGCAAAACACCAAAAAAAGGCAACAGAAGAATTGCCTTTGGCTGCGAACGTGGAGGGAAAATCACACTCCATCCTCAGAAAGTTGTTTAAAGCTACCCCACAGGTCCACTGCCCAGCGGACCACTGCAATTGAAAAAGGGCACTATCATAGGATGGCTGAGTTGGAAGGAATCCTGAGTGTCATCTAGTCCAACCCTCTGCAATACATGGTTTTTTGGCCCAAACGGGGGCTCAAACCCAAGACCCTGAGATTAAGGGTCTCATGCTCTACTGACTGAGCTATTCCAACAGCTTGACACAGCTTGGGACTAGACACAACTCATTCCCTGTGTGGGACAACAGAGTGCCCCATTTGCCCTAAAGGAGCAGCCTCCAGTGCTGGGATATCTCTGGAAATCCTCAGGGCAGGACATGAAGGCAGCAGCGTCTAATTTTCTTACCTACAGGAAGAAAGTCAACTTCTTCTGGAGACAAGCTGGAATCAGTAGGACATCAGATGTGTTTAAAGTTATGCTTTGTGACCTATAGTATTAGGGCATTTTCCGACAGGAAGAAAACAAGCAAACCCACCAACATTTCTTGGGTGTTTGGGTGTCTGCATTAATCACCATCAAGCGGCACAGAGAATAAAGGTGTGTGACTGAGTTTTCACAAGTCTTGCTCTCCTTAGCTACTATACTTTATTCTTTGAATCACTCGATGTTGAGCTCAGGGTGGTGGCAAGATGTATGTGCATTGCTAAGGGCCCTCGGTAAAATATGTTGTCTTGTGTTACTTGCGCAGGCAAAATTTATATCATCTATTTTTACCTTTGTGCTTTGAATATAAGGGACAACAGCTGCTGAATTTATATGTACAGTGCTTTATTTAAGCAGTTAATATGTGCATGCTTATGCAGAAGCGGTGGTGCTTGAGTGCAGCGGGAAGTCGACAGCCAGGAAAACTCCAGGTCTTGAATTTCTCCTCAGGCCGCACCTCACACTGCCCTGGTTTCATGCCCCAAATGTTTGTGCCTGGCTGGAATGCCCTCAAACACCCCTTGGCTTGTCTGGATGGAGAGGGAAGGGTGTGCCTAGAAGCTAGACTACTGTCCAAAGATAAAATTTGCATATGTTGCTCCACCCACATCCACTTCCTGCTCCGCCCACCAATGTCATGTGGCCTCTGGATAGTTTCCCAGAAGAGGATCGTCAGGGCGGGTGTCTTCTCCCTCAAACCACTCGTTGTTGTCCCACCACCAGTCCCCTGGCTCTGACCCTTCTTCCCTTTGGGGTTCCCCAGCTGATACTTTCCACCAGCCAGTCCATCACAGAATGTGGCCTTCAGCCTGAAAAGAGTTTCTCATCTCTGGAAGGCTGTTGAAGGCTACCAGCCATGATGGCTATGCTATCGTTCTGTGGTAGGTGAGGAGGTAAAGCTTCTGCATAGCAGTTGCTGGAAACCACAGGAGGGGAGAACGTTCTTGCGCTCAGATCCTACCTGATAGTTTCCTACAGATATTTGAAGGCATCTACCACATCTCCCCTTACACAAGACGAGTCTACTGGATCAGGCCAGTGGCCTGTCTAGTCCAGCATCCTGTTCTCACATATTTTAGGCTTTTCTTTTCTTTTCTTTTTTAGGAAGACCCCAAAATTGTTGATCTTCTTTTAGGAAAACCTGAAAGTTGTTTTTTAGACAAACCCCAAAGTTGCTGAGCTTGAGCTGTTTTTACAAAAACACCAAAAAAGGTGGTGTGATGATGATGATTTACCTCAGGCTGCACGGCAAGTTACACAGCTTCCAAATTACACTAAGGGGGGTGCTTTTGAGGGGTGGGGAGAGAAGCGGAGGAGGAGGAGAAATGAACACTTGTGATCCTCAGTCATGAATATGGCCAAAACCCATGATTTTTTAAAAACTGGCTTGCCTAAGATCCAGGACAAAGTGCCACCCTTCGGAAATTCCTCCTGGATATCAATTCCACCTTTGAAATCCCGGTGTCAGGGGTTCAGGGACAGAGGCACAGGGTAGGCAGGAGATGGAGAGCGATGGGGATGAATCCCAGGACAGCGAGGAAGAGGATGACAATGACTCAAGAGATTCCATGAGTCTTTCCAGCGAATCAGAGGATTCCCAGAAGGGGGCGCCGGTGGTCAAGCCCAGGGGAGCCCCAGGGGGGACGTGTCAGGAGCAGGGGGCCAGCTGGGCATCCCAAAGTGGCAGCTGGGTGTCAGGACCAGCCTCCCCGCCAGAGTGCAGCGAAGGGGGTGGAGGTTTCAGTGTGTCAGGGAAGCGGCTCCGGCAGCAGAGAAAGGAGGGAGGTCGGAGCAAGCCATCCTCCCGGAAGGGGAGGGGAGCAGTGAAGGGAGTAGTGTAGCTGTTGAAAGGAAGGTTAGAGGCTGGGCGCGCGCGCCAAGTTCAAATGTAGAGGCGCGCGGAAGTACAGGGAGCCCGGAGGAGGGGCCAGGTCCCAAAGCCCGCAGGAGGGGGCAAGAGCAGTCTGATTCCGCGTCAGAGGAATCCAGGAGGGGCGAAACCCCAGCGGGCAGAAGGACCCTGCGGAAAAGGAAAGAGAGAAAGAGGTGGAGCAGCGCAAGCCTCTTAAATTGGTGCAGGGGAGGGACGGATTCAGAGGGGACTTCAGCGGTCTAAGCGTAGCAGACGTAGGGCTGCGCGCCTAGGATGTCAAGCAAACAATGAACTGCAATAAACACTTTTGTATATAAGAAGACATAGGCGTTGGTCTTTTGTGAGCTGAGACTTGAGGCAGCCCTGACACCCGGTAATACCAGGGAAAATCTGGACGTATGGCAGCCTTACACAGTGGCCAAGCGGATGCCCATATGAGAAACACACAAGCAATATCTTCCTGAGTCAACAGGGCATTTGATTCTTCAGGATTGTTATATCTGACACGTACCTGCCTCCCTTTTTTTTGCTGCTGCTGCTGCGCTAGAGGAGGGAGATAAACAAGCCTAACCAGGCAAGAGATAGAGCAAAATGCAAGCGGAGTCCATCAGCTCCATCATGCTTCTGCTCGTGATTTAAATGTTACTGTTTGGTTCACCGCGTTGAAGGCAATTTCCCGAGCATGTGACTGCCCGACATGTTGAGACGCAGCGGGCTGGCCTCTAATTAATGGGTACACGACCCCGCCATGTTTATTTAGAGGGATCCCGGCGCCTCCAATCCATTTCCCTTGATGATGAAAGGCAACTTTCATTCAAGGAAAAGTTCATAAGCGCCAGCTGATTGACTGCATGCCGTACCTGCCTGCCTGACACTTAATTCATCATTATCACCATCACCCGCTCCATCAGTGGGATGGCTGCTGGTGGTTTGTTCGCCTAGTAGCTCGTGCGCAAACACAAGGGATTAATACACCTGGCTATTATTTATCAATGTAATGCCATCGGTGCTGCTGAATGGCTGGCAGTGGGAGGGCCATGGCAGCACGCGATATGCTTTGCCTTCAGAAGCCCCCTCCAATTAAAAAAAAAGGACTGCAATGGGGAACTTCAGAAACAGGCCTGTAACATCTGCTGCAGTGAGACAAAGCTACTCACATCTTCCATAAGCATTAGCATTGAACGGTAAAGATAAAGGGACCCCTGACCATTAGGTCCAGTCGTGGCCGACTCTGGGGTTGCGGCGCTCAACTTGCTTTATTGGCCGAGGGAGCCGGTGTACAGCTTCTGGGTTATGTGGCCAGCATGACTAAGCCGCTTCTGGCTAACCAGAGCAGCGCACGGAAACGCCGTTTACCTTCCCGCCAGAGCAGTACCTATTTATCTACTTGCACTTTGACGTGCTTTCGAACTGCTAGGTTGGCAGGAGCAGGCACCGAGCAATGGGAGCTCACCCCGTCACGGGGATTTGAACAGCCGACCTCCTGATCAGAAAGTCCTAGGCTCTGTAGTTTAACCCACAGCGCCACCTGTGTCCCTTGCATTGAACGGTAAGGCCAGATAAAAAGGGACTAAGCCCACACTCTAAGACAGGGGTAGGCAACCTAAGCCCCATGGGCCACAAGCGGCCCATGGGGGTCATTTAACTGGCCCACAAGCCACCCCTGAACCGAGCTGCCTGCTCAGCAAGTCCCCACATGCTGCGCTAAACCGGCACAGAGACTTGCTTCCACGGTGCCGGAAATTGCATCTGCACAGACGCAGACGCTGGAAATCGCGGTCACATAGTATTGGTTTCACTTTTATCGGGTTGGCTTCACATTCTGTCTATTTGTTTTTGGGTGGAGGGCAAGTCCTGGCTAATAATGATCTCTGCTCAAAATGAACTCAATGCAGGAGGGATTTATGAGGCTCCAGGGACCAGTAAGCAAGCCCAGCAGTGCTTCCAAACCTTGGGGGAATTGCGGGGCGGGGGGTGCAGCCAGGAGTCTCTCTCAGCCCTATCAGGACATACTGGGGATTGAACCTGGTACTTTCTGCTGTACCCCTGTACCCCCTGACATACAACTCTCTGCACAATAATGTGCAAAGCCACAGCCGTAACACAATAGGCCCATAGCGGTAGCAGAGGCTGGCACTGCAGGTGGGCAGAAGATAAAGGGAGAAGTTTTATGACAACTTAGGAGGCATATTGTGGTGGTTTTAATTATGGGTGTCATTTACATTGAATGCAATTGTATCGTTCTATATTTATATGCTGTAACCTGCCCTAGGATTGTTAATTTAATAAATAAATTTAATAAATAACAAAAAGCTTGAGAAATCCCAACTTCAGAAGAGCACCTCTGGGCGCTGAAATAAGTTTGTTGCGGCCACTGAACCAATCGGCTGGCTTCGCTGGTTCTGTTCAAGTTCAGCACAGCTGAGTCTGGCTAGGCCTTCCATCTGAAATGATCCGATTTGGCCCTTGAAAACAAACTGATGTGCTGAGCCCCATAAATATGTTTGCCACCGCTCTGAAAAGCGAAATAAAAACCCCATCCAGGATTTGCATGGCCACACGCAAGGAAACCCATAACAGATTCTCTCAATAAGACGGTGGGAAGCTGGCTACGCTTCCTTTGAAAATATGTGCGCATTCCACCGTTCATAAAATCCCCGCCAAAGTCCAGCCACTCGTTCTTTGCTGATCTCTTATTTTAGGACTGATTTGCATAGAGTTTGTCGTGAGCCAAATGTGGTCAGAAATGCAGCTGGGGTGATAAAATGGTGATCGGCTCGTAGGATGCAACCCAAGTCCTGCTGTTTGCAAAATGTTGAAATATATATTTATATTTTTACATATGATTTCTGGGAGGGGTTCTATACCAGGAGAGGGGATCCTCAGACACGGGTGCCCTCCAGATCTCTCTACCTGGCCTTTGAATCTCCCCACAGGCCACAAGGTCTCTCCCAAGGTCACTGGTCTTGCTTCTCATTCTCCTTGAGCATTTTCACCTTGTCTGGACTGTGTCCTTGAACTCAGATAATGTGTCTTGGTTGCCTAGATGGAAGACAGAGGTGGGTGAGAGGATGGGTGTGGGTGAAGAAAATAGCCTATTAGATGCTTTGCTCCACCTACTTATATCTCTGGCTCCACCCACCACTGTCATATAGCCCTGAGTATCCTGTGAAGGGTGGCACTGTGAGTTAAACCACAGAACCTAGGACTTCCCGATCAGAAGGTCGGTGGTACGAATCCCCGCGACGGGGTGACCTCCCGTTGTTCGGTCCCAGCTCCTGCCAACCTAGCAGCACGTCAAAGTGCAAGTAGATAAATAGGTACCGCTCCGGTGGGAAGGTAAACAGTGTTTCCGTGCGCTGCTCTGGTTCTCCAGAAGTGGCTTAGTCATGCTGACCACATGACCCGGAAGCTGTACGCCGGCTCCCTCAGCCAGTAAAGCAAGATGAGCACCACAGAGTCGGCCACGACTGGACCTAATGGTCAGGGGTCCCTTCACCTTTTATCCTGTGAAGAGGAACTGGCTTTTAAACCACCCTGAGAATTGTGGCTTTGTGAGGGAAATAGGAGGAGCCTCCTAACAACCCCCAGCAGTCTTAACAAACTACAGTTCCCGGGAGTCTTGAGGGGAAGCTGGGACTGTTAAAGTGCTTCAACTGTACAGTGCAGACGGGGCCTTGCAGAACATCTTCAGAAGAAGAAAGGGGTAAGGAGTAAACATTCAGCCGGCAACTCATTCAGCCATGCTGGTGCCAAACATATTGTTCAGCTTTCATTCATGTAATTCGCTCTACGCGGGGCTGCCCTTGAAACTGTCCCAGAAACTCCATTGGGTGCAGAATGCTGCAGCGAGGCTCCTCACGGGGTCCCTGCTATTGGAGCATATTCACCCAGTGGTGGAGTACAGTGTCAGATTTAAGGTGCTGGTTTTGACCTTTAAAGCCCTTCACGGCCTAGGACCCTCATACCTATGGGACCGCCTCTCCTGGTATGCCCCGCGGAGGACCTTAAGGTCCATAAACAGCAACACCCTAGAGGTCCCGGGCCCTAAGGAAGTCAGATTAGCCTCAACCAGAGCCAGGGCCTTTTCAACACTGGCTCCAGCCTGGTGGAATGCTCTGTCTCATGAGACCAGGGCCCTGCAGGATCTGATTTCTTTCCACAGGGCCTATAAGACAGAGTTGTTCCGCCTGGTCTTTGGCTTGGAATCAACTTGATCCCTTCCCCCTCTTTCCTTTTTTCTTTCTCTTTCTGTGATGGAACTCCTATTTGGGGACTTCCCTGGCTTTTTTCTGGCCCACATAGGACCGGTCTGGATAGTTGGCCTTGGTGAAGACTTGATGTTTCCATCCCCCCAAAAGTTTTTGATTTGAGTTCCTACTGAAATGAGGCTGCATTTTAATGTTTTAATGTCATATTTTAATCTTGTTTTTAAGTTGTATTTCAATCAATTGTTTTTATACCTGGTGCCAGCCGCCCTGAGCCCAGTCTTGGCTGGGGAGGGTGGGGTATAAATAAAATTTATTATTATTCATTCATTCATTGAATTTATATACCGCCCTATACCCGGAGGTTTCAGAGCAGTTCACAGAAAATATCACAATATATAAAATCAAAATAAGAACAATAACCCAGTAACACCCCTCCCCTTTAAAAAGCCATATTTTAAAAGGGTATAGAATGTTGATCAGATCGACCAAAGGCTTGGTTAAAAAGGAACGTTTTTGCCTGGCACCTAAAGGTGTGTAATGATGGTGCCAGGCGAACTTCCCTGGGGAGAGCATTCCACAGATGGGGAGCCACTGCAGAGAAGGCCCCGTTCTTGTGTTGCCACCCTCCGGACCTCTCAAGGAGGAGGCACACGAAGGAGGGCCTCAGAAGATGATCTCAGGGTCCAGGTAGGTTCATATGGAAAGAGGCAGTCCTTGAGGTATTGCGGTCCTGAGCTGTTTAAGGCTTTATAGGTCAAAACCAGCACTTTGAATTGGGCCCAGAAACTAACTGGTAGCCAGTGAAGTCGGACCAGGATCAATGTAATATGCCTACATCAATGAAGTCGAGAGGTGGTTTGTGTTGTATGGGCAGCCCGGGACCTCCACGCACACTGCCCAGGGTTGTACCCCAGGTAAAGGTAAAGGGATCCCTGACCATTAGATCCAGTCGTGGCCGACTCTGGGGTTGCAGCGCTCATCTCACTTTATTGGCCGAGGGAGCCGGCATACAGCTTCCGGGTCATGTGGCCAGCATGACTAAGCCACTTCTGGCGAACCAGAGCAACGCACGGAAATGCCGTTTACCTTCCCGCCAGAGCGGTACCTATTTATCTACTTGCACTTTGACGTGCTTTCGAACTGCTAGGTTGGCAGGAGCAGGGACCGAGCAACGGGAGCTCACCCCGTCGTGGGGATTCGAACCACTGACCTTCTGATCGGCAAGTCCTAGGCTCTGTGATTTAACCCACAGCGCCACCCGCATACAACCCTGCTAAAGCAGCAAAAAAGAACACAGAAGGCAGTGGTTACGAGTTACCGGTCTCTGCAGCCACAGCAGGCTCTGCGTTTCTCCAGTGGTTTGGCTTCACCCCAAAGGTGCACTCCATTGTCTGTCGAGACAGACAGATGCCAAGAAGAAAAAGACAGGGCCTATAAATCAGCGTTTTTATTTCTATCTAGCTCAGCTCACTGTGCCTACAACTGGACAGCTCCTTTGCTCTTGCAAAAAATAATCGGTTTTCTGACCTGCTGGACAGCTCCTCATCCTCTTGGCAAGAGGGCAAGCGAAGCTACACAGTCATGGGGCCTGAATGAGTCGCTCAGCTATGAACACCAGAGAAGTGAGCTTGGGTCAGTTAATACCTTTCCACCTAACCTACCTCACAGGGCTGTTGTGAGGATCAGATTTGGGAGCCGTTTACATCCCCTTGAACTCCTTGGTGTGGTATAAAAGTAATAAATAAATAAAGCCAAGGCTCTTGCAGGAGTAAAAAAAAAATTATTATTATTTTATTAATTTATTTAACATATTACAAAATATAAGCAAAATATTGCAAATATACATACATATTTCAGATAAGCACACATATATAAAAAGAGGAAAAGAGGAAAAAAGAAGAAAAGAAAAAAGAAGAAATAAAGAGAAAAAAGAAGAAAAGTTGGAAGAATTTCTTCCAAATTTATTCTACAAATATCTTAATATGAAAATATTAATAAGATTTCATTGATTGACTTCCATCGCTTACACTGCACTTCCTATATACATTTTGTGCAAGATTGTATCTGTTATTCCGTATTATTCCCATACAATCTCACACGAATATTCTAATCAATAAGTTTTCTAAATCTTTCCTAAATCTATTCTAAACACAACCAATACTTCACATTGAATCTTTGTCTACATAAATTTATGTAGATAAAAATATTAAAAGGAAGCAGCAGCACTCCAGAGAGGGAGCCCCTCCAAAAAAGATTGCACAATGAGGAGCGAACATACCAAGTGTCAGGGGTGGGGACGGATTGGAGTATTCTGATGGAAGGCATGGCTGGCTGGAACACTGAAGAGGAGCACTTCACACAGCCACAGTGTCAGCCTAGCATCAGATTTATTTATTTTTTAATTGATATTGAGTAGTGGGGGAGGGACAGTTACTACTGGGAACGCAGCCCATGGAGGAAGTCTAATCCTCCCCTCCTCCACCACATCACCCCCATGAAAACTGCCCCCTGTGGCAATTAGCCTTAGAAAAATGCCATCATTGGCACCACAGAGAACTTTTATTAAAAAATGTATTTTTATTAAAGATTTTCTTGGTTTACAAAAGTGTGTCTTTTTTTCAAGTAACATTTTTTTTACAGATCAGTTTCATTTGTTGAAACATTAGGAAGAAAGGGGGGAAAGAGGTGGAAGGGGAAAGGTGAGTGGGGGTGGGGTCAGGTGGCGATGTTTCTATTTTACTTAATATATGTGAGGTTTTGTGTCATCGTTGCTTGCGCAGGTTCTCTGCTATTCACTTGTGTTTCTTTGGTGGTGATCTTTGTCTTCATGTGTGAGTGGGGTGGGTGGGTGTTTTGGATCAGGTTCGCCATATTGATTTGTAACGAAAAGAAAAGAACTCACTCTGAAACTTACCTACAGGTGGTACCTAAACCAAGGAAGCCAGCGCTAATATGCCCAGGAACCTCACCAAAATGCTGAAGAGGATGCACCTCCACAGGCACATACCTCCACATGTGGTGGGAGTGTCCCAAAATCCAACTATTCTGGACAACAACCATAGGAGAAATATGTAAAATAACTAAGCAAGTATTAGAAATCACCCCAGAATTGGCCCTACTAAACATCTTCCAGGAAAATAATGCAAGGGTATTTTTTGAGGGGGTCATGGCTCACTAGGAGAGAGTTAAAACTCACGTTGCCCCTACACACACACACACTCAATTTGCATTTTTTTAAAAGGGAAGGGAGTGCATGTTGCACATTTAACATAAGGTGTGGTTCGACTTTTCACTTCAGATCCCACTTGTGAAGCTATATTTGCAAATCACCTTGTGTTAGGCCAGGAGGGATGCCTCCATTGGCCATTAACCCCCATGGCTGCTGTGTTGTATGCAATCACACATTTACCGGCACATCTCGTTTGAACACAACCATCCCCCAGCTCTCAATTTTGCATGTGCATCATGGCAGCTTGGGGTTTCAGCAAATAGCTCTGTCACTATTTACAGGTACTCTGCCCCTGAGCTATAAAAGGGGAAATCCCCTCATTCAAATTCTGCATCAGTTCTGAACGCAATACATAAGCTCCTATCTCTCAGCCCCGACACCTGCAAGATGGGGGCTACCCTATAGGGCTGCAGTTGCAAAACATGCACTTCGAACACACGCGCATATTGGCTACATGTTATTCCACCCCCAGGTTTTTCTTTGCCTTTCTCAGCCTCTGCCTCTGGTCACCCGTTCTTCTCCCTCTGCCCCCCTGTCCAAGAAAAGCCCCCTTTCCCGGCTTGTCATTTGTTGCTAATCAGCTGTCAGCGTCAAAGCGATGACGAGAGGTTCATCTCTCACCGAGGCTAATGGCCTTAAAAGTCACCGAGTCAATGTCAATGGGAAGGCTCCAATTCAATCAGAGGGCTGGATGAGGGATGGTTCCTGCTGACATTAGCACTCATTTTGAGTTCAAGCATCTGGGGCCTAGTAAATAACCATCAGTGGGTGGGTCCGGGGGACAGGTCATTAGCCCCGCGAAAAATAAATATCGCTTCCCTTGATGGCTGCGAGTAATTTAGCTCAGACGAGGAAATTTCACCCTAGATTAAGTATGATGAGGCAGTATCAGTCAGTGGAGGCCAAACAGTGAGGGCTTGATGAGTTCGGAGGAAATTTATATGCAGCTGGCTGAATGCAAGATGAGTTCAAAGAAATGATGGACCTCTTTCTCCCAGTCTTTAGCCATGGAAAGGAGCCAGGCTTAGTCTCTTCCCCGTCCAAAGCTCTCCACCTCCGCATGTCTGCTCCATTTTTAATAGCTCATTGGCAGAAATGTCCTAGAACGCAACAGTACTCTTATTTTTGCAATGGAGGAGGCCAAGGACCAACCTTTTTTCACCCAATCTCCCACCCACAAAATGTCAGCTGGTTGTAATTATGCATAGGAAGCTGCCTTACATCGAGTCAGACCATTGGTCCATTTAGTTCAGTATCCTTTACACTGATTGGCAGTGACTCACCAGGGTTTCTTGCAGGGGTCCCTCCCAGTCCCGTTGGAGATGCCAACCAGGGAATGATCCTAGGATCTTCTGCATGGAATATGGATGCTCTACTATTGAGCAATGGTGGCCATTCGCCATTTCTTAAGAAGAAAAGAATCTGCACATGCTCAGAGGCATTCAACTAAGGTTTACTCTGAGTAGACCACTGAAATTAATGAACGTGGCTAAGTTAAGGTCCATTAACTTCAACGGGTCTACTTTGTATAAACCTTACTTGACCGCCACCCAAAGCCTTGATCTCTAATCCTGGGTACCGTTTGTTTGATTTTGATATTTCCATCCCTCCTTCCTAGCTAACATCAGTAAAAAAAATGAATTTAAGGTCTGGAGCACATCAAATCAACACTTTTTTAGAAAACAAAAACCAGACAGAAATATTTATGTACGCTATATGATGGTAGTTATGAGGTGGTAAAAGAAAGGCCCTCTGTGTGTGCTTAAGAGCACTATTTTCATTTTCCTTATGAACAAGGGCTGAATTAGACCACTGAAAATAAATTTCAGGGTTTAGCCCTAAGTAGGAATGAGCGAATTTGTCAATTTCAGATTTTTCTGTTTTCCATTTTTCTAACCTTAAGTTCAGTTCTCTACATTTCTACATCAGTTTGCTTTTTTTTAAAAAAGGCCTCATGACAATTCAACACTTTAAAAGAAATTTCTCATAATATACACATTTGTATGCAGTTCTGCCTAATATATACATTTTTGCAAAAAAATATAATGCATTTCTGTATGCCATTTTCACCAATATTTTCACACTTTGCCCTAATAAAGGATGGCAGTGTTTTGGTTCACGTATTGATCCTCAAAGAGCAAACTAGGTTCACCTTTACATGCAAAACTGAATCCAATTCCTTCCTTCCCTGCTCCTAGGCTGAATGTTTGTGCCTAATAACCTGTTGGGTGATTGTGCACAATCAGAAGCAATTCAACTTCCCACAGCAGAGGTAGCAGAGGCTGTTTTACTTAGTAAACGCAAAACACACTAGACCAGGCATGGCCAAATTTGGCCCTCCAGATGTTTTCGGACTACAACTCCCAGCATCCCTAGCTAACAGGACCAGTGGTCAGGGGTGATGGGAACTGTAGTCCCAAAACATCTGGAGGGCCAAGTTTGGCCTTGCTTGCACTAGACATACACTATGCCTAGTTGCTTCAAGAAAACTCCTCTCTCTGAGCCCAGAGAGGGTTATCAGCCTTCAGAGTCCTTGCTCCAAAGTTGCCAAAGTCCTGCAACTTCAGTCCTCTGTTTCTTCTGCACAAGTCTTTCCAGCTCTTCTCCACAATTCTTCACCAGAATGTTGTAGGTGGAGCTTCTGATAAGAGCCAACGCTACATGAAAATCTGCACAGCGAGATATGATAGTCATGAATGCTCTGCAGCTGCATCCTGGGAAAAAAGCTTTTGTACCATCTTATGGAGAATGGTAGGGACGCGGGTGGCATTATGGGTTAAACCACAGAGCCTAGGACTTGCCGATCAGAAGGTTGGCGGTTCGAATCCCCGTGACGGGGTGAGCTCCCATTGCTCGGTCCCAGCTCCTGCCAACCTAGCAGTTTGAAAGCACGTCAAAGTGCAAGTAGATAAATAGGTATCACTCTGGCAGGAAGGTAAACGGCGTTTCTGTGCTCTGCTCTGGTACACCAGAAGTGGCTTAGTCATGCTGGCCACATGACCCGGGCACTGTACACCAGCTCCCTCAGCCAGTAAAGTGGGATGAGCGCCACAACCCCAGAGTCGGTCACAACTGGACCTAATGGTCAGGGGTCCCTTTACCTTATTATGGAGAATTAACTCATTCCTTAACACGCTAAGGAGCCCAGATTAAAACTGTGCCTGGAGGAAGTTGTTTACAACGAATGGGTCAGCTGGTGGCAAGTTAATATGAAGCTGCGTGGTAGTCAGAAGTATCTCTAGCAACAGGCTGGCCATCCCTCTTTGCAGCATTGCAGAGTCCCTGTGGCAGGCAAACCTACTAGCTCAAGAAAATTGCAGGAATTGTCCCTCCCCTTTGTCCTTTCCCAGCCTCCTTTTTTGGTTGTACACAAATGGAATGTTAAGCCGCCAATTGTATCTCAACGCTGCTTTTTGCTCGTTCCATCGATCTCAATCTCACCTGCCAAGCGCTCAGGTGACAATTAATGCTGCCCACATTGCCTGAGTGTCATTGCAGTTCCCTGGCGGGGGAAATGTGGAAAGTTGAACTCTGGTAGCCAAGTGTAATCGGGAGTATCCAAGATGCTCTGCTAAACAAAAACCCCAAAGACCCCACTGTGCTAAAGCTCTGGAAAGAAGTGTGGAAGCCACTGGAAACAAGATGGTCAAATGCAAAATGTGACAGGCAGTTCTCAGACCTTCAATAGCAGTGCAGACTGTAAAACAGTTTCCAAGTTTCCCTGTCCTTGTTCCACACATGATTGACTGTCATGGGAGCAGACAGCAGTGCCAAATTTATATATAAGCTAAACAAGCTATAGATTAGGGCCCCACTCTCTTGGGGGCCCTAAAAAAAATTAAAGGAAAAATACCTGGATGTACATTTCCGAAATATAAGATAAAAAACAAATAAAATAAAACCTACATACAGCAACAGTGTTTTGTTTTGTTTTGTGTTGTGTTGTGTAGGCTCCTATGATATAATTAATGGGCCCCGCCTGCTAACCTGCTCCCTAAAATATCACTGATTTGCTATTATTATATCATGTTATAGCAAGCTTCTAGAGACTAGATTATGAGTCTTTGTAAACTGTGTTTCTAAAGGAACTTTTGTTATTGCCAAATGCCAATGTGTTTGCATTAATACGTCTGTTATGGATAAAAAAATCATTTTAAGTTAGAGCTTAATAATTATTTCACTATTAATATACTTCTTAACTGTATTTCAGTTCAACAATTACTCTGATAAAATACCTGTTTTGTTATGTGCAAATGGCTTTAGATACCTCTTAGGTCCATAAATTCCCATATAGCATATACTCAACACAAAAAAACAGTGACAATTTGTTGTTGACAAAGGACAGCTGGACATATAAAGGGCCCCATTACCTTCAGTAGCTTAGGGCCTCATCAAACCTAAATCCGGCCCTGGCGGGCTGGATGTCATGATGTCACAATATATTAAAGTTCTACTAGCAGGGCTCCACGTGTGATTGGCTGTCACGAGGGAGGTGGAATGTCATGATGTCACAACATACTAAAGCTCTACTAGCTGGACACTGCAGCAGGGATAGCGAATGTGGTGCTCTTCTGGACTACAATTCCCATCAGCTCCAGCCAGCATGGCCAATGGTGAGAGATAGTGGGAGGTGTAGTCCACCACATCTGGAGGGCACCATGTTGACTATGGCTGCACTGCAGAGAGCGTTAAGCATGAAATTGCTGGTATTAGTAAGGGATGCGTGTTGCGGCTGGAACTTGTAACCTAGTCAAAAGGAAGGGGGGAAAAGAATCCTTCCTGTTCATATTGTAGCCACACATTATTCAAAAGCATAATGAAATTCCAGAGAACATCAGATGCTGAAGTACATGCAGATAATTTTGTTTTTATAACCAATTTCAGACAGATAAATACTAGCCTCCTTTCCAATTTCCCCCCCATGAAACCGAAGTGTCAGTGAGATTTACAGCCCCCTCAAGTTCTCTTTTCATAGGAACATTCATTTACATAAACAGATAATCCAAGATAAAAATTTCCATTAGACAAAGGTGAAATGGATCAATTTTCTCTGCCAAGGCAAATCTTAAATCTTGAACAGATAGGGTCATTATTACACACCAGCCCCATTTCAGAAATAATGTATTTTTTTTTAAAATAAAAAAAACCACACCATCCGATAGCAGCCATTTCCAGCTTTCCAATTATCTTTAAGAAAAGCTTATTCTGTGGACAATAAAGCACATTACGGCACAATATGATACAGTCCATAAAGATCACAACGTTTTATGAAAGGTTAAAAAGAAAGCTCAGCACATTTAAGGGGGAATGTCATAACCCACAAAGACTTTCGAGACTTTGCCCTGACAGCACGCTCCCGATGTGTAAACATGGTGGTCAGAGAAATTTGACAGCGTTTCGTTTTGCTTAAAAACTATAGCCACCCTGCCATAAAAGTGGGCCCTTGCATTAGGTTAAACAACAGAGAGGAATGGTGGTATCAGAAGATGTTGTTTTCTCTTTGGAGAAGACGCTAATTTAGGCTGCGTTCTACCTCCTGCTTGCTACACACTCACGGCATTTCCAGAACTGTGTTTTTAATCTGCGTTCACACAATGCCGTTATCCTGCTGGTGCACTCACACAGCGCTCTCTCTCACTCCTTCCCTGCAAACAGCAGCAACTCGGCCATCAGGGGATCAGGCAAGGGCTACCAATGCAAAAGTCAAGGGCTCTGATCTGCCAACAAGCCCTTGTTTTCAGTTCCAGGCAGGTGGCAAAACAGACATTTATTGCATTCCTGGTGTGCAACCTGACACAAAAAAGCTCACATTTTTTATTTATTTAATAAAGTTCATATGCCGCTTGGTGGCAGGAAAAGCCCAAAGTGGCTTTCAAAGCGTAATTCATGGGAGATGTACCACATACCCTCCAAAATTTTCTCCAATGAACATAGGGGCACCCTATATAACAACAACATCAACAACTTTATTATTTTTTCCCTGCCCATCTGACTGGCTTGCTCCAGCCACTCTGGGCAGCTTCCAACATATATAAAAACATAATAAAACATTTTTTAAAACTTCCATATACAGGGCTACCATCAGATGTTGTCTAAAGATTGGATAGTTACTTAACTCTTTGGCTCGGGGGTCGCAAAACTCCATACCCTCCAACATTTCTCCAATGAAAATAGGAACATGCTAAGGAATTGAAGCTTTTGAATTATGGTGCTGGAGGAGACTCTTGAGGGTCCCGTGGACTGCAAGAAGATCAAACCTCTCCATTCTGAAGGAAATCAGCCCTGAGTGCTCACTGGAAGGACAGATCCTGAAGCTGAGGCTCCAATGGCCACCTCATGAGAAGAGAGAACTCCCTGGAAAAGACCCTGATGTTGGGGAAGATTGAGGGCACAAGGAGAAGGGGACGACAGAGGACAAGATGGTTGGACAGTGTTCTTGAAGCTACCAGCATGAGTTTGACCAAACTGCGGGAGGCAGTGGAAGACAGGAGTGCCTGGCGTGCTCTGGTCCATGGGGTCACGAAGAGTCAGACTCGACTAAACAACAAGGAAAATCGGGACATTCCAGGATCAAATCAGAAACCGGGACGGCATCTGTAAAGCTGGGGCTGTCCCTGGAAAATAGGGACACTTGGAGGGTCTGGATGGAGCACAACTCCCTCAAGTTCCTAGTCCTTATGAAGGTGAAGATTGGCTTGAGAATGCTGAAATATCGGGAGGCTGAACAAGATTTTCAGTGTTCCAGGGGAGAAGTTTCTGCGCTTGACTCCGCCACTTATACCACACTAGTTCTCTTTACTTACTATCCCATAATATTTTTTGGGGGGTGGCAATAATCCCCTTGTTTTGCTCCACTGATGAATAGCGATACTAACCATATAATGGATAGTTAGACTTTCCATAATTTCCATTCAGTTTGAATGACCTAATTCACACTTTCCTGAAACATTGTGAAAACCGAGCTATACTTTGAAATTCTCATTTCTTCATGTTTCATGATGCGCTTCTCCAGCCAAGTCATGTGTGCCAAAAATGTGCATATCAGTGGAAAGTGTGCATAAAATCGCATATGTTAGCAAAAGCAACATGCAGAAGAAATGCATGGGTTGGACTCTTAATCTCAGGGTTGTGGGTTTGAGCCACATGTGGGGCAAAAGATTCGGGGTTGGACTAGATGACCCTCGTGGTCCCTTCCAACTCTACAATTCTATGATTAATGAAATTAACATAAGACAAAAGTGCATACCAAATAAACTGTGTACATTAGGAGACATGTATACTAAAATACTGACAAACTTTCATCAGGACTTTTTTTAAAAAATACCAAACATGTGCAAGAATGTGGAGAGCTGAACTGAAGGCTTAAAAAATGAGAAAATGGATAGAAACTGAGATATTCCTCCATCCCAAGCTGCAATCCTCTGCATGGGAGTAAATCCCTCTGAATGCAGTGAGTGGGGCTTACTTCTGAGTAGACACGCCTCGGCTGCTGCCCAAGGTGGCAACCCTGGTTTCCCACCTAGGAAGCCACAGCATAATTTAAAAGAAGACAAAGATCAAGTTTCTCCAGAGCCTCTGGCAGCGGAGTTTATGAACGGTGACAGAAACAAGAGGGATGCACTAGAAATCACTCTCTAATAGACACAGCCATCAAAGCCAAAAACAAGCAGCAGCAAATGCAGCTCATATTTTCTTCGGGGAAGAAACGTATTTCTTTGCTAGTTAATGAAACCACATTCCCTTAGGAATCAGGGGCTGGTGGAGGAGAGGAATGGGGCTTGAAGAAACTATGGAAAGATCAAGTGGCAATTTAACAGTACAATCCTCAATATACTATTGACCCAAACTTGCAAAGCTAGGCAGGGAAAACAGCAGAAATTTTTCTGCACAGAAATATTGGGAGAAATTGTGTTTGATTTGCTATCTACAATATAATGATCAGAGTTTGCATTTTCCTTTTCCTTTTCTGGTAGTCACAACTAATGCAAGGAACCAATTTGTCTCGCTCTCAAGGAAGGCAGTCCAATTGAAATCAGTAGGTCTTATGCATCAGATTGCATTGCGCATTGTGTGTCGATGGAATATACAGCCTGATCTTGTGTATATTATTTATTGGAATATGGGGATTACTCCCAACAAATGTGCGTACGATTACAGCCTCAAGCACAGCTTGATTCCATGGAAATAGGCTTACAGGTTTTGCTTTTAAATCAAATCCTAAAAAAATCTCACTTTTATAAAACTACTTTTCCAGTTTCAATACCCCAGCTTTTGTGTTTGCTTTCAAACATCCCTTCCAAACATCACTGAGGACTAAGAACTCTTCCTTGCCTGTTTTAGTAAAAACTGAGATACACAGAAACACAAATTCTATGCCAAGCATTAAATTCTGGATAGAATTCCATGCATGTGTAAAAACATAGTGGTTTTCCTTCACTTTTGTGTAGTGTTTAATTGGCTAAAACAATGGGTGCTATGGGTTCACACCTACCTGGAAATCAAACCTTCTGCCCCTGTGCTCAGGTACAAGTGAGTGTATGTTTCAGTTTCTCAGCGACACTCTGCACATGCTCTGAAGATATGCTGGAGCACAGTGCACAATATGGGGCTGACTCCTGACAAACCCTGGGTGATATTAAGCCACAGTCCTATTGTGTGAAACTTTTTCAGTTGTTGTTTTTTTAAAGTGTGCCTAGACAATTATTAGTTGGGTAGCTGGAAGAGCCATCATAACATCTAATGATGTAGAGATGCTTGCATTATAAAATTCACAGCTGGGTAGCTACATGGCTCAAGGCAAGTCCCCCCCGCTCAGTTCCCTCTTTTTAAAGCCAGTATTTTAGTAACGTGTGGGTAGATGTTTATTAAAACATTATGTCTATTAAAAATATATGACGCATCCATCGGTCATTCCATGTGATGTGATGCCAGGCTGTTTATCAGGCTCTCCACCTGGGATGATGCACGGGAAAATCTGGCAAATGTGTTTGACAAGCCCGCAGCCTCATAATTTAGTAGGCCATCAAACAATAAATACATTTCAACTCCCAGAAATTAAATCACCGGAGCCTCTCAGCCAGTAGGCCTGTCCATAAACTTGGGGTGAGCATTGGCGTGCGGCTTCTCCGCTGTCACTCAAAACTTGCAACGAGGCCTGACAGTCCAAAAGGTAGTAATTGCTTCATCTTCGCCTCGCGTCTGAAGTTGTACAGATGAATAATAATGCTGCCGTTCTTTCGAGAGGCAGTGGGGGGAGAAAGAGGAGAGGAGAAACAACCCCCACTGAATTATGCCACTGTTGTTGCTGCTGCCTCGTGCATTAGGATCGGGGTCTTGGATCTCTTCAGATCACAGCAGCTGGTAGTTGGGGCATTGCTTGGGGGGTGTCTCAGGGGGTCTGGGATGGGGAGAAGAGGAGATGGACCCTTAAGGGGTCCCTGTCAGAGCTTGGGAGCCCAGGAAACAGCCAAAGAGGATGAAGAGAGAAAAGGAACTGGCTGGGTTTTTGCTCTATCCTTCCTTACGTTCTAAGCAAGGCTGGATTAACCAAAAAGCAAAATAAACATGTGCTTAGAACATCATAGGAAGGGGGCACCACAGAAATTTTCCATTGCTGGATTTCTAACATTAATGGTCACAAATTGCTCAGCTAAACATTCATTTTCTCAGTTGAAGTATATTTTTAAAATCCCCTAAACGGCAGACTGAGTGGTACACCTTACCAGAATAGACTCTGTTTATGCTCTCAGGCTGTTGATTGCACGAAACATATTTTACTATACTGTGGGCTGTATAAACAAGCCGGGAACCAATTAATTAAGCCCTTATTGGTCAATTTACCTGGAAACCCTGTTATCTTTTATTTCAAGTATCTCCTTGAAGATAAGGAAAATTATATAACCCTGGCCGTGGCAAAAATATCTCACAGAGGTAGAAAGAATTACAAATCAACATGTCTTGGATAAAACAGTGACTGCCTAGTTTTGTCTCTTCTGCATTTCTGCTGTACTTTGCTTTTGAAATTGTTTTTGCAGGTCTTTGGACCGTAATAAAGAATGTGTGTGTGTATTAAAAATCCCAACAGAACTACTGTTGGGTGCCTTATCTCTACTAAGCATAGAAGCAGATGTATTACATAAGATTAGTTTTGAGGATGTGATCAAAGACTTTGCAATTAGAAAAAGCAGGAAAAATGTTTCAAATATAAGTAAAATGGAAGCATACAAAAATAAACATTATTTCCCATCCTACTGCAGGAAGGGGGGCAGCGGGCCAGGCCTTAGAAGGACAGAAAAGAGGTCCTGGGGATTCCTTGAGTTGATGTCAATCAGAAACGTTTGATTCTCAGCTCCCATGCTTCTGCTGAGATACCCAATATCACATGAGCTCAGTGTCGTAGCATGGGTTGCCAGCACCCAGGGCTGCGCAGAGGGGTGGGAGAGAGGGAATGGATGGAGTATGCATGTGCATTCAAGTGCCTAACTGCGTCTGCATCACCCAGGAAATCACAGCCACAGAGATAAGAAAATAAGAGTCATTCTGTTGCCTGGAGAGGTCACTTCCTGGTTCGCATGGAGAAGCATTTTCAACGGAGCCCAGCAATGGAAGCATGCAGCTGTATTGAGGCAGCACTGGGAGTTGGAATTTTGTACCCCTAACAATTTTGCGCCCGGGTCAACTGCCCCTGTGGCTGCACGCTATGCCATTGCATGAATGCTTACAGAAAGAGGCATACAGGCATGGAAGATGCTAAAGATTGTGTCTTTCCTGCGCTACTTGAAAACCACAAGAAACTCCAAGTCAGCGGTAGCCAGCTCAGTGCCCTCCCAAATCATTATGGGGCAGGGTTAAGGAGATGGGTCTATAGGCTACAACCACCTCTCCCAACCTGGTGCCACCAGATGTCTTGTACCACAACCCCATCACTGCTGAGTGTTGCTGACTGACTCATCACCATCACTGCAGAACTGTCTTTTCCTTTAAGAATTCGCCTTCGTCTATAAAATGTTGAATCCAGCCCTGTTTCCCAGACAATTATCCAGAAACCATTGCGTATGCGCTTGTTTTTGCACTAGATCGCACTTTAACATAAAAGGACAATTGTCATTAAGCCTAATGGCCAGCAAAATAAATCTGAGCCAGCCAAGGGGGTGACAGCACACAGCCTCATTGCAAACTGTGGGTGGTGTTATTTCTATTAATGCTGCACAAACAAATGGCCTCCTCTTCCCACTGTAATAATTCCAAAGTGATTTAAAACAAGAGAGCATTTTGGAGTAGAGGGCATGGCTCCATGAATTAGAAAGATACTATGGCACAATTTACAGTTGGCTTGGATTTACCTTCCAGACCCTATATATTGGCTTAGTCTGTGAGCAAGCCCATTTTTTTAAACTACCATCAGCTCTGTGGAGTTAATACAACGGCAATCGAGCAAGCTGTTCTGCCTCATGTCCCATAATTGCGCCTCACACTCAGTGTGTCGAAACACAGAATATTAGCAAATCCAGCTGCCCTCTGAAATTTCAGCTCTGTTCAAGAGAGGAGTATCTGAAGGGCTCCCCCCTCCCCAGACCTCAGCTTCCTTGGGGAGATGCATCAGGCGAAAATGTCAGCTTGCTATAGACAGCCCCATAATGTGCAGAGTTAAAAGATATCCATGCAGAACTGAAAGGAAAGCCATCATTCTAGAGGTAGCATTCAAACTCAGTCCACAGTTATTAAAAGCATCACAAATGCCCCCTTCCAGGGGCGGCGGGTGCTGATGGGGACGGGTAGGGCAGAAGGCAGGGAGCCCAACAGTCGGTGGTGCCAGATCCAACGGCAGGCAGAGGCAACTAATTCTAGTTTCATCCTTATCCACTTCCCTGCCGAGTCCTCCAAGGGCCAACGCTGAGACTGAGGAGGAGGAAGAAGCTGGCAGGTAATGACACCCCCTGGACTGGCTGTCTGTAAAACAGGCAGGGTGTTGGCATGCAGAGGGCTGGGAGGCCAGCTGGCAAGCCCCAGCTTGGCCATTTCCATCCACCGATCCGTGCAAAGACCACCACCTCTGCTCCAATGTAAATCAGCGACCCGGGCTTCACAGCCAGGGCACACTATCAGCAGATAAAACTGCGCACACAGAATAGGCGTGAGGCTTGTGGAAGCATACTACAACTACAGATTTATTAATCATAAATCAGGACAAAGAAACACGTTGTCTCTCTCTCTCATGTCGTCTCAGAGAGAACAGCTAAAAGCAATACACACAACGGAAGTTCCCAGCATACTGTGCTGGAATGTAAACAGACATGTGACACATAACAATCCCACCTTAAGGTGGAATGGAAATGTCAACACAGGGATAGGGGGCTGCCTGGTGGCACACTGAATTTGGTGGGGCAGTGCCCCATTCACATTAATGGACCACTTTCAAGGCTCGCTTCTTGCCCAACCAAAGGGAAATTTGAGAAGCACCCTTCATAAATTCACTGGCATCAGCAATGCCACAGTCGTTTGGCAGCATCAATTTCATTCCCGATATACCAGTTAGGTGAGCAGGGTGGATGGAGCAGGAGCACAGCCTATGTTGAACTATACTTAAGAGAAAAAGCTGCTGCATACCAAGTTAGACCATTGGGTTCCCTTACTCCAGTATGGTCTACATGGACCAGGTGGCATGTCAGGAGTGAGCCAGCAGTAGATCACCCAGAGTAGGTGAAGTTATTAGAAAAACAGGATCTGCACAGGAGTGTCAGGCCTAATGAGCACAGCAACTCTTCTTTGGCAGGTTTTGCCCCTATGAAGCAGTTGCGAAGACTTAAGGTTCCTGCCTTCCCACAGCTGCCTATTTCTCCTCCTCTCCCAGTTTTTTCTCAAGGAATCTGAGACAGTGCCTGCGTGTCTGCCTTTGCGCCTCGCACATTATGCCTCTACTGGTCCTGGAAGACCAGCGGGGAAGAGAGCTTGGAGCTTGATTTCTACACGTTTCCTTCGCATTGCTTGCATTGCTTTTTAATCTAGACTCATGCATAGATATATAGCAGGCATAGGCAAACTCGGCCCTCCAGATGTTTTGAGACTACAACTCCCATCATCCCTGACCACTGGTCCTGTTAGCTAGGGGTGATGGGAGTTGTAGTCCCAAAACATCTGGAGGGCTGAGTTTGCCTATGCCTGATATATAGCTTCTGCCGCAATCAATCTGGTAGTTTTTAGAAAGCCACAACAAAACTCTCTTTGTGGCCTTTGTTGAGAACAGGGACTACCAGGGCAGCCCTTCTGTTCCTCTATCAGTGAAAGCACTACTTCCAATGGAAATTATGCAGAGACAGAGTGACATCTGCTGGAAAGCGTGAGGAAAACTAAGTTTTGGCAAATGGTAAAGGGAAATGTTAAGTTTAAGACAGGGTTACAAAGTAGATTCTGAGTGGCCAGTAAAATTGTAAGTTCAGGTTCTGTCCAAGACCTATCAAGAGTTTTTTCAGCTTCACCCATAAATGTGGGCACCAGGTTCAACTCCGACTCTACCCCAGCTTCTCAGAGTCATCTCATCCAGACTCTCCTCTGGCTCACGTGGTTTTGGGGGGGCAGGGGAATCATTGAATTATAGCGTTGGAAGGGACCCTAGAACCATCTAGTCCCACCCCCTACAATGCAGAAGTCTCAGCTTAAGAATCCATGACAGATGACCACCCAACCTCTGCTTAAAAACCTCCAAGGAAGGAGAGTCCACCACCTCCCAAGGGAAACTGTCAAACAGCTCTTACAGTCAGAAAGTTCTTCCTGGTATTTGGTGGAAATCTCCTTTCAAGTAGCTTGAATGCATTGGAAAGAATGTTTAAAATCAAGAGCTAGCAGCCTTAAGATCAGCCTTCACCAACCTGGTGCCCACCAGTTATTTGGGGACAGCAACTCCCATCAACTCCAGCTAGATTTTTGTTGGTTTTTTCTTTTAACAAAGTGGTGAAAGAAAGTACAAAGAACACATTAAGATATAGCATAATGCAATGTGTATTATGAGTTCCAGATAGATAGATAGATAGATAGATAGATAGAGTGGTACCTCTGGTTAGACGCTTCAGGTACAGACACTTCAGGTTACAGACTCCACTAACCCAGAAATAGTACCTTGGGTTAAGAACTTTGCTTCAGGATGAGAACAGAAATCGTACAGCGGCAGCGCAGCAGCAGCGGGAGGCTTCAGGTGCTTCAGGTTAAGAACAGTTTCAGGTTAAGAACGGACCTCCGGAATGAATTAAGTTCTTAACCCAAGGTACCATTGTAGATAGACACACACACACACACACACACACTCGTAAATCCTTATTTCAAACATCGTGGTATATCAGTATATCGCAATGGAAAAGGTAAAGGACCCCTGGACGGTTAAGCCCAGTCAAAGGCAACTACGGGGCGAGGCAAGGTGCTCATCTTGTTTTTCAGTTCCAGGGAGCCAGTGTTTGCCCACAGACAGCTTTCCGAGTCATGTGGCTAGCATGACTAAACTGCTTCTGGTACAACAAGACATCATGACGAGTGCCAGAGCACACAGAAATGCAGTTTACCTTCCCGCTGCAGCAGTACCTATTTATCTACTTGCACTGGTATGCTTTCGAACTGATAGGTTGGCAGGAGCTGGGAAAGAGCAATGGGAGTTCACCCCGTCACGTGGATTCGAACCACCAACTTTCTGAGCTGCAAGCGCAAGAGGCTCAGTGGTTTAGACCACAGTGCCACCCGCGTCCCTCGTTGCAATGTTTAGCTGACGATGTATCACAATGTTGAAAAACAGCTATTGCCCAGCCCCAGCCACTGTGTCAAACAGGAACTGCACAGACTGAGTAGATGCTGTAGAAGGGTGTGTATTTCACATAGTATATGAACTAACAGAGCAGGAAGATGCTGTTGCAAATGGTGATGTGGAAAAACTCTTAAGTCATTATCAGCGGGGAGCGGGGAACGTAATAGGACATTTTCAAAACACTCACATGGTGAGGGGAAGTAAGTGCGTGATTGAATGCAGGAAATATCTCAAAGTCGTCATTATGTGGCTGGAACTGGCAGAATGGTGGCATCAGATGATACAGCATGGCAGAATATAAAAACTGGTGGGTTATGTAGCATAGCTGGCAGTGTAATTTAATTGCAATTTATAAGGCCACAACATCTGGCCCTTGGCAGCTGTCTTTCCATCTTTTTATTTCATAGTCCAGGTTTTCTGTGTCATGTTGGGTGGGGGTGGAGATTGGGTAGGGAAAGAATTTTCACATTTGGGGTTGAGTCTTATGGGGGGGAAACCGCTTTTGCTGCCAAATGAGAGAAATACAGAGCGCATGGGAAGGATGTCCCTGTGTACCCAGGTAATTATATTGGTGTTCTAGTGATCCATATTTAGAAGCAACTTCTATGCTCAGAAAATCTCCCAGATCAAAACAGACAAAGATACCAGCTGGGTTCAGACCAATTTAGGCTGGGTACACACCATGCATTTTGAGCACATTGCTTCCCCCCAAGTATTCTAGGAACTGTCGTTCACCCCTACAATTCCAAGCAGCCTTAACAGCTCCTAGGGTTCTTCTTTGATGCAGAGGGTGTACTTTAAATGTATGTCATAAATGTAGCAGTCCGATATCCTTTTCCCCACTGTAAGCCACCAAATGCCTCTGGGAAACATACAAAAAAGGCATGAAAGCAGTTGCTGCCTACTACTGCCTATTGTTCAGCAGCCTACTACCTTTGACTCTGGAAGTTTCCCTATCTTTGGATGAAGGGCAGTATAAAGGTAAAGCGATCCCTGACCGTTAAGTCCAGTCGCAGACGACTCTGGGGTTACGGCACTCATCTTGCTTTAATGGCCGAGGGTGCCGGTGTACAGCTTCCGGGTCATGTGGCCAGCATGACTAAGCCGCTTCTGGCGAAACCAGAGCAACGCACCGAAACGGCATTTACCTTCCCGCCGGAGCGGTACCTATTTATCTACTTGCACTTTGACATGCTTTCGAACTGCTAGGTTGGCAGGAGCTGGAACCGAGCAACGGGAGCTCACCCCCGTCGCGGGGATTCGAACCGCTGACCGTCTGATCGGCAAGCCCTAGGCTCTGTGGTTTAATCCACAGTGCCACCTGTGTCCCATGAAGGGCAGTATACGTGTCTAAATAATAACAATATCATCATAATTCGTAGCCATCAATAGTTTTATCCTCCATGATAAAACCAGAGGGCATCGGGGTGCTGGGAAGATCTCTGCTTGAAAACAAGGGGTGCATCTTATGCCCTTTAAGATATTATTATCATTATTATATCATTATTTCCAGTCCAGCAATAAAGGACCGTCCCTTTAGAAGGCATTATTTAAAAAGTATTCCCAGAATCTTAAAGCCAAACTTATGCAACAGCAGCCACCAAATTTGTTTACTTCATGTCCCATCTATCTATTCACATATAAAACAGGAGCTGATGTGGAATTCTTACATGAAAAGGCATGCGGACGCAGGGCCGTCTTAAGCATATCTGGCGCCGTGGTGCAAAGATCCCTTGGGCACCCCCCCCCCCGGTTTCCCAGAGTTGTCGACCTTTTCCCAAGTCTCTGTGGGGTTTGCTCTCCTCCCGCAGAGGCTTGGGAAGGAAGCTGCACACCCACCAACCATATGGTTGATGGGACACAGCTGGAGGGTGTGCAGGGAAAGGGGAGTCCGCCGGCAAAGCCGCACAGCTCCCCCATTCGCTGGGGCACCCCTGAGAGGCCAGCGCCCGGGAGCAACGCGCCAGTAAGCCCAATAGGAAAGACGGCTCTGTGTGGAGGTCTGGTGGTTCACCCCCAATATTGGAGCTCAGCTTTGACAAAAGTGCCTGAGTAAAAGGTGGGGAGAGGAGAAAGGAGGGCTCAGATCCTCTCAGCTGCATGCCTTTTCATGGAAATCATTTCTTTTACTTAATTACACACTACTTGGTTATAGTAAAATATTACAGGAAATACTTATAGTATAAAATAAAACGTTTGAGTCCCAGCCAGGTAAAAAGGCGGGGTATTATAATAATACCTCTGCTAAAAAGCAGAGACATCACCTTGCCAACAAAGGTCCGTACAGTTAAAGCTAAGGTTTTCCCAGTAGTGATGTATGGAAGTGAGAGCTGGACCATGAAGAAGGCTGATCGCCGAAGAATTGATGCTTTTGAATTATGGTGCTGGAGGAGACTCTTGAGAGTCCCATGGACTGCAAGAAGATCCAACCTCTCCATTCTGAAGGAAATCAGCCCTGAGTGCTCATTGGAAGGACAGATCCTGAAGCTGAGGCTCCAATACTTTGGCCACCTCATGAGAAGAGAAGACTCCCTGGAAAAGACCCTGATGTTGGGAAAGATGGAGGGCACAAGGAGAAGGGGACGACAGAGGACGAGATGGTGGGACAGTGTTCTCGAAGCTACCAGCATGAGTTTGACCAAACTGCGGGAGGCAGTGGAAGACAGGAGTGCCTGGCGTGCTCTGGTCCATGGAGTCACAAAGAGTCAGACACGACTAAACAACAATTATAATAATAATAACAACAACAAATACAAATTAAAAATAAATATATGAAATTAACGGCCCTAACTTTGCCACGGCCATTCACCTCTCTTCAGGTGAATAGGAACCGACTGGAAGAATAAGAAGAAGAATTTAAAAATAAATATATGAAATTAACGGCCATAACAGCCACAGCCATTCATCTCTCTTCAGGTGAAATAGGAACCGATTACAGGGGAGAGAAGCACCAGCCAATCAGGCCGCTCCCTTCCAGCCACGCCTCCCGGTTTCCCAAAGGATTCAAAATCCCAAGCCCCGGGTGCCAACCGGCACCGCGGTTCCCTTTCGACTACGCATGCGCGAGTCCTTAACCCTCTTCTCCCCCGCCCCTCTCTCTCCCGTCGCTACGCAACGTCAGGGCTCGAAGCGCCCGCTCGCCCCCTTGGTTTGTTTGGTTCGGAGCGAGCGAGCGCGCGCCCGGCACGTGCGCCGCTGACCAGGCGGGGCTTCGGCGCCTGATTGGTTGCCGCCGTGCGGGCGACGCGACTTTCGCGCGACGACGGCGCAGTCCGAGGGGGGCGGGGCAGCGGGCCCGGCCGGCGAAGTGGGAGCGGCGCGGTGCGGCGTTCGTTCTTCGTCGCTGAGGCGGGGAGCGGCCCTTTGCCCGGCGCGATGCGGGGAGGGCTGGGGCTGCTGAGGCGGCGGCGGCGACCGGGGTGAGCGGCGGGGCGAGGGCTGTGTGGCGGGCCGGGTTGCTAGGGGCGACTCCTCCGCCTTCCCAATGGCTCGCGTGAGGCGCGCAGGGCAGCCGCCTGACGCGCGTCCTCTGCTCGGCATCGGTTGCTTCCAGCGGGGCTTAACTCCCAGGGAAGCGCGTGCATGTCTGTGTCGTAGAGAGATTGCATGATCCCCAATGAAAGGGCTGGTGCTTATTTAACTGCCGGCAGTAATAATAATAATAATAATAATTTATTATTATTTGTACCCTGCCCATCTGGCTGGGTTTCTCCAGCCACTCTGGGCGGCTTCCAACAAAGATTTTAAAAAATACATTAAAAAGTCACACTGGTAGGGTTTTAATAGATGCAAATGGTGTATGCATGAATGTAAGGGTGCTTGGAATGCGTTTATTAAAAATGCAGTGGCTTGTTAGCAATTGTGTACTCGCTGGGGAAACCTAGTCAGATGGATTATTATCATCGTCATATATGCAGTGCTTTTTTTCTTTAAAAAAATGTTTAGGGGTGCTCTCATTTTCCTACTCATATTGAAATACAGCCCCTCAATGAGGCCAAACTTAGATTCACAAAATGTGTAGGGGTATGCGTACCCCCAGAAAAAAGCACTGCTTATATACCTATCTATAGTATCCTATTACAGTTTCAAGTATCTTTTTTGTTTTTTCATTTCTTTCACTTAACTTGTCCACTAAAATTTTCCAACAAAACATAAATTTAAAAAACCACATACACACACATACACATAGTTTTAATTCTGTTGTTATCATTACTTACAGACCTATATATTGCATTGTATTAATTTCAAACACCTTTTTTGTTTCTTTTCTTGCATTTCTTTCACTTGTCCACTGAAAATTTTCAACAAAACATACATTAAAAAACCACATAGAGATTTTTAATTCTGTCAATGTTTAATTGATTGGGGGGATTTCTATGTTTTTACCTGTTCTTATTTTTTATCTATAAGTCCCTGTCAGGCGGTGGGGTGAGGAATGTGGAGTATAAATAAATATATAATTATTATAATTGTGGCAGCTGTGAGACTCCCACAATGTTTACCTGCAGACTTCAAACCAGACTTGCTCCCTATGTATTTCATAATCAAGATGGTGGTGATATTCAGTAGTTAAAACAGTGGATTGTTAACAACCCTATTTGCCTTTAAAAAAAGTATATCCAATTGCTGCCTTGGGTTCAATTTATCAATCCAACAGGCTCTATTGGTGAAAGTTTCTCCTGTGCTTTATAACTTCTGGGTTATAACTTCTTGTCTCAGCGTTCTTCTCAGGAAAAGAAAAATACCTTGGCACATAGTCTTGTCTATAGTGTGAAACTATTAAACTTCTCCAAGTTGGATGTATGTAAGGGGGGGGGGGGAGAGATGACCTTATTTTATATTCTTTCCAAAAATATGTAAGCCACTTGATGATTTAAAAATAACTCCTCAAAGTGGTTTACAATGAAAAAGAGATATTAAGAGCTGCTGCATGTTAGCTCCCTAAGTATATTGAACTGATAAGGCGCTGAAAGGTCTCTGTATAACTTTAGAGAACTACTTTGTGATAGACAGGTGAAACGTGTAGATGGATGTTATCATATGTCTTGATGTGTTTGCAGGTAAACTGTAGCAGAGGCCTTCAGTACTACTAGGTGTTTTTTACTCTTGCCTTAATTGGTGAGTGAAATACTGCTGGAATGCATCAGAAGCTCCTGAAGAGTGCTCATTACATTGAGCTTGGAAGTTACCAGTACTGGCCGGTTTTGGTCCCTCGGGGAATTCGCTTATACACCTATGAGCAGATTCCAGTGTTCCTTAAGGACAATCCATACATCACAGATGGCTACAGAGCATACCTACCTTCCAGGCTATGTTTGAAAAGGTATGGAATTGATCCAAATGGTTCAACTTTGAAGTACAACATCAGGCCTAAGTAGTTGATGGATTTAATACTTTTACTTGAAAACCACTTGTTTCACTAAATGTCTTGCTTTTCTGTAATCAAAGAAGCTAGCAAAGTAAGGGCATACATTTCATTAAATATGCTTCTTTATGAGAGTTTATACAGCCTTTTGTCTCTGCTGACCCAACTGCTGATCCTGTTTCAAAGTGTAGAGCCAGATGTCCTGCTACTTTTGCCAGTGCAATAAATTAAGTTGGTTAGAGTGTGGTGCTGATAACTCCAAGACTGCAGGTTCAATCCCCATAAAGGCACCTGCATATTCCGGCATCACGGGGTTGGACTAGATGACCCTCAAGGTCCCTTTCAACTCTGCAGTTCTATGAATGCAAAGGAATGCAAAGCTCTGTGAATGCAACCAAGCATTAGTAGAAATGAGCCACACAAGAGAGCAGGATGAATACTGACTAGCTTGCATAAGAGCAATAGAGAATACAGCAAGCGTCTAATCTGGAACACATGATCAGGGTGTCAGTTACAAAAATTGTTCCTTTGACCTTGCTCATAGTCATTACTGTTTTCTTCTCCATTTCCCAGCCTATTCATTTTATCCAATGAAACAGTTAACATCTGGAGTCACTTACTGGGCTTCTTCCTCTTCTTCACTTTGGGCATATATGACATGACTTCTGTGTTGCCTTCAGCGAGTGCCTCTAGAGAAGATTTTGTTATTTGTTCTATTTGTCTCTTCTGCTTTCAAGTAAGTCCCTTGGTAAATTGCAGTCAAACATTTTTTGTGCTTGTGTCAGGGACAACAGACAGGAAAAAAGGTCTGCATTCTGTCAAAAGCTGAGGCTTGTAGATTCTTTCTGCTAACTCTAGCCCACTTACAGTGTCTTGACACTGGTGGTTGGAGAACCTGCGTTCAGGCCACCTCAGCCTTATATTGTATTTATTTAAGTAAACATTTTGCTTCCTGTTCTCATTTAAAATCAGTTGCACCAAACAACCTATGAATAAGCTACAAGCTTCACTCCACTGCAGATTGAAAGGGGGGGACTGTTACTAGGGCCTAGATTATAGAATATCTTGCCCCATACATTATGGTTTTTTCCAGGCTGATGGCTTTTTGTGATGCAACGATATTTTTTAAACTTAGCTGCTGAGCCTGTCTTCATTTCACACTGTAGCTGGCTGTTTTAAGCTGTCCTGAGTGAGGCAAATGCATTGAGAGAGTGGATATACATTTCCTAACAAATTGAAAAATGTCCCCATGCCTTTGTGAGTATTTAGTGGAGTCAAGCATCTTTATTGGTTGAGGCCAAGGTGCCTGGGGTGCTTCAGGAGGCTAGGGACAAAACAAGCTTTGCATTCTCACCTGGGAGTAAAGCCTGTGGGCCTTGCATCAGAGTAAGCATGCATAGGATTGTACTGAAGCGGGACCTGCGGTGAGGCTGAAGATTTGATCTCTGCCACTTCTGGTTGAGGTAAAGCAGACTTCTTAAGATATATGGGGTGTCACTTGACTAAAGAAATCATTTTGATAATGTTGTAAAATAGCAATGCAGCATATCTGTGTTTGGGTAAAAACAATAGTTCCAAAGGAAGAAGTATTAAAACATGAGTCTTTAAAAATCTGCTGCCTGATTAATCAGGGCTACCTTTTTAGTCAATTAAGTAACAGAGATCAGACCAGAATTCTTTTCTAGCAGCAGACCAATCTTCCTCTTGCAGATCCAAAATCCTAAAATTTAATCCAGTTGCTTTTAAAGTTGTTACTGCTTGACGCTGAAGATACTAGACTTTGAGGAAATTAATGCAATTTGTTTGAATGTTTTTATAGGTCTGTATGCTTTGCTCAGTAGGGTATCACCTCTTCTGTTGTCATCGCTCAGAGAAGACCGGTCGACGGTGGATGGCACTGGATTATGCAGGAATTTCCATTGGTATCCTGGGCTGTTATGTATCTGGAGTCTTTTACGCATTTTATTGCAATAATGTAAGTTTAACAGTCAGGTTGACTGGTGTAGCTTTCCCATGGATAAAAATCAAATAAAAAGTAGATCTAAAGGAGAAAAATTTCTAAACTTTGAAAAATTCAGCAGTTTTAGTCTTGCTTTAATATAAGTGTATATAGATAGAGTTATAGATGATATAGTTATATTATGCATGTGCTATTTTAATTTTTTTAAAAACAGACTTTGAGGTCAGGTTAGTGTTCTAGCTTGAAATGCAGAATTTTTGTCCTGAACAAGTGTACCGTATTTCATAGTCCAAGAGAGACAGTATGTTGCATGCAAGGAATCAAACTACTCAGCAGCCTCACTTTTCTCAGCCGGTTTAACAAGAGGCAGCTGAAGAAATGTCCATGGATCTCCTAAACTGGATCTTCCACAATACTGTGTGGTATGAAATGTTTTAAGATCATTCTGTTCTGTTATGGCAGCTCAACTATATTTCCAACCTCTTTTCTAAGGAAAAAGAAAATATTAAAGGCAATCTTTCCCGATAGGAAGGAGTGGAGTGTTTTTATATATTAAATGACAGTTCTCCAGAGTAAATGTCGGTTCTTTAAGAATCCTGCAGTAGATAATTTGATTGCCTTGGTTAATCATGCAGTTCATTGCTTGAAATTGTGGGTGCATCTAATAGTTGGTTGCAGTTGCTAGCATCGGCATAAAATAAATCCTGCCTGTGGAAGGTATTTTAACTACCAGTATAAACCCTGGAATGTGTGGCATTTTCTCAAGGAAAAAGTGACTAAGTGACCAAGCTGTCAGTATGAAAAGCTGTCAGTATTTCTATATATTTTAAACAGTGTGTTAATGTTCATAATACTGTCGTACCTCAGAAGTCGAACGCCTTGCTAGTCGAACATTTTGGCTCCCAAATTCCACAAACCCAGAAGTGAGTGTTCCGGTTTGCGAACGTTCTTTGGAACCCAAACGTCCGACTCGGGTTCTGTGGCTTCCAATTGGCTGCAGGAGCTTCTGTTTGACTTCCGAGGTACGACTAAATTGAAATCTGCTTTAGAGCGATTTATAGAATTATAGATTTGGAAGGGACCCAAGGGTCCAACCCCCTGTAATGCAGGGATCTAAATTGTTACTCCAATCTGTATAATGAGGAATGAAGAAGCTTGCCTGTAAAACTACTACACGTTTTGAGGGAGAGCCCTGTTCAAGAGGGACTTCAAAACACGTGGCATCAAATGAAACATGTTGAAATAAATAATTGAATCTGGATTTTAAAAAATAAAATAATTCTGTTGCTTAGATGTAAAACACACTTTTATTGTATGTGCCAAAAGAGAATACAGTGCTACCTTTGTGCCTTTTGTAGCTCTGCTGCAATCTGGAAAAGGCTGCTTTAAAAGCACATTCCAAAATTTGGGAAAAATCCATTTCATTTTGCTCTATTTTGATGCATATATTTTATTCTTATCACTTAGTGGCTGCCTACTTTGTTTCCCTCCTTTTTCCAGTACTGGCGTCAAGTATACTTGATCACTGTCCTTGCTATGATCTTGGCAGTATTCTTTGCCCAGATCCACCCCAGTTACCTCACTCAGCAGTGGCACAGGCTGCGCTCAGTCATCTTTTGCTCTGTGTCAGGTTACGGAATCATTCCTACCATCCACTGGGTTTGGCTCAACGGAGGTGTTGGTGCGTCTATTGTGCAGGTAAGCTAAGGACTCACCAGGCTTGCATCCCAAACCTAACTGGGTTTTGCTCCAAAGTACCATATTTTCCTATGTATAAGATGAGGTTTTTTGCTTTAAAATTTTAGTTAAAAAATGGGGGGTCTTATACATGGAGGATGGGCATACAGGGGAGGGATTTTTTCCAATTTTAAACAAATGCCCAGGATTTTGGCTTGGGTGGACTGAGGCAGTCCCTACAGCCACTGTCCCCTCACTGTCTTCCCCATGCTGGCTGCGTGCTGGTGACTGGCTCGCCTCCTGCGGCCCCTGCCAGCTTGACCACCAGAGCAAGAGCAGCAGCTGCCGAGAGCTGCCTCAGCTACCTCTTCTTGCACTTCTTTCCTTTTTTTCTCTTGCCCTCAAACCCCTGCCCCTGGCCTGCTCCTGCCTTCCTTGGCTCAGTTTGCCCTAGCTGCCTTCCCCGTGCTCTGCCTCAGTGTTCTGCTTGGGAGCCTCTTGCCAATTGCTTGCATCCAGAAACAGCCACCGCTGAGGGGGAACAGTTTCCATACCACTGGGTGCTGGAAACTTTGAGGGTGATCTTGCCCAACAAAAGGGACACGGGTGGCGCTCTGGGTTAAACCACAGAGCCTAGGGCTTGCTGTTCAAAAGGTCAGCGGTTCGAATCCCCGTGACAGGTTGAGCTCCCTTTGCTCGGTTCCAGCTCTTGCCAACCTAGCAGTTCAAAAGCACATCAAAGTGCAAGTAGATAAATAGGTACCACGCCAGGGGGAAGGTAAACAGCGTTTCCATGCGATGCTCTGGTTCACCAGAAGCGGCTTAGTCATGCTGGCCACATGACCCGGAAGCTGTATGCCGGCTCCCTTGGCCAGTAAAGCGAGATGAGCGCCGCAACCCCAGAGTCGTCCACGACTGGACCTAACGGTCAGGGGTCCCTTTACCTTTACCTGCCCAACAAAAATTCAACAACTTTCTGCCCCCACTTCTGCTGTAGGGTTGTGTTTCCTTAAACTTTGGATTCAAAAAAATAGGGGTCGTCTTATACATGGGGCATCTCATACATGGAAAAATACAGTAAGTTCCATTGACTTTATTAAGACTTCATGATCAGCTGGTTTAGGAATGGCACCTTTTACTTTATCCTTTTTTTAAAGGAACATTTTCTATAAACAAACACAATGGCAAAGAACAGTAGAAATGGAAACTTAGATTGCATTGTTAGATTGCATTGTTTGTTTTTCAGTTGTGTACATCATTAGCCTTGATCCACGGTAGTTAGCTTGATAGCTACAAAGACATAATGAAGGGTGTGGAGAGAAGAGCTTTGTTGTGGGAGAGTTCTTCTGTAAAAGAAGCTTGTATCCACCTTGGCTTCTTTTTTTAGGAACATAATTGACTCTGGAGAAAAGCTATGGGGAGAAGGTGGCTCAGGAATGTTCAAGGTGCATAAATTCTGTTTGTGCCTTTTGCTTAGAAACAAGAAAATCAAGTTAGTAGACCTGGGTTGCATCCTGGTTTTAGGAACCTACTTAACAATTTAGGGACCTACTTAACATTTTAAATCTGTTGAAATGGATTGCTGTCTTGCCTCTCAGGTATTAGATAGATAGAAAGAAAGATGGATGAGGATCTTGCTAACCCCTTTCTGCTGCTTTTTTCTTTCAGGAATTTGCTCCCCGTGTGATTGTGATGTACTTGATCGCTGCCATAGCATTTCTCTTTTATATTTCTAAAGTCCCAGAAAGATATTTCCCAGGTAGGGCTGATTTTTTTTGGTAGCTGAATTATCCAGGGCACAGGCCATTCACTGTTAATTAAAGGTTGTGGGAGCACTTATTGCCCTCTACCTCTCTTCCCCATGGCTGTTGTTCCCAGCTGTATGGTATAATAAAGGAGCATGCCATGTGCCTCCATGCACAAGTTTTTAAATACCTACCTAAGAATTCAGCTCCCAGAACGCACCCAAAGGTACATCTTGCCCAGTGTTCTTGTTTCTAACAGTACAACGCTAAGTGGCTTGGTAGCTAACGTGAAAGGAATGCCACCCCTGTTGGAAAGAGAATTGTCTGAGAAGGTCTAGTATTATTTTGTTTCCCAGAAATACATTATGATGCTGGGAATCTGTCTCACATTCTGACTGGGAAGGAGACTTATCTCAGCCAGACCACTTTGTGTTACACTGGAATAAACCTACCCTGGTGCGTCAAAGCACTGTCCCAACGCATAGAAGTAGCTTCTGCTACTGAATGTTTTAGCTAAATTAATGTGTGTGTTTTTCTTTTCCAACAGGGCAGTTAAACTACCTCGGCTCGAGCCACCAAGTATGGCACATCCTTGCAGTAGTGATGCTGTACTGGTGGCATCAGTCTACCGTCTACATCATGCAGTATAGACACAGCAAACCTTGCCCTGACCATAGTGCACATTAGCACGCAAAGGTGTGGCGGTTTCCTGTGCAGGAGGAGATGAAGATAGACTGGGTTGTGATGGGCAAGGGGTTTTGCCTTTTTGTTGCCACAGTTAAAAAGACAGTGGTTGCCCAGAAGTTATAAAGGGTCTCCAGCTGGCTATTCAGGAAGAGGAGTCCTTTGGGGGGTAAACTGGACAGTAACAAAAGCCCTGGAGCTCTTAGGTCACCAGCTGGAAAGGAGACAGAGTACTGCATGCTTCCCTTTTCACTTGTGCTTCTGCTGCTCCTGATTCATAGAAAGCTGCTTTATACAGAGTCAGACCATTGGTCTGCCTAAACTTGGAATTGCACCCTAACTGGCAGGAGATGCCAGGGATTGAAGCTGGGGTATATATATATATTTGCATGCAAAGCATATACTCCACTAATGAGCATTTCAGTTCCTCTTTAGAGACCTTATCCCTGCAGTATTAATTCTGTGTTCTCCTAGCTTCCTTGTATTTGGGCTCAACAGCCTCTCTTACCGGGACAGCTGTTAAATCATGTGGCGGTGCTGTGGCACCTGAATCCCTGAATTCACTTCTTTGAATTCGGACTCCACTATATAGGCTCACAGGTGGGTCTAAAGTCAGATGGCCCCTGCTGAGGAAAGTGATGGGGACCCAAATATTTTGCATTGACTCCCCTTAGGTTGCTATTTAATAGCTCTACTTTAAGGGACAGAAATTCCAGGGAAGGGGCGGTGCTGGAATGTGGCCTACCACTGTGAAGAAACAGGGAGCATTTTGAAGTATACAACAGGCGCGTTCCAGTCCCCAAAACCTTCTTGGAAAATCTTTTCCCATTGGTGTCCAGGACCGTGTCGATGCCTAACTTTTTCAAACTGCAGTAGTTTAACTGCTCAGCGTAATAGGCAAGGAAAATACTGGTTTTCTGTATGATTTATGAGGCCCCTTTGTGAAGGATTAAACCCTGCCACTTCTGATTTCACCGCATGCTGGGAAGAGAGGACTTTCCACAATTTGATTGCACATATTGAAGACTCTGCATTCTACAAAACTTGTTCCACTTTTTTTTCTGAAATAACAGCTGCTGATGGTGGCATCAACTTTCTTTTACTGCTTCCCAAGGGATCTCTCCTTTGTTTTGTTTACGGTCTATGTTCACGGCAAAAAGTCCCACCAATGCTGTTTACATAAATATATAAAACTAAACTTGCTACCAAAATGTCACCACTTAAAGCACAGCAGTTGGAAAGTCCAACCGAGCAATCCATGAAATGTAAGCCATTTCAAAATTGTTTTAAACCAGCCCATCTTCTAAAAGGCCTATTTAAAAGCCAGAACGGATTAGCCCAACTATATTATATACCCCTTGGGAATGATGTTCCACAAATGAGGAACCATCGCTGAGAAAACCCTATGCCTAGTACCCATTTATGGTACATTGTAGATCCCTCATCCTCCTTTTCCTATTTTGTACATCTTCCCAGACCAAATATGAGGAAACCAAATGACTGACCAACCCATTTACTTTTGTTTCCCCACCCCACCCCAAAAAAACCCCTGCAGAGGCTGACCATCCCCACTACCTCACTGGCTGCGGGAGGTTGATCATGAGATTACTTGCAGTCTTTTGAAACTGATTAATTTTATTTATTTATTTTATTTCAGTCTTATCATTGTACGCCAATTTCAGAGGCAGCACCCAAAGCTGCTGTTCTCTTTCCCTTCACATGTTAAGAGGCAATAAGTTTAGCAGTCATGCCAAAGACCATGGAAGAGGTCACCAGCAGCCAAATAGCTTGGTGAACTCTTGTTGTTGGCCACAGTAGAACAAATCAAATTTGTTCAAACTACTGATAAACAAATGGCAGAAATTGCCAGGAAACTATTTCTTCTGATAGGCTGAGGAAACATCCCCCAGTATGCATGTGCGGTTCCCGTGACAAATTCTCATTCCAGGATGTAACATTATAAGTTGAAAATATATTATGTTTACTGTATGTGCAACATGTTCTGTGTCCTTGCACTGATGTCTGTGTTATAATTTAAACATGGAATTTTACTTGATTCCCCCCTCCCTTTCTGTAGAACAGTATCTGTTAGTCTATATCATAGACTAATCTTTGGAAAAGAAGTTGGGATGCCCCAGTAATTGTAAATTTTGGGGTGCTCTTCAAAATGCGGTTTAGCAGTGAGTCAGAAATTTGGGGTCCCTTGATTAAACATGTCTCAGTGCCCAAGGTTTTTTGTCAAATACAGTGGACGCTCGGGCTGCAAACGTGATCCGTGCGGGGTGCACGTTCGCAACCCACAGCGGTGCATCTGTGCACGCACAGGTGGCAATTCGGCGCATGCGTAAAGCACGATTTAGCGCTTCTGTGCATGCGCGACCGCCGAAACCCGGAAGTAACCCGCTCTGGTACTTCCGGGTTTTGGCGGGTGTGTAACCCAAAAAAACGCAGCCTGAAGCAGCTGTAACCCAAGGTATGACTATACTGACATGAAGCACAAATCAACATTTTAGCAGTGATGGCACTAAGGAGAATTGCTCTTGAGTGATGTTTTAAGAGAATAGCATTTATCTGTTGACAAACAGAGCAGCTGCTCCTTGCCTAGCCATTGGCAGATGTTGGGGTGTAGCCACTTTGTTTCAAAGTTCCAGCTGACACGTCTCAGCTTGAATTGTAGACTTTGCTAGGGTGTAACAAAGTAAACCTACCCTTTTGCATGGCAAATTTGGAAAAAAGTAACAACAGCTAGGGAACAGTCCCATGGGTTTTCTTCTTCAGAAAACCAGTGCCTCCGGAGGCAAGGTGGGATGTAAAAGTAATTTGCTTGTATAGTCAAGGGAACTCTAAAAGTGTATACTTTATAGCTTTAGTTAGAAAGCTGTAGAGAACTGGTCCACCAAAACCTACGTGCTTTTAAAGAAAATGCTAAGTTTTTGTTTACAGCTTCTTGCATTATAGAGAAGCAACTCCTTTTTGAGAATTCACTTTTCCACTGGCCCGCACCACCATCCTTGTTTTAATTTTGCATTTAATGCATTGTTTTTCTAAAAACAAAGTCTAGGATATAAATGTTTAGTATTGCAATTGGAAGAGTTGAGTTCAATTGAACTCCAGTTTGTATAGCTGTATAAAAAAACCTTTTGTAAATGTCAAACCTGTGCATGCGTCGTTTCTAATATTTATTTTTAAGGAGCTGTGATTATAAATGAGCTTTCTGACGAGAGAGCTCTTCAAGACAATAGAAAATGGAATGCAGAATGGTGAAACACTACTATAGATTTTCTGCCTTCTAAGCTTAATAATTGTGATTGTCAGCCAGCAAACATGTACCATTATCTGCTGTTCGAGCCTCATTTTTAAGTTACACTATAAGCCTTGCTTAAATACAGTGACACATACTGCTGTGCCTTTAAAAAATGTTTTGATTCCTTTATCCGTGTTCAACTAGATGTACAAAGGAAGGTTGCTGCAATCTATTCAAGTTGTACCAATATGTATTATGTAAATAGCTCCTCTGCGAATAAAATTGTTTGTTGGCAAATGTACTTGCTCTTCTGTTTGTGAGAGACAAGCAATGTGTTGGGCTCTATAGAGGCCTGAGCTGCACAGGTGGGACGGCCTCTCCTTTCAATGTAGCTGAAGATTACCTTGCAGAATGGCTGCTAATCAAGACTGGATTAGAAGAACCAATGGGGAGAAGGCAGTTTTATGCAGAACCATTGTTCATATTCAGTATTATTTCTGTTCCTTCCATATATATGGTCTCTAAGCCTGCTTTCTTGATGCTTCAACAGGGGCCAATGGAAGAAAACAGGGTTCTGTACACCAGGTATTGTCAACTTTTTTCAGACTCAGGGCCGGCTTTAAACAAAAACATTTATTTGGGAACTCTTTTCTTAATCTTTACTCAAATATTTTGCATTGTGGTAGTGCTCCTGTTGCAACCCACCTTGTCTCAGGCCATGACTCTGCAGTACATCTGTCCTACCACTGGCATTGCTTCCCTCAAAGAAACTCTTAAGCTGTAGTTCTGAAAAGCACTAAAGGTATCGGCAGCCTCAAAGCTGTCACAAAACACTAAATCTCGCAAAGTTCTGTCAGATGGTACGACGAAACTTGATGTGATATAAAGCCAAACCGATGTCCGGTGTTGCTTAGGATATGGTAGCCCAAGTCCTTGGAACAAGTATCAAAACAAGATGCTGAAGTTAGGGAAACGTCTTCATAGGTTTGTTGATTGTCATTAAATAAGTTCACAAAACGAGCTAATTACTGGCATTGACTGCAGCAAAAGAAACAACAGGAGGCGTAAATAATGCAATATATTTTTTTTTTTCATATGAGGCAACATACACAGGAAACTCAATTAGCATTTTGCATGGCAAGATCTAGAACACCCCGGCTCTGTTGTAAAAATTACACAGGTTTACAGAATCATGGCATCTGGTATATTTATTTAGTAACAACTGACAGTTCTCAGCTACATTAATTTCACACAAAAGTTCTGTTTTAGTGGTACACACACAACAAAAAAAGCTTTAGAAATTTTGAGTCTTGACAATAAATGGAAGTGTCATTTGAAAAGTGCACTTAAAGCTGTTTGCCAGCAATTAAAATATAGCATTGTTTTATTCTTGAGTGATGTTCTTAGTCACAGAAACAAAACTTGGCTATAGACACTATTACTTTTATTTTATTTCTTTTCAATGAAGTGCTTTAGAAAAATAACTGGGCAGCCAGTCCTTTGCATTTCATTGTTACTCTTAGCAGCTTTTGGCTATACTTATTTTTCCAACGCCATGACAATGATTGTGACTGCAATGTTGTTTTAGATCACAAACTCCCAAGAGATGTGATGTGTGCATGTATGTTTTATATATGTTTCTCTCTATAAAAATACGCCCTATCATATAAAAAAAATCTTCAGATAGACTCTAGTTGCAATTCTCACAGTAGTAGCTACAGCCATTCAATCTCACAGTAGTTATTTCTGGGTGAAAAGGACAGACTTTAGGCAGCCCTCCTCCCGAAGCTTGGGCATTGCTCCTGTCCCTCTAAAATTACCAGACACATGTAACCTAGTTCAAGAGATGCAGGATCAAGCTGTAAGATATAGGCCTCCTTTTCTACAGAATAATTATGGAAGTAGTAAGCACCCACCCTAACTGATATTTGGATAGGGGTATGGATTCAGTTTCTTTCACCAAGATCAACAACTGTACCTTCAAAGAACTGAATCACACAAATTTGGGTGATGGTATAGTAACCATGAGCTGATTTTACCAGTGATGGCTAACATTGAACCAGATCCTGTTGCTTTTAAACCTTTAGGAGCATGTCTGCTATATTAATCTGTACAATAAAAGCACCTTAGGGTGACCATCATGTCAGAAGTAACACGCAACACTGCTTCAAGATGAACTAATTCTGCAGCTGATTTTAGAAGATGCACCCAGCTGTCTGCTATATGCTAATTGGAAAGGTCAAACCATTGGAGTAGTGAAAAATCCTCCATCTGGCGGCCACTGATATGAACTAATACTTCACAATCTTCCTATGGTTCTAGGAAAGACCATGGTAGGCTGGATTTCAAATATATGTACACGTACACAATGCAAGCAAAAATATTTCTCCCAAACTACCAATCACTTCTTTCAATGAAGTCCAGAACTGAAGGAAATTATTAAACCTGCTTTCTGCAGCTCTTTAGCAACAAACAAACATAGGGAGAAATTAATTCTGTGGGGTCTTGCCAGTATACCCCGGCAACCACAAAGGAAAATCAACAAAAGTTCTTATTTACAAAAACCTATGAAAATAAAGTCATATGCAATCAGTAATACGTGAAGCAAGGCTCTATGAGAAAGCAAAGAATATTGGCAACAATCTCAATGGCCACACGTTTATTTTGGCCTTAAAGGGTTATGCTACAGACGTTTTGTCTATGGCCCAGTCCTGCAGAGTTGCATCCATTATTAACTCTACATTGCCAAGCTAACAGCATGAACTGAGCAGTGCAGGTGTCTTCCAAGAGACTGCTGAAAAGTGTGTCTCAGGACTTGAGGTGATGACTGAGAAAAATGTGTATATTTTCTATACCAACAAACTCTTAGGATAAATAGTAGGGAAATTGTTAGAACAATGCAAAAGTGTTGCTTCTACGTTCCCCACTGCCTTTGAATTATTGCAGGATAAGATTTACTTTCATCTTGGGTCAAAGGCATTCCATATCTCAATAACAAAATGTTCAGAATTCAATTATCTGCCAATAACTAGGCATGTAGTACAGATATATGGAAAACCCCTCTGACAAATGCAGGCAATGGTTTTAGGTTACTACAAATAATTAAATGACCAGGTTGTTCTAAATCTAGTGTTCGTATTTCACAGCACATGGAGTCTTGTGGAAAGGAAGGATTTTTCAGACAGCTTGGAATATAAAAGCTGGCTACCAACCGGATGCCAGGTTAAGATCAGACACTAGATACTGTTCCTGAGCCAGATTTTTTTTTGTCAAAATCAACAGGACAAGTCAACTACTTTTAATGGGACTGTTAACTTGACTACCAGAGCTGCTGTGCCTATTTTGTGCCACCTGAAAGCACTTAAGACCTTACAAGCGCACAAGTAGAAGTTATTACATTGGAATCAGCTAGTTGTGGGCAGCTCTGGATTAACTCTGCAACTCCAACCTGCTTCAAACATTGTACGTTTGATCCACAGAAAACCTTTCCATAGAAGAAACAATCACGAGGGACATATACATGTTTGCTCTCTGCATCTATTTGTGTGCTCATTTGCTGGGACCATGCAGCTGATCTCTTTATGGGTAGGAAATCTTGTCACAGTTGAAGCAGCACTTCAATAGAGCTGTCCGGTTACAGTTTTAATAAACCTTTGTTACAAAACCTGGATTTAGCTCAAAGAGGCTTTGGCACAAGAATAAAAGAGCAGGCATTCTGAGGTATGTGCACAGTTAGCCATTTTTTTGCCGTATGTGCTTTACAGAAATATTTAGAATGACAAGACATCTAACTGACCTGGGATTTGTGCTTGATATGACAAAAGAGTGAAACATTGCAGGACTAGAAACATACATCTGGAGAGAGCGTCCAATCATATTTTGATCGCCCAAAAACCCCATCAAATTTTCTTAAAGTTCTCATTTTTTAAAGCATCTTCTTCTGCCTCTGTCAAATTTATCCTGTATTAGCATCATGTTACACACAAAAAAAGTTTCTTTTGATATTTTGCTTCTGCACAGCAGCTGGAGAGCAAGAGTCCGCTGCTGGGAAAGCATTTACGGAAAGTCATTCACCCAGGGCAGTAACTCTTTTAGATTTCTTACTCCCACAAGTTCATATTCAAGTCAGGTAAACAATACCTGAAGAGCCCAGTTCTTGCACCTTTTGCGTAAAGTCAGATTTACAATGTGAATGGCTATGCAAAGCCCAGGATCCAGAAACATTTCAGGCTTGCATGCATGAAGTAGGATTTTGACCCCTTTTATACAGTTGACCCAATACATATGAAACATTTCAGTTTCAGAAATAGTTTGCTATATTTCATGGGAGCAAGGGGTCAGCTGCTTCTGCATAGGCACTGGAACTACATTGCAGTGTTCCATGGATCCTGACCACTCACTTCTGTATGATTTAGGAGCAGCTGGTTACTGCAGTGTTTTCACACCTACATGTTTAAAAGAAAGCCAAGCTGGGCTGGATTGTAGCCCAAGGAACTGAAATGTGTAACTTATTCAAGCCAGAGCTCCCGCAGCTAGTCAAGAATGGGCCACAGACAGCCAAGGACATTATGAACACCTTTGTCCACGTGGGAAGTTCAGAAAAGCATCAAATACTCACCTTCTAAGTTCTACATGTTTTTAAACTGTGTCTCAAGGGCACCAAATGGCTCAGAGGTAAAAGTATGACAGGACAATGGTCCTGGCTGTAAGGCATTGGTGGTTTACTATGCAGTTTACTGGTAGCAGACTCAAATCAGCATCATTTTTTTTAAAGGCTTCAGTTTTATACCTCCAGTGCTGGAAACTGCCTAAATTCAAGTTAAAAGTTTCTTTAGAGTTACGTGTATTTTGTATGAACTCTCAAGATAAGTACAATATTGTGAGACAGAATGCATTCAAAAATATTAAATGGGACGAGCTAAGTGAGAGTGATTCAAAAGACATTTCTAGGGTATACCACGGAGTACAAAACCCTAGAAAAATACATTAGGTGAAAATCCTACTTTATAATAGAGCTGTACAGGTTAGAACTTGCCACCAAATTTCCGGCTTTTGTCTTCTCTGTCTGTCGAATGTTGTATATGCAGGTAAACCAAGCTGGAACTATATAATCTTCGAAGTGTTGCAGAATCCAGCTATGTATTTTTATTTTCCTCCTTGACTCCCAACTTTATCTAATATTGTATTCCACTAAGTTCTTGAGATCTTAAGAGTTAGAACTATCCCTGTTTTAGATTAATGGCACTTACTGGGGGCAGGAAGCAGAGTTCTGGGAACCACAGCTACAAAGGTTTGGGTTTTTTGTGATGTTTAGGAATCTAATGTCAAGTCAGAAACCTCAGAAGTTCAGAGATGTTTTAGGAGGGATCCCACAACAAGCAAGTGAAGCAGTCCCAGATCAATCCAGCTTCTTACATATTTAGGCATTTTCTCATTCCTCTCAGGCCAGTTATAACACACCTCAAATCAGATCTTTTTTGTAACGACCTCTTTGGTGAAGAGTACATGGTAAAAAGCACACCATGGCTGTTTGTTGAAAAAGTAATAGGCAGTAGCTGCAACAACAGATAGGAGATTTTGAAAAGAGATCAGAAGGTCTTAGTGAAATTCTTTTACCTCTTCTCCATCTCAATATTGTATGCTTAAGATAGCGGATTTTAAAATATGAGGTTCTCTACTGAGAAATGAATCAATTGTACTAAGAAAAAAAGTTTCTCCTCAGTTGAACCAGATAGTTTATGGTGGTACAGAAAATCCTTAAATAATGCAACAGTGCTCCTGGTTCAATCTATTGTTTGGAAGGAAATGGAGCAGCCCCAAAAGGATCCAACTCTACTGTCTGTTGCTGCTGGCTTTGTTGAGATGTCACAGTCTGCACAACAAATTCCGTGAAAGGAACTGCCCCAAAATCATCTGTTAATTTTATCCCATCGCCAGAATGAATGGTACCAAGTAGTGAACTCTGTCTAGGTCTACCAGGAACTACTGCGTTATAGTCTCCACAATGATCACCCAAACCTTGATGCTGTGGAAGAAGCACCAGTTCCGTAGGGTGGAAAGGCTTGGCTCCAAAGGGATCCAGAAGACCGTCATCTGCTTGCAGAGGGTTGACTCTGTCCTTGCTATCTGAAAGGGCAATACTTATATTTTCCTTGGAATCAGAGATTGTCAAGAACTCATTACTACTCTGGGAGTCCCGACGGCCAGCTTTTTTGTGCCTGCGGGCTCTTTCTGGTGTGCGGTAACTGGGCTTCAAGGTCTTCTTGGTGCTAGTTGGCGTACCATGGTGGCGCTTCCCATTGTTCTTTGATACTTCCTGCTTCATGCGTCTCTGGCGAGAGGAGAGTTTCTGCAGATTGCGTTGCTGCTTCACTTTTTGCTGCTGTTGGCTCCCTGCTATCTCCTCGAACGGGATAAGCCCAAACAGGTCCTCCTTACTCTCGTCATTCTTTGGGATGGAATGAGGGAATGGGATACAGCCAAAAGCATCCACACTTTTGGGCGATATGGGAGAAGGTTGGTTTTCAGAACCTGAAATCAAGTCATCTTGCTGAGATATTTTTCTGCTGAATGGGGCTTTGGTGAAGACATCAAAATCATCCTGATCTTGGTCTAAGCCAGGGAGCGTAGCCTGGGGAGAGAAACCTTTGCTATCGTTTTGCTTGGGCTCTTGAGAATGAAGAGCAAGGAATGGAACTGCTCCAAAGACATCAAATTCTTGTTTGGGGCTCACCTTGGTTACTGTATTTGGCAATTCGGTCAACACAGGAAATGTTACATTAGGCTCCCTGTTTTCAACACTGCCAGTCCCTTCTCTGTATCTGCTGCAAGGCATCTCATCCACAGGCCTAGCATGGCAAGAATCAGAGTCAGAACTTGGTTTATCATCATCTTCTGCATCTTCATCAGAATCCATTAGAAGAGGATGCTGACCAAAGTTCTCTGGTTCAGTATCGTTGTCATCAATGAAATCTCCATGCTCACCCTGCAAGACTTCATCCTCTTGCTCCTCTTCCTCACTGCTCTTAGGAGATGGAGGATCTGATTCAAAGTCACTCTCTGATTCATCATTTCCTTTTTTCGTGTTTCCTTCTCTCACCTTCTTTACATTTTCATGGTCCCCAATAGCCTGGCTTGACCTCTCATTTTTGGTTGGGCTCCCTACCTTGTTCTCTAGACTGCTGTCTGAGTTATTAATTTCATTTCCTGGGGAACCTGAAAGAATATGCAAGAGAACTTCAATTTCTTCTTAATTTTCCACACTCCGGATAAACATACTGTATACGTTTAACACTGCTACTACACATTGAGATGGACTACATTTCCTTTTTTGATAGTGGTGCTAGACTTCACAATAAATGAAGGCAAATGAGAAAATTTTATTTTTCATTGTACAGCATTTGCTGCATTGTGGGATTTGCATATGTATTATGTAAAGTGAAGAGGACCCCATTTCAACCACCCTAGGACATGCAAAAAATACCTAAGTAAATACCTGCTTCGCTGAATCAAGGCAACAGTCCATTAGATGATAGCTAGTTATTATCCCTCCAATAGTGGGAAATCTAATGCCCCTAGGAAACTCCTATACTGGCATAGCATGGGCACTCCATTCTTAACTGTTTAGTACCCGAGGAATTTTTTCTTGGGGGGGGGGAGAACCTGCACTCTGATCTCAATATTCAAGAACCTTCGCTCTCTACAGTCTCATAAAAATAATTCAAAATAAATCTGCACATGCATTTTAAGAAAAAATAGGAATGAGTAGAAACATCAGGTGATTAGATCTTCAGGCTATTTCAGGTTTACTCCCAGTGTCAGGTTCTTCTAAGTCAAATTAAAATGTAGATTTCATCTCTTGATGTAGATTTCCCAAAGGAATAGCTGTAATAACAGAAATGTAGATGTCCATGCCATCTAAATCCTGCCATTTTCAACATTTGCGCGGATACTGTACTTGTTTACATGGATGTAATTTTGTAAGATTAAAAAGCTTAATCTTTCCACATGAGTATAACACAACCTTCTTGTTGGAATACCAATTTTCAAATGGCTATCAGCATGAGCATTCTTTTATTCACATGTGGAAAACAGAAAACTATTTCTTCCTCCCTTAGGGCAGATAATTTTTAAGATGTAGTAAGTTCTTTGTTGATATGAGATCTGAACCAAGAGCTCATATAGAGCTTTGTAGGTGCTTCTATTCTTCTGCATACCTTAAAAGGCCCACCTTATTTTCTTTGAAGCTGGGATAGCTCAGTCAGTAGAGCATGAGACTCTCAATCTCAGGGTTGTGTGTTCGAGCCTCATGTTGGGAAAAGGTTCCTGCGTTGCAGGGGTTAGACTATATTACCCTCATGGTCCATTCCAACTCTACAATTCTATGATTCTGAACACCGATTTCTAATTTAACTTTATAGGAGCACCACATTCAAAATTATCCTAGGCCCAAGTAAAAGTCCTAGTACGTAATTCAGGACTACTTCTCTCACAGAATGCTATTTTTAAAATGTTTCCACACACAAGAGGCACTAACCTATTTCAAAATCAATTCAGCTTCTCAGACCAAACAAATCCATATTTCATTTAACATTGTTACATTTGGGCAAATGCTCAAGAGGAGGAAAATCTCAAGTTCACTTTTAAATTAATGCCACGATAATGTTGTAATAAGGCGCTTTAAGATCAACATGTAGGAAAAGATTTGAAGTAATCTCTAAACTGCTGCAATGAACATTTCAAATCTAAATTTACGAAGAGCTGAAGAACTTTGTGGCATAACATCTGCTTGTAATGTATTGTGCAGATTACATCTCTTCTAATCAGGTTTGCCTCTTGTATAAGGCTATTGTTCTTCCTTCAAATTCAATGCAGGTAGAACATCTAATCATAAGATCCCAATCTTCAAGGAATATTTCTGTTCTGATGTTCTTTTTCTAGACATCCGATTATAAGAGGATGAATGGCTTGTAACAACTGGAGTAATTACATGCCTTCTGCTAGTTCATCATTTCAGGGACTGAGAGAAAGCAGAGGCATAACCATTTTAAATCTCCTTCTGAATTGGTAACATACTGCCATCATCATTTCACAAAAATTTGCCACATGTCAGCACCAAGGATTACTGAGACACATCAACTAAATCTGCACCGTTTTTTGGCAACAGGCAGAGAGGCAGATGACAAACACGGACGGATTTAGGGGCTGCTTACTGCTCTTTATTTTGAGGGACAGGCGAAACCTGGAAATTATGTATGTTTCTGTATATCTTTATCAAATACACAGATGGACTTTAAACTTGTCTATAATATGGAAGTCTCTTGTATTCTATTCACTGATGATGAAATTGATCAAGTAGAATCTGAGAAAATGGTTTCTTTCAGTAATAAGGAACTAGTAAAAGACAAACTGAATTTATAGTCATCTGAAACAGTGAGAATTTTCTTGTCTTGATTCCATTATTGTAATTTAAATATTACAAACTGAGGCTAGAGGGTGGCTCTAAACATGCCTCAATCATTGTCTTTTGTTGAATCCTGACAACACAGAAGTATTGTTTCTGGGGAACAGGGGGTAGGCAGGTGTGGGGGACTGCCTGGTCCTGAATGGGGTAACACAGCCTAGGGGTCATTTTGGACTCACAGCTGTCCACAGAGGCACAGGTTAATTATGTGTCAAGGGCAGCTGTCTACCAGCTCCATCTAGTATGCCAGCTGGAACCCTACTTGCCTGCCTGCGCACTGTCTCGTCGGAGTGGTGCATGCTCAGGTTATCTCCCGCTTGGACTACTGCAATGCATTCTACGTGGGGCTCCCTTTGAGCGGCGACTGGGACCATATACCAGTCCTAAAGGATCTACACTGGCTCCCAGTAGGTTTCCAAGTACAATTCAAAGTGTTGGTGCTGACCTTTAAAGCCCTATATGGCTTCGGCCCTGTACACCTGAAGGAGTGTTTCCACCCCCATCCTTCAGCCCGGATACAGAGGTCCAGTTCTGACAGTTCCCCCTTCTGGCAGTTCCCCCACTGTGAGAAGTGAAGTTACTGGGAACCAGGGAGAGGGCTTTCTCGGTAATGGCACCCACCCTGTGGAATGCCCTCACATCAGATGTCAAACAGATAAAACAACTATATGACTTTTAGAAGACATCTGAAGACAGCCCTTCAGGAAAGTTTTTAGCATTTGATGGAATAGTGATATAAGAGCTTAGGAATCCAGGAAGAACCAGGACAAAATGGAACAAGGCACTGATGACCCATCAGTGTCAGGTGACTCATTTTGTACTTCTTAATGTACTTTGCTTTGAGTTTGTTATGTTGGTTTGATTTTAATTGAGATTTTGTGATACAGAAACAAATCGAAAGGGTGACATCCAAGACATACTCAATGGACTTAAAACCATTTAAGTTCTTTTCAGTTGCATGTCACCCAATGAAGCTCAACCAGTTAAGAGATAAAACTAAATTTAAATGAAATGCAACTAAATTCTAGCAAAACACAAAAATGAAAGGTTCGTCCTAGATAGGAAGACTGGTACAGCTAAGGGTGATTTTGCCACCTCCCTAAAAAAAACCAAAAATCTATATGGATACATGAGAGTCTCTGCACCTAGGGTTCAGTAGGCATTGATGAATCTTTATTTCTGGACTCCAATTAAGATAGAAATAAGGGCAAGAGTCCAGCAAGTTTCAACTAACTGTGAACAGCATGTGTATCACTTACTGTACTTTTCGCCCTATAGGACGCACTTTTTCCCCTCCAAAAATGAAGGGGAAATGTGTGTGCGTCCTATGGGGCGAATGCAGGCTTCGCACACCTCTCCGCAAGCAGCGGGAGCCAGCGCTGGGCTCCCACGGCTTGCAGAGAGCTGCTTGTTTGGAGGCTGGGGTCGGGGGAAGCTCGGGCCTCCCCCGCCCCAGCCCCGCGCCTGGGGGGGGGGGAAATAATTTTTTCCCCTTTATTTCCCCCCAAAAAACTAGGTGCGCCTTATGGGACGGTGTGTCCTATAGGGCGAAAAATATGGTAATAGGATCTTCCCAATATCCTGAGACACTTTAAAACACATTTCTGAATTATGTATGGCAGGTGACCAGCACAAAGCTTGTGCAGTTGATCAGCTGTTGAATATTGTGAATATGCAGTAGAAATATGAAAATACAGAAATACTGTAAGGATTAACACTGCAATGAACATGCCAGTAAGTTTAATAGAGGGGAAAGTCTTCTAAAATTCAGTATCTGGTGTTAGTTATCAGGCATGTTCTGGGTTAGAGAAGCAGCAGGAACAGGAAAGATACTGAAGCAAGTATTGATTTCAAGAACGAACCTAATGCACTATCAAGAGATATTTAAATGAAAAGCAGTGATGTTACATTATGTAACTTGCCTGGGTGAGAAATGAAAGGTACAGAACCAAAGGGATCTTCTGGAGGATGGTTCTGTGGAACAGAATGTGGCTCCACATTCTTATCTGAGGAAGTTCTCCTCTCCACGAGCCTATCTGCAAGGATAAAAATGAAAACAGAACAAAAAAGTAAAATAAAAATGGCAGTTTTTACGCCAGCTGAAAATAAACAGATGTATCTTATTACCAGCTCTTGAAAAAATTCATGGGCACAACATCCCAAGACTCTTATTGAAAGCCCCACAGAAATAGAAGGGGGATTATGCACGTCCATGTTTCAATAGTTTCAGTGGGGTTTGTCTATAAATTCCTAAAATGGTAATATGGGTAGCCCTGACCTAAAGACTCATGGTAGGCCACACTATTAAAAAAACAAACAGGTCTTATAAAAACAATGACTGACTCAAGACTCATTGACTTCCTGCAACCCAGCTAGTAAGGCGAAATAGCAAATTGTACCACCACTTCCAGCAAGGTTTCCATCACACAAATATGGAGCAGCCCGCAGAGAACCAACAGACATTTAGCAAAGAAAAGAAGAGAAGAACAACCAAAATTGCTCAAAAGTCTGTGAGGTTAAAATTCTGTACTTTTCCTTGAATCAGAGGATTTGCCTTTTTGTTGCTGCAGCTCTTCTCTTAGTTCTAATCTGCTGTTCAACATAAACTATGAGAAACGTGCAAGTGTTTGAGCATACCCAAGTCAGGGTTTAGATTCCAGCCCATGTATTTTTCAAATATCCCTCTGAAAAAAATCCGTAATTAGCAATTCGAAAAAAGCATCTTAGCATTCTAAACAAGTTTCCAACTCTGATTCAGATCATATTGGCTTGAAACCGGACTTGCAGAAGTAGAGTAGTTCACACAGTGGCATTTCCTGCTCCCTCCCCTATACCACAACCTCCAGGGCTCACCCCCATGCCACTTCTGAGCACCTTTTCCCAATTTTGACAAATTGCACACTGCAGTCTGCCAGGCCCCATCCCATGTTCTTCTGAAGGATCCCCCAAACCCACAGAGGCTACTTTTCAGGAGGATACATAATGGGGGACAGAAAGGGAAACTGCCACCTATGCAAGCAAATCTGAGTTCAAGCCATAGTCATTAAAGACAGTTTCAGCTACGCGCATCAAAATTGTCACATTAAAATAATTAAACAACAGTATAAAAATTGAAAAAGCAACCTTACAGCAAGTGCACTTTTCCTTGTACATGCCCCAATTGTCTAGGAATCTTTACTATTTGCTGAATGAAATATAGATGTTGAGTATTCACAGAGCCAAGGTCATGTAGTGATGAACGAAGACAACAAAATGTAAATACTTTTAATTAGAATTGTAACATTGTAAGGGACAATACAGGTAAGGTTGTATGTTCAACCTTTTTTAAAAAAACACAGTGAATGAAAAATATTCCTTAAGCAATTATTTAAATATGTGGACAGCAAAGCCATGTTCTGGCAAAGCAAAAAGGTGCTTCAATTTCCTCAAGTTTTGTATTCTTTCTTTTACAAGAGAAAGAAACTCAACAGCCAACCAATTTTTGATACAGGACAGTTTCTCTTCTACATACATATCAAAATGCTTTTTGAAGAGCATAACTAATTCCCATTTTTGGAATACACAAGCGCAACTTACAAACAGGATTTATTAAAACATTCAGTCAGCTTATTATGCTGTGTTGCTAATTATATAAAAGTAATTTGGCCAACTGAGGCTTTTATAAAGGTTCATGTTCTATGCAAACACTAAAAGAGCCACGGGAGAAGATTGGTGTGCTGTCTTAGACCTGATTCAAGTGTGACCACCAAAAGGGGGGGGGGAGGACAGACTAAATACAGAAAGTTCATGAAGAAATATTTAAGTAATGTACATTTCAAGGCTATTATGCGTGACTTCTTCACACTATGAGGAACAGTATTTGTTCTAGTGTTAAATAATTGTGTACACTAGTCAAACCACAATTAAAATGTATCCTTCTTGCTCTCAGATCACTAAAACTAGGGGGCAAAACAGAAACTGGAGGTTTTTTTCCAATTTGCCAACACTGATCCTTATTTGTCTCACTTCCACACATTACTTAGCTCATTTAGACTGCATTATTGAGTACATACAGTTCAGCAAAAATGCTGAAGTAGTTCTAGTAGCTCCATTTTAAATAACATTCTGTTTATTGATCGGGATCAAAAAACAACTACTAACAGTGAAGCATGCAAATGTTATTATGGCATAAACAATAATTAGAGAGAATCTTCTATTAATTTAGTGGGGGAACTACAATTCCAGATACAACGGTAGTTCATCAGAAACAAGGAAACTTGTGACATTTTATCCGATACATACAAATCAGTACTACACTTTTGTTGCAGTTTTCTCCCACAGTGTAAATGTTAATTTCATTAATACTCGGGGTTTGGATATGCTGTTCATCTAACAACTCCAAAGGACACTCGAAAGCCTCTCACTCACATAGCCTTCCAGTTCTACAAGACAAAAATTCTCAGCATGCAATAGAAAACACTGTGAATATATGATTTGTCCACTTCTTTTTTGATCCAGTAACGGTTCAGCTAAATAAAGAACATTCTTGCAAAGCTGAGGGCTGTCAAGTCTTCTATACTTTCTTCTTTAGTATATTTTAGTTACGTAAAGAATATATGGCAATGTCAGATGTCAAAACGTAATCAGGATGTCAAGCACAATATGGCAAAATGAGGCAATTGGCAGTTGAGAATGGCCAAATCTTCAAACTCACTATTGAGACATTGAAAGGATCAGCTCTAGTCAGCTTATCCGCAGAATTTCAATGCAAATGTGAAAGATCCCCAATCATATTTTTAATATGCCTACCAAAATTAGCCTGATTTTCAAAACTACTGCCTACAGAATGGTTGCACTGAGGACTGGAAACTTCATTTCCTCTTGCTCCAAATATGATGTGAAAATGCCTTTCTGACTTTTTAATGCTTTCCTTTATGTGAAAAAACTTTAGAAAATACTAACATAGCAGAAAAATCAACATTTCTTTGTCTGCATGCTACATAATGACTTACTATTATTATTATTATTATTATTATTAAATTTATATACCACCCTATACCTGGAGGTCTCAGGGCGGTTCACAGAACAAAATCAAAATATAAAACCCTGTCCCCCTCCCCAGTCCAAATAATTCCCTTCCCTAATAAATTGCAATGGATCCTCAAGGCTTGTGCTCAGAATAAACCATGACTTTATGACTGAATTACAAGTCTTTCAAACTAGTGTTACTTTCAAACTTAGGACACCAGAATGCATCACCGATTTCATATACTGTAAGTGTCATTTACGTGTTGAGTGATTTGTTTTCTGCCAAATTCAGAATCTCTATCCTGCCCTGTACCTTATACCTTCTCCATAACTCATTTCTGTGAAAATTATGTATGAAGAAAACAAGCAGAGGTGCAAGTGATTGCAAGTAAACACGTTAGCTTTTTGACTTTTAAGAGAGTTTATTCAACTATTGTGTCCAAACAATAAAGCAGCCCTTACATTAAGCCACTCAAAAGACATTACAAAACATTAACATAATGTACTAGGTCATTTCCCCTCTTTCAGTCATTTTCAAAAGCATTCCAGACTGACAAAAATCTTCTGTTCTAGTGTGCAAGGGAACAATTGCGAAGTGAAGCAATGCAAGCAGCTGACTGGTGTTCTGCATTGTTGTACATCCCATTATTTTCCGTTTTTGAATTTCACACTCAAGAAAAGTAAGTATTCAAGAGATGACCTTAACATTCTTTGTATTAATACAAATGCTAAACAATTAATTTCTATTGCACACATTTTTGTGACAGAAGGACAAGACACACAGCGGGCCTAGTTCTGTCCTCAAACGCTCAGAATGTTTTCTACAACAAGACTGTGTGACCCTGGAACAGAACAGTCTTTGGCACTGCCGGTTGAACCTAAAGAGCTCTTATTTACTGTGAAGCGAAATAAGCCTTCAAGCGTCCCTTACTTGATCTCAGAAGGTCAAATTCCCTGTCCAACAGCTCCTCCTCTGTTAGCTTGGAAAAATTGTCTTCTCCGAACGGGTTCCAGCCAGACATATCAGGAGGGTTACTGACGTTCTGTTTTGGATAACTGGAAACAGACTCAGCATCAGCGGCAGATGACCTGTAAAAATTGATTTGAGAAAATTACTTGTGGTGATAATATAATTAAAAATACATTAAATGAATCACTTTTGTAATTGTGAGGAAAAGGTATTTTATTCTGTAATGATTATTCTATAATGAACAATTAAGGTGTCCCACAGAAATCAGAGCAGCATTCTAAGAATCAGATTGGGGAGGGTTATCATACAGCACATCTTTGTACTTATTACAAACATCAACTGAGGGGGCTTGCCTGTTTGTAGTATAAGGTGTGTCCAACGCTGCACCAACGTGAGTTGGAAAGGATTTAGAATGGGGTATTAAGGCTGGTGAGAACTCCTGAGGAGAGGCAAGAAATTCAGGAGAATGTTTCGGAGGTTGCAACTGCTTCACAAGGGCTTGTTGATGTAGGAGAGCTTGTTGGTACTGCTGCACCTCAAAGAAAGAGGGAGAAAATGTGAACCTTCCGAAAATCATGGTACCTTCAACAAACAATTAAATTTCATTGTGTGCAGAAACATAACCTTTAACTACATTATCAAAGCTAAATTGAATTGACAACACAGATGTACTTACCATTACTGACACTAAACAATGGCATCAACAGAGCCATTCTACTGAGGTTAGAGGTGGGGAGTCTGTGGTGGAGGAACTGCCACTTTCCAAACCACACCAGGATTGCAGCAGCCAGAGCAGGTGGTGTGGGCAGTGTGGCTGACATGGAGACCCTCTTGAGATGGGAGCTTTGGAAAACCCCCTCAGAGCACTTCCATTACTGCCTACCTCATCCTCAGTGAGGGCCTCACTCAGACCATCAAGGTGGACCTCAATCACAGACTCCTATGACTGAAGAGGTAGCTCCACAACAGCCTAGAGCACCTCCCCAAGGAAACAAAGCGTTGCTCCTTAGGTCCCTCAATTAAATTAAAATGAATTACTTGGAAGAGTGAGATCAGTTGACAAGTGTGACATAAGTAACTAAGCATTTGACATCCATTTGATTTTATATTATGCTAAACATGAAATACGACTATACTTTCACCTGGTGTAAGCACAGTAAAATATTTCAATTCAACGTGACATTGAGGCAACATGGCCAAAATAGTTTTGTTTGTTTGTTTGTGAATATGGGCAAGAATACTTGTATCCCAGTATTCAACACAAGGGGAATTTGTTCTTCACTTAAGTAACTATATATTATAGCTATCAAGTCCATTTTGGAAGCACTAAAATTAATGGTATTATTTCCAAGGTACAGTCTTAAGCAAGGAATGGACTCAAATAAATATGTGAGTGTTTTACTCAAGATCTTCAAGATCTTTGATTTATTCATTTTTCCTGAAATGAAACTCTTGCTTCCATAGTTAAAACATTTCATAAGGCATGCATTTTGTTGTTTCATAAGCAAAAAATTACATGAAAAATAAAATGTAACACAGAGGATCCTCCAGTAACAATAAATATGTTATCTGTACTATACACCCTTCATTGCTTTGCTCAGTAAGCACCAATGTTTCAGTGAAGAAAACCTGTTACTTTGAATTATGTTTTAACAAGTATTGTGGAATGTGTTCAGACATTTATACTGTAATGTATTTGAGGTGCAAAGATGATTTGATCCGGTGACAGTTACGTTTGCCTGTTGGCTGAAGCCTTAATTTACAGCTGTGGATTAGAACTCTCAGTGTACAAAAGAAGGAAAGGCAGTATACAATTTTGATTAGTGGGTGGGTGCCTATTCAGAATTTTCAGTTAGACAGTGTGATTGGCTGGGGCTGGACTGGAGGGTATATATGGCTAGAGGCTGGCCAGCAGTTAAAAGAAGCCGGCTAGTTGTAGTTGTAGTTGTAGTTGCTGGTGATTGGTGTTTGTGGAATCAGTCAGAAGACAGCAGAGGAAGAAGGCTGGGAAAGAAACAGAACCCAAAGGGTAGGTAGAGTGGATTAGGGGCTGAAGACTTGCTAGATAGCTGAAATCACCTGGCTTAGACTGAAGAGATGAACGGAGAACATGGACTCAGCTATACAGCTGCAAATAAAACATTTTAAGTGCAATATTCAATGTGACACTAGATGGCAATGGTGTGCCTTATGGAAAATTCCATGTATTTTTAATACACTTTTAAAAAAAGCATTTTCAGAACGGTTTTTATATGTGTGTAGATTCCACGCCAGTTTGCAGTGCTGAGGGAAGAAGTGGGAAGTAGCTTAAAAAGATGCACTCTGGTTACTAGTAGGAGTACTAGAGGGAAGATTTCCAGGACAATACAAAAAGACAAACCTAAGGGATAGAAAAACAGACTTCTAGGGGAGTCCTCCATTAAAGTATTGGTGAGATTAACTGGGGTGAAGAGAATAAAAGGACAATTTGGCTAAACAGGGTAGCTGTTTCTTGAAAGCTATCTTAGTTGAATATCAACTGTTGGTATTTAAAATACCAGTAACAAATCCTATACTCATTTAAAGATGCAGCACCATTTAATAATCTTGTAACAAACAAACAAACAAACCAATACCCTTGTTACCTACAATATCTATGCCTGGTTTGTACCATGTCTGTACCACACAATTACCAAGTTATTTGTAAGTCAATGGTTCAGAGGCAATAAGTGAGACTGAATGGTACCAGCGCACAAGTTAAGAACCACTGGAGTGAGAGCTAGTTTTTGCTGTTTTAGAGTAAGAAATACCTCCTCTTCCCTTCAGTTTCTGTAAAAAGCAGCAACTGTAGTTAAGAAAATATGCCACCAACAGAGTCATGCTATTTAAGGTAGTCAATTTTTAAGTGGCTAATTATTACCCTTCTTTATCTGTGTAGTAATATTTATCAGTAATCAAAGTAAACAGAATTTTGTATTCAAAGGTTAACTTACCATGGCTGGATAGGATGGGGAAGGTTGCTGCTGGTAAGCAGAGCGCATCAAAAGCTGTTGTTGAATCATGTGCTGTTGCATTGCTTGTTGATACTGTTTTAGAAAGGGACAAAATCTTATCAGTCATGAATACCAGCTGATCAAGTGATTTTACACAAATAATTGTCTTTGGGGCATGTGCAGAACTTTGAGATGCTGCACTTAGTAGCACTTTTACTGTAAATGCTTAATTTTATGTAAGAGAGGAAAAAGTCAGACAAGTCAACTTTTGTTCCAAAATAAGAGCTGGACCATACTGTTCCAACTTCTTATCCTCACTCTCTTCCCACCCAGTGTCCAATATAAACCAGACCAGCATGCCATAAGCAGAGAACATGTAATAGAAGGGTACTTGCAGAACAAATAGCTCCAGAAATGTAATCTAGCCAAGCTACAAATGAAGTTGAACACCCAAAGTAACTAGTCTGACACGGGCAGGATATTCTTCTCCAAGGGCAAAGTGAGCACAACCATCAACTGAATGTTAGCAAGTTATATTTATAAAGTTGTACTGATAACAGAAGAGGCAAACCTGAAAACTAGTTTGTACTACAGCCAAAACACATTGGTACCTGATGCATGTATGCATCCTGAATCAATTGTTGTTGCTGCTGCTGCTGGTGGTGATGATGATGCAACTGCTGTAGCCTCCAGTCACCTTGCTGTAGTTGTTGCAGTACTCTATTTTGTTGTGGGGCCTGATTAGTTCCCTGGGACAACATACTCTCTTGGCTATTTCCAGATTTTGAGGCTCCTAGGATATTTTCAATGCACATTATCTGTTCAATGCATTTTTAAAGTCTGAACACGGAAAGCTTCATAGTAAATTACACATTTAACTTCTCTATTCCAAGATAAAACCACCACAGAAACCCATTAACTCTGTCCGTATTCCTCTACAGAATGCTTTGCAAGTATTTCTTTAGTTAAGTCATTTAAGGCACACACACCCCGGCCGTGAATCTGTCTCATAGGGACAAATCTCAGCTGTAACTCTGGAGTTAAGTCTCCAGTGATTCTGGCCTTGTTAAGCTGAAATTTCAGCACCACAACAATATGCAAATACAACCATTTGCAATTTAACATATCTCCTTAAAAAGGTGCGCCAATCCCAGTGTTCATTTTCATGAATGAATAGGCTACCTGTCAAAAGGACCATGCACTGAGTTTTCCAAAGCAGTATGTCACCACAACTTTGTGTAGCAACTCTTCTCATACCATGATGCAACTGGGCAATAAAGCAAAGGAGGAACTCATAATTGTAGATATACAGGAATCAAAACAAAATAGTTGTCAAAAGGATTCACAAAGGCTTTGCAAAAAGGTGCCATCTAATCTCCAAACTTAATAATGCTTTTCACTCAAATCCACTCCATTAGTTTGAAGAGTTACCTTTTTGTCCATTGTTGAAATCACTAGGGACTGGCACTTTGACTGGTGTTGCTGAGCTCTGAATTGTTAGTACACTAGGAGTGGCAGTGCTTGTATTGGCCTTTGGTCTTTGTCGTGGTGCTATTGAGGTTTCTGTTGGTCCAATGGCATCTGTTATTCTAGAATGAAAGAGATTCTAGAAATTTCTGAACTTCAAAAAGAAGGGTATAGTTAAGATTAGAAGCATATCTTCTGCACTGTCATTTATACAAAAATAACTTTCCATATATTCTCTCAATGTGCGCAATAACCACAAGAAGGGTCTTGAAAAATATTCTCCTTTCCAGGAAGCAACAGCTTGATTCAGCATTCTTCCATGTGCCATTCAACACATCTTTATGGTGTGTATTCAGTAAATTTAACTAACAAGTGTACACTCAAGTATGAAAATACTGCTATCCACAAAATGAAGTGCTCTAATGAATTTCCCTCTCATTTCATTCCAGTCTCTGCTTCTGCCACTTTCCTCAATGTCTCCTGTCTTCCTCTTTGCACACACAGCCCATAACCAGCACAAGTTACTTGACTGCAATACGTAACTAACACATGAGGGATCTAGAGTGCCAAACGTATTTCAGGTAGTCAATAGCTCAGTGTTGACTGAGACCTCTGTTGCACACACAGATCTCTGAAACTGGATCAGTCTGCAATCATTACATAAAGTAATTTATAAGGTTTCTTCAGTAATAACTCTATCATTGGACTAAAGTTTTCACAGAGTTCAGTCAGTCATGATTTAGTAATTTGGTTAACACTAAGAGCTGATTCAAAACATCTCTTAACCAGTGTTAACTGAATTACTACACTCCAATGACTTGAATCCTAACTTTCCTTCTAGAAACGGAATTCACTTTCATTAATTTCCCCTTCCCTCTGCAGATCCTTGCAAGCGCACATACACACACACATTTGCACTGAGGGTTGAGAGACCCTTCCGAATGCTGCGGTACATTGTGTAGGGAGGAGGTGGGTTGAAGCGGACAGAAACTGCTCCCTCCCTTATGAGAACGGAGGAGCAATTTAAGATCCATCTCAGTTTTCTCCTTTCTGCAAAGCAATATTCTACTGAGAACAGGTAAATGAGTCATTGAAAGCAGTTCTTTGTTGAAACTCCACATTAGACGTAGAGACAGTAATATTATGAATTTGTACAACTTCTCACTCTTCTTGTGCAATGTGTGATCAAAGTTGTGCGTTTTACTACTGTAGACCTGTGCAAGCACGTTTTGTTCAAGTAGATTAAGAAGGGTGTGTGTGTGTGTGTGTGTGTGTGTGTGTACCTTATACTGTCACAATCTCCATTCTCTTGTAGTGGGAGTAATCAATCAACCACTTGCACTGGTGGCCCCCATCAGTGCCCACAGATGCATTTTTCTATTTCAAAAATGTCTCTAGACCTCCAAGAAAAAGAGTTATGATGCAACATGTGCAGAAACCATTTTCTGGTCAATGGATCCACTTGCTATTTAAATAAAAGTAAAGGTCCAGTCATGGCCGACTCTGGGGTTGCGGCGCTCATCTCGCTTTATTAGCCGAGGAAGCCGGCCCACAGCTTCCAGGTCATGTGGCCAGCATGACTAAGCCAGGCAGCTATTTGAGATGCTTTTAAAGAATGTGTGTACTGGGATAAAGGAAGAAATAAAGGAACTGTATGTCACTTGTTTTGTTGCCTGCTGAGCATGTGGAGCAGGTAGCTGCTTGAATCACTTTTTGAAAATGTGGTGTGTGGAAGAAACACGCAAATCTTCCCACTGCTGCTGTAGTTTATTGTCTACATGCACATGGAGCAGGGAAGCTGCTTGAGAGGGGCCTCAGTTGATTTTGGGGAGGAGGGAGGATATGGAAACCCTTTCCTGTCTTTGCTGCATGACCTACAGCAGGCATTGTTTCAAATGTTTTTTGTGGGTGGGAACCCAGGCATCATATGGATGATGGTGATAATACTTAATCGTATCTTTTGTTGTTGTTGTTGTTATTGTTGTTGTTGTTGTTTAGAGAGACCCATTTCAGAAGCACCATTATTATCATCAACTTTTCCTCCTGTCTGGCTCATAGCAAAGATTGATCCCAAGCTGTTTGGGGAGGACAGAGCACAGTGGAAAAGCATAAACACTGGGTGATTTTCAACTAAATTTTACCCTGAGTAGACTCACGGAATACAGCTAAATTAGGTTCAATGTGTCTACTATGTGTAAGTTAGTTGACTCCCACCCACTATTATGATCCCCTCATACACCTGTAATTTTGAGAAGTTTGTGGATGACATTCAACCTCAACAATCACACCAGTCTAGCCAGTATTTTTCCACTACTATTCTGGTGAGTTTATGTATTTGCCTTGTATTTATATTATTTTCTAAATATAATAAGAATACTTGCTAGCCAACATTAGGTATCTCTTTTTATTTGTGACTATGCATGTGCACGGCTGGTCTTGAATACTTCGAGATTATTCCTGAATTCAGTTATCCTTTATATTTTAGTACTAGTCTACAGCAGCACAGCAACAAAAGACAACGTAACAAGCAAGGCTTAACAATGTCTGAAAAAGGAAAAATGTTTTCAAACAACTTTTGTTAGGGGAGGAAAAATAAGATTTTACCATATTAAGGTGCAATGTTTTAATGCAAAAAGTGCATAAAACTGCCATACTCACCGAGCTTTTATTTGGCTTTTCTTAGCAGCAGCCTCACTAGCTGTCAGGGGCTCAGGAAGAGTTGAAGGGAGAGGAGAATTCTTGGGGAAATAAATTAACCACGTTATTAGACTTCTGAAAGTAAAATAAGTAGCAAGTTCCAAAATAAGTAGCACCAGTAGCAAATAATTATATCTATCAATATCGAGCTCAATTCTCTGACTGCCAGTCCTTTTATACCCAGCACATTGCCATTCATGAACAAGAAGAAACCCCCAAGGCTTGTGGAAGTACAAAAAACATTTAAAAAATCCAAGAGTGTACCCCAAAACAGTGTGAGAACTGAGAACGCTCAGTGGCCTTGAAATACTGGCTTACTGTTGGGAAGAGGCAAAATGGTAAATTATGCAGTGGGGACAGACAGAATTGAATATCCTACAGGGGGATATGCCTAGGTGGGTCCAGGGAGTGATTAATGCTTCGCCGGGGGTGAGGGCAGGGAGAGAAAGCTACATTCCCTGCAGCCACCATTTTAAAATTTAGAGGTGGTTTCATAATGAATTCCTTAATTATGGAAGAATATGATATTTTAACTGTTTTGGAAGGGTGATACGTTTTATTATGTTACAGGTTTTGCGTTTTTATGTTGCACACTGCCCTGTGATCTTTGGATGAAAAGCAGTATATAAATTTACTAAATAATAAGTAAATAAATAATATTTTTGATATCTACTTAGTAAAAAGCTGACACTGGTATGCCAAGAAATACAAACCATAGTCTGGAATCTTAATTAAGCTTAAAGACCAAGGCTTTTGCAACTCCCTTTAGCTTCAGAAGCTTTCTATGTCACCTAGGAGCAAAAGGACTACTGGGATTTTTGTGGGAATGAGTAGAACGAATTCAAAAGCTTTGCTGCACCTGCAGAGTTCATCATGCAGTAGGCTAAATTGTGTCTATAGCAGCATTCTGCTTTACTATGTCCTTGAATTCTGAATACACTTTGTGGGGGAACCAACCCAATTGCATTAACTGACTGAATTAACAATTCCTGACATCTCCAAGAGGAAAGCTCAAAAAGGAGAAAGTACCCAGACCATCCAACAATTTTATATTGCATTTGATATATAAAAAACCATAGGTTAATGTCATTTACTGTTCAAAGCAGGCACAGTGTGTTTTTCTGAATTGCCATGAAGGGAATGTTTTGAAAAATTATCTGAAGTTACCAAATTTAGAGCCACTATGTATGGCGGGGAAGGAGTTCCCATTTTTTAAAAAAAGTCAAAAAGCTAGTGCCATTCCTTTCGCTAACCTTAAAAATATTAGCATTATGTAAGATCTACTTACATTGATATTGGATATTGGACAGTCCTTTTTGGCAAGTTTAAAGGCAAAGTAAGAAACTTGAAAGATATCAGGTCTCTGTTCTTGATCTGGTTCAAGCATATACCCTGTAGATTACAGCAGATTAAAAGATTAGCAGCAAGAAAGAAGCCTAGATTTAGCAAAGTAGAATAAAAGTGAATCAAATAGATTTTGTAGTGCAGCTTTCATTGCTTCTATGGACAGACAGGTACCGCACAACCAGTTTTTTGTGGTAGGCAGGGGGGTAAAACAACGTGAAACAGCTGCTGTTGTCCATATTCTGCTTGTGGGCTTCCCGAAGGCATATATTGCCTACTGTGGGAAACGGAATGCTCAAACAAGATCCAGCGAGCCTCTTATTTTCATCTGCCAGGTCCTAAAACTAATTGGGCACCATGCAGTCTAGAAAAAATTGCCTTCTCTATCATGTTGCATTATACAAAGTAAAATATACAGACACCATTCTTCTCATTTTTTGTGAGAAATTAGCATGTATCACCCTTTTCAGTGTATTACTTTGCCCGCATGCCCCCCAGAAAAAATCCTATAGCAGTTCATGTGTGTGAGAGAGGGATGCACTTGGAAGATGCATTTGGGGTGGGGGGAGATGAAAGGGGGAGAGAGATTATGAATATGTGGTATGTGAAACATAGAGAGAGGTGCACTTGGGCAGAGAAGGAGAGATGTATATGTGAAATGGGTATGTATGAGAGAAAGAGATGCATGTGTGTATAAGATCTGTAAGTGCACAGTAAGTATGTATGTGTGTGCTGGAGTGTGAGTGTGGTGTGGCCACCTTGTATATTTTTCATAGTACCGTGGTACCTCGGGTTAAGTACTTAATTCGTTCCGGAGGTCCATTCTTAACCTGAAACTGTTCTTAACCTGAAGCACCACTTTAGCTAATGGGGCCTCCAGCTGCCGCCGCACCACCACAGCACAATTTCTGTTCTCATCCTGAAGCAAAGTTATTAACCCGAGGTAATATTTCTGGGTTAGCGGAGTCTGTAACCTGAAGCGTATGTAACCTGAAGCATCTGTAACCCGAGGTACCACTGTACCGGTAAATGCTCTGTTATTGGACAGCAACACCATTATTGTGTTCATGAGTGTGTGTGTGTTTGTGAGAGTGAGAGACTGCATTACTGCGTAACCGCCACAATCAAGACCAACAGGACATTGCTGACTGCATGGCAAACCTGAGCTAGTCCCAGGCTGGAATGGGCAAAGAAAAGTAGTAATAACTGTGCTGTATCCAGTGCTTTTTTTCTAAAAAAAAGTTTGGGGTACTCTCATTTTCCTACTCATACTGAAATACTGCCCCTCAATAAGGCCAAACTTAGATTCACAAAATCTTTAGGAGTATGCCTACCCCTGCGTACCACCAGAAAAGAGCAATGGGTGTGTCTAATTCAATGTTATGCCACACATCCCACAGCTGCCATGTTGTGTTACGCCATGAAAGTCAATTTCTGACTAGTGTCCATGGCACTTTTTCTAAATGTGCCTGGCTTGGTAAATCAGGTTGGCAATCCCTTTGATTATATTAGAACCTTAGGTTTTTTAAACAGATTTTATGCATTAAGATTTGGAGGGGGCCTATTTTCCCTTCTTAAATTTTCTCATCAATTTATATTTTTCCATTTTAAGGCTATGGTTGAGATTTTGTTTTTGTGGCACTGGGGCTTGGATCCTAGCATTACTTCAATAAGCAGGAGTATCCCAAACAGAGTTCTTCTCATGAAGAAGCCTCTGGTGGAAAGGGAGAAACGCTTCTACCAATTTCCCCTTCAACCTCTTCTGGAAAGAACCTTCCAGAACCGTGTGAGAGATGGTGTTGGGAGAAGGACAGCGATATCATCAAAGCCAACTCCTCACTGTCCATCAGGAGAACCCTCTGCCGACACAAAAAGTTTCCGTAGATGAAAAGGGCCTTTGTTTGCAGAAGGCAAAATTTAGATCTGACCCAATATACTGATTAGTGTTTGTTGAGGCACTTTTGGATTGAATCGTTTTAGAATATGTATTTTGTTATGCAATAATGTATGCAACATGTATTATGTATATTGCTGTCAAAGCACTGAGCAGAAAATAAAATGAAACGAACACTCAAAAAGGCCTGGGGAAGGATTCCTTTTATCTTAATATTGGTATGATCATATACTTGAAAGCAAACATACATTATTTCCACAGATGTACTCAGCAAAGTTCTATGCAATGAAACCTTCAATCAGCAAGGTAATTCACTTTTGGTTTAGCACCCCATCAAAGATTAAAGCATTTCACAGACAATGTAATTTGAAAGTTACCTCAGTTACTAGGATGTTGGATAGAAACTAAGTGGTTTCCAGCTGTAATGCTTTAAGAGATATGAAAAAAGGTTTACAAATGGGTAAAAGCTTAATGGTAAGGATTTGCTGAACTAACAAACTGAACTGGAATACAAAAAAGGGAGGTACGAGGAGGTCCGGGGAAATAAGTATAAGGAAGATATGCTATGGAAAATTAATGTGTTCTTAACTGTTTTTATTTTGTATGTTTCTTTTTATTTTTCATTTCTTTGCTATATCTTAATAAGGGTTTTTTTATTTTTCTTGCTGTATTCTGTATTTTCTTGTATTTTTACTTTTTGTTTTTGTGTAATTCTCGTATTTTTTGAAATTTTAATAAATATCATTAAAAAAAAAATGAAAGTTACCTCAGTTACTTACTTATCAAACAATGTATACCATGGGAGTAACGTGAATTGTCTGGGATGGTAAAGCTTCCATCACAAATGGCAACCTGACTCTCACCAAAGGGAAGTGTGAAGAAACAAAGCTTATATAGCAAGCAACCAAGAGCCTATGGAGTGAAACAGCAGGTGAAACACAGTTATTGGGGGAAATCACCAAATACAAAAAGCTTTGCTAAGAGCATCTCTTGCTGCTGCTGGCACACAGTCAAGCTTCATAGAGATGGTAAATTGCTCAACCTTTTGCACTTCAAAATATACAGTAGATTTGCTAATGGAGTGCTTTCATTTAAAGCACTTTACAAGAATTTGAATCCTATTTTTTCCCCATGATTCAGCACAAAGAAACAAGTAACAAGTATAATGATTTATTAATTGAGATTATGTATTTTACCCTATATTTGACTGAACAAACATTCAGATATGCAAGCCATTTCGGTGTTATTCATAAAGCTTTTATTTAAATACTATGCTTAATAAAGGAACATTCTGTGGGGGAAATGCAACAAATTCTATCCTATTCAACAACAGTAAAAGTATTCAGTTTTCTTACCCAGATATCTGCCTTGGTAGTAATTGGTTTCCCTCCATAAAGATTAATCATTTCAGGAGCTCTGTATGATAACGTAGTATACCTATGAACATATAATTGGATAATTAAAGGTGAACAATAAAATATAGACTTGTTTTGAATTTTCAGACTGTGCATTACTGCACTAAGATTGGGGCAATGCAATTCAGCAATATGGGCAAAAGCCTAAACGTATCAAAGAGTAATAATTCTTTTATGTATCACCATATGATGATAACACTTTTGTTATTATCCTGAAAGTATCCTCAAAATGTAACAAAATTATGAACTTGTAAAGTCAATAGGGTTGCTGTTTCTTTCTACTTGCTCCTTTTTCATGCCTTTACCATTTTGAAATCAGATTTTTAAACTGACCTCTGCAGCCTAGAGGGCAAGTGCTTTCTCACTCTTTTTTTAATAAAATGCAAGCTGCAACAGAGTAACAAAAAGGAAAAGGGAAAAAGCATCTTAGAGGCCCAATGGCACTTGAATGCAATTTTTAAAATTATGTTATTATAGCTCTTTGAATGTACTGATTTTAAACAATAAATTTGAAACTGGGAATTCAAACCACAATTATAACATACCATCGAAAAAGGGCACTATAATCACAGAACGTATACAAATTTGTGTTCTAAATAGCAAAGAACTGAACTAATCTCTATTCATGGACTGACCCTTGGAAGGAGAGAGACCATGAAAAGGATTACCATAACAGTACACACAAGGGAGAAAGGAACAGAAAATCATGCATCTAGCACTCAAGAGAGAGATTAATGTATTTATCCTGCTTTAAAAGACACTGATACAAGCTCATATCCAGATGTAGATATATATCCATGTGGTAAACTGGATCTTTCGCCATATTATGATGTTTACCTTCTAAAATACCTATGCATATGTAGAACGACACTTTGAAGTTGCCATGCATGTGTTCCTATTGTTATTAGACAGATAATTCTAGGATTGTCAGAGTACTGATTTTTAAAAAGCTGCCCTAAGAAATTGAACTTACTTTTTAATTTCTTCTTCAACTACATTAACTCCATCTTTCTGAGAATTAAGGAATTTATTAGTGGCACTGCCAAAGTCACAGAGGACATAGTTTCCACTGTCATTCAACAAAAGGTTCTCAACCTTAGAAAGAAAGAAAAAAGCACACGCATATAAAATAGAAGGCATTCCTAATTTTCAAGCAGTCACCTTTCCTTTAATGTCTTAATCTGGCAGGGTCAATGGCACTTTAAAGTGTTCATACTTCAGCACCAATACTGAAGGACCAAGCTTAAATACGCTAAAGCAGCCTTACTCAACTTTGGATCCCAATATATTGTTGGACTACAAGTCCCATCATCCCTAGTGAGAAGGGCCATTAGTCAGGAATGATGGGAGTTGTAGTCCAACATCTTGGGACCCAAGATTGCTCTAAAGGGAAAAAAGTATTGCCAAATGCATGTAAGCTGTAGATCCAATTGTTAAAGCGTGTTAACCAAATGAAGAAGCTAAGCACAGCATGTTACACTGCCATGTTTTGTTCAGATTGATGCCATTATTCAACAATGGCTAACCTTCAATTACAAACACATTATTGGTGGTTATTCCTATGGTGTAGCAAAGTTTGATACCCTCTAAACCAGGGATAGATAACTTATGGTCCTCCAAAAGTTGCTGAACAACTCCCACTGTCCCTGAACATTGAACATACCAAGCAGGACTGAGAGATGGAATCCAACTCCACCTGGAAGCTACAGGTTTCTCATACCTTATCCAAAAGTAATAATCCACTCATCCTCCTGCTATTTTTCCATACCCTCACATTCCTTGCAAAAATTTGGGCAGTCTCTTCTCAGAACTTTAAAGGCTAGCAGAAGAGCTCTTTCTCCTGGCCTTGAAGGTCATTAGCCCTTTAAAGCCAGAATGAAAAGTACAGAAGTACAGCTCCCACAAAGGTGCCATTTCCTAGCTGAGTAGCACAAAAAGGCTCTCTGCACTGCCTCTTTCAACTTTAAAGGGCAATACAGCTGGATTCAGGCAAGTGGGACAATCATGGACCTTTGCGATCTTCAAATATTTGAGTGAAGAGCTCTTCCCAGGTTGAGCAAAATTTCATTCCTATCCCCATTCCTAATCCAAAGAAAAGGAAATCTAAGGATGTTGCACATGATCTCCTAAGCAATGCATATCAATTTGCTATTACAGCAATACCAAAGTATATCTTATTTCATTCAAGTTACTCAAGAACAATGTACAAAAACAATGACGTTGTTCTTAAACTTTTGGAGACTCTTGTTCAAAACAAGAAATCCCTACTGTATCACCGCATAAACATCTATTTCAAGGATTTTCAAAATTGGTGAATAGCTTTAAAAAGAAAAGGGACAGACGTACCTAAATCTAATTCAAACTTAGTGTTGTTACATGCAATAAAACAGGAGTCAAATACAGAGATTTTATTTCAAGAACAGAAGAATTCCTCTCAGTTCCTCTCACCTTCAAATCTCTATGAACAATGGGAGTTTTGCATTGATGCAGCCTAGCAACAGCTTCACAGGCATCACAAAATATCCTTAGCACTTCTGGCTCAGTAAAGCCTGTCTGCAACCTCTGGTTCATCTGATTCACTACCTGCCCAGCTACAAAAAGAAGGCAGATATTACAATATTACATTAAAGAGGATGTTAGCACAGTGAAAACACTACTTATTCAAAACACAAACATTTTAAATCTCTGACCAACTATGAGCGCTGTTTTTAAAAAGTTGAAGTACCACCTTAAGACTCTCATTTGCCTGGGTATAAGCACCACTGAATTCAGTTGGACTTACTTCTGAACAGTCATTTTATTAATTAATTAATTTTATATAACACCTTTCATCAAAAGATCTCAGGGCAGTTCACATAATAAAAAAGTGAGTAAGATTGCACTTTTAATATAGCAAGGACTATCATATGAAAGTAACTATTGTGTGTTAGACAATTTTTTATATTTAAAGTGACAGAGGCTTACCACGACAGTATTCCATTAAGATGAGCACTTCCCAAACATTATCACTAACAGAATTAACAGCACAATCCAAATACCCTACAATGTTCTTGTGCCCAGACAGTTCTTTCTGAAAAAGAAATAATAGTTTAGGAATAAAGAAATAAACTTTTTTTAAGGGCTGGAAAAAATAGTATACATGCATTACTGCAATTAGCCTAAAATGCCATAGTCAAAGCTATCTAAAATATCACTATTAATATTATATATTTATTTATATCTCTTCTTTTTCCCCTCACAGGACTCAAGGCAGTTTACAATTAACATAAGAATCACTAAAAAGGGGGAGGGACTATATATATTTTAAAATCTATTAAAGCTGCTGATAATTACAATAAAGGCAGCATGGCACCATACATTTCATTAAAAGCAGCTCCCCCCAAGCCTATTGAAACAAAATAGTTTTCACCTGCCGGCAGAAGAACAAGGAGGGAGCCAGTCTAACTTATCTAGGTAGTAAGTTCCAAAGTCCTGGAGCAGCCACTGAGAGGGCCCTGTATGCCTGTGAGGGTGGCAAGACTGAGAGAAGGCCTCTCCCAAAGTTCTCAAAACACAAGTGGTTTCGTATGAGGGAATATGTTCTCTCAGATAGCTTGGACCTGAACCATGTATGGCTTTATAGGTCTATCAGCACTTTAAAACATTTGCTTCTCATGATTATCTTGACTAAACAGTTTGACAAATCAATTTATAGAGACTAAGTAAATAGCTTAAGATCGTATCCAATGTTGTGCAAGCAGAAGGCAGCTTGTACAACTGATTTCTTTTGTTCCTCCACCATAAAGACCCCTTTCCCACCACCACCAGAACCCCCCTTTGACCAAGGGTCAAAGGGAGCCACTGGACAATGTGGGACAATGTGCTGCAGTGGGAAGAACTGTCCACAATAAGGACCCCTGCACGAGCAGTTTAAGATTCCTCTGCCTGTTACTTGATACAGGTGATGAAGTTCTGTTCAACATCTCTGTCTCACCACCAAAACTGCAATTCCCAGGGTTCTCAAGGAAGACAAAATGACTGTTAAACCAGTATGTCTGGATTGCAAGTGTGCCCTGAGAAAGAGGGGAAGGAAAAGGTTGTGAGAAAACGGAACAAGAGGGATACGCGTCCCACACTGCAGGTTAGGTTTAAAAGGGTGGGTTACAGATTTGAAGAGGAGGGGAAACTATAGAATTTATGGCTTGGTTCCGAAGTCACATTAGACCATAGTTAAAATTAAATTATGGTTTTACATGAATGAGAATTGTGCTGGCCAAAAGGTCTCATTGCACTCCACCACTGCTTCCTTCATCACACAGGGGAGAAAACAGACCACAGACTGGCTTTGCATTACCCCTGTAGTTTTTTTCTCTACAAGCAAACAATGGGCAGACGCCAAGGAGAAAAAACAATAATGAGTACTGGTTTGTAGGTACGATGAAGTCAGCCTCTGGTTCATTTCCTTCCCAGCGCACCAAAGGAAGGAGTGGGGGAAAGAGTGCAGTGACACCTTTTGAACCACATTAAACCACAATTTAATTTTAATTATGCTTTAACGTGATGGTCAAACCTGGCCTCTGTTACATTCACACTATCCTAGTGAAATGACTACGAAGAGTAATCTGTATTGTGTATTGCCCATGAATGTTATGTTAACCTCTATTAGTTTTAACACTATGTTTAGACCACATTCAACTATTATTTAGAAAGAAATGAATAAGCCTAGCCTTTCCCAGGCTCACACATTCCCCCTCTCTTCTCTTCCAGCACAGCCAAGGGTTCTGAAGCTTTTGCCCACAGAAGTTCCTATGTCTGTTTGAAAGTAATACAAGTGAAGCCAACATATTCAAACTTTTTTATACTAATGCATGCTTGGTATAAAAAATGAGTTGCCAGTATTGTGCATGCAGAAAAAAATGTCTTTCAATATAGAATTGGCCAAAGGAAAGGCAAAAACCTTCTGACTTTTTTGCTGCCTAAGGCTCACTCATGGAATATGTGATGGGACATATATATATACAGGGTCTTCATCTTTTGTCTGCCTTCCCAAGACCACAGAACACTGTCTGAAGTGGCTTCTGTCCTCTGCCATTTGGAGTCCAATTTATTTCACTTTTGATATCTTCAAAAGCCCTTCAACTCCTTGTTCTTCTGCAAGTGGGTGGAACTTGCATGTTTTTATGCTGTTGTTGTTTTCTCTTGAAAATCAGTAATATATACCGAAAAAATATGTTGACAATAAGGTATTATTTTACTTACCATTATTGTTATTTCTCTTTTGCAGATATTGAGGTCAGGCACATTATTAACATACATTCGTTTCAATGCACATCGGACTCCACCATGTGTATGCACAAGTAGCACTGTGGAAAAGCCACCTGAAAGAACAGAGACTAAAGTTTACTAGGTCTATAAACATATTAAGATGCTTAAGTATAAACAAATGATTGTAAAATATTATTTTTGAGTTATAAATGAGAATCTGAAATGAATGACAAAATAAAGGACAAGAGACTATTATTGTACATACACACACACACACACACACACACACACCCGGTATGAATGAACTGAAGATTGGTAGTGGGTCCTCAGACAAAACCTCTACTATGCCTACAGCCAGCCAGCCTCCTGCTACTAAACAAAACAAGACCTCATCCCTCCTCTGTGCATATGGAGAGGACCTAGAAGAGGCAGAGGACCTAGAAGTCACAGCTGACTAGTAAGCAAACCAATATTTGTTGACATTTTTAATTACACCAATGTCCAAATAAAACAGGAGCAGAGTTGCGTGAAGGATGTGAAATGCTGGATTTCTGTGATGGCTCCAAAGATTGAACAGGACACAAAAGAAGAAAAATGTTGTTACAATGGTTCTGGAAACATTTAATATGGATTCAGCTAAGCTTAACACTATCTGGAAAAACAGATTGAAAATCCAAGCTGCCATTGTACCCTCACATCCAAACACTGCAAATTTCAAATGCATTCCAGCAGGTGGATTTGAATACAAACCACAAATTTTAAATCTTTAGCATCTATCAAGGCACTACTTTTTATCTCTTTGGACTATAATATTTCAACCATTCAAGTATTTTTATGTCCTACCATCTTCAGTATGAAAAAAAAAACCATTCTACATAATAGTGTTTATGACTTGCTTTTATCTGTTTACAAGATGTTCAGCAGCGCATAAAGACTAAACACATACTTTAAATGACTAGATATGCATACTATCACTGCTCAGTTCATGTCACAGGCATGGTTCTGGAATTACTGTCCAAATAACTTTGGGGCTATATTTGACAACTCATAACAAGTATCTACCCTGTACCAACTTACCCCCATGGACTTCCGTCCTATTGCCAGAAAAGTAAGCCTCAAAAGGCAAAAAGCATATTATACCTAACTTCTGAAACTAGTCATGTCTCTGCTATTTATAGACAGCAAGACTCTTCACTGCATTATGCCCTATGGTTTACCTTCAGTCAGCTTTTAGCGTGGAAGCAAATTTGACCGTGCAAATACACCTATCTGTCCCAAATCAGTCAATTTCCCTAATCTCAACAGCTTTTGTACAGCTTAATATACAACACTTACGGAGACCATGTACCTCAAGAGATCCAGTAACTTTTCACATGAAAAGTTTTAAGCTGTGGTTGGCCCTATATGAATGAACCCCAAAGATCCTCAGGCTTGCTTGTATTTCCCTCCTCCTTTGCATGCAAAAATTCCCACCCCTCCCTGCTTTGCAGAAAGCCAATTTGTCATTTCATCTAAACTGACAAATTATGGTCTGCTTTTGCCCTACAAACCAAGATCAAAACATGCTGCCATTGCCACTTATGGAATCTGATATCATGGTGCCTCCGGTTACAAACTTAATTAGTTCCGGAGGTCCGTTCTTAATCTGAAACCGTTCTTAACATGAGGTGCGGTTTCGCTAATGGAGCCGCCCGCTGCCGCCATGCCGTGCGAATTCTGCTCGCATCCCGGGGCAAAGTTCGCAACCAGGAGCATCTACTTCCAGGTTAGTGGAGCTTGTTACCCGAAGCATTCGTAAGGAGGACAGTACGTAACCTGAGGTTCCACTGTACAGATAAAGCAAAGTGAGAAAAGAAACTTTACTGGGCATAATCAGATAATCAAGGACATGTTAGCAAGGAAAGATTGGATCCAATGCTGCACTAGCTGAGTTCCATTCACCCAATGGATTTTCGGTTTCCTTTTATCTCCCCCTCATGCACTCCCATAGTCTCTCGGCAGGCTATCCTAACCCAACCCTGCAAAACTGATTTTAAGGATGAACACGGGACTGGAGGGCACAGAAGAGAACAGGAAGTTCTGTTGCACAAACAGATCCACAGTACTGGATACAAGCCAAAGCATTTAAGAAAGATATTTTGAACGTGCCTGAAATTCTCCAAGATATTGTTTTGAAAGCAAATCAGATAAAAGCTTAAGACACGTTGCACTTCTTCAACTGCAACATTAGTTCAAGCTTCCTACATCTTACAATCATTTTTAGATTTAAGCTGCCAAAGAGGCCCTGTTCAGTGCCAAGGACATTTCATGGGCACATATAGTTCCTCCTTGCCCTGCATGAACCACACACCTGCAGCTGTGCACTGTAGGGCAAGAGCAGTAATGGTGGGCAAACTGTTTTTCAGGAAAGTTTGTCCACCAGTTTTCACCTTCTCACTGGGAAATTGCTAAGTTCCACAGCACGCAACATGGAAAATATTGAAGGGGAAATGCAAGCAATTACTCTTATGCCATTAGGTGGCAATATAGCCTAACATATACAGTTTTAATTCAATCAATCAATTGTGATGATCTGAAAAATGATAATTTATTGTTGCTCACAGGTAAACAAAAAAGGCTATACGTTATTTAAGTGCTATCAGTCTAATCAAGAAAGTGCTTATATCACTATGTAGATTTAGCTTATATCACTATAAGTAGAGTTGAGTGTCCTCCTAATTAAAACAACTGTAGAATATAACTTGCATAGTATAAACAACCTACTTTTTAACAACAAAAAACATTTACTAGAGAACTGTGGGCTCTTTAATATCCTCGATACATTCCTTACTATAAATCATGGAAAGATAGTTCAGGTTTATGAAAAAACTGAGATATCAAAGCTTTTTCCACTTAAAGCATGTGTCCAAATATCTTCAAAGAATGAAGCCATTTCCCAAATTTCCAAATTCCATTCACAGTAATACACTCTAAGACAAATTTTGACATCAAACCCATATTCATAACAAACACTGATATGCAACATTGTTCCTTAATACTTAGGAGAACTGTCTGAACTTAAGTTGTAGTATGCATAGCAACTTAACATTTATGCAATATTTGTTTTCAAGTTTCCAGACTCTCAACAACTAAGACAAAAAAGTAGTACTAGTTGAACACACATGACTCTTCATATCAAAGCCTGTATTCCTACACACACACTTCCGCTTCAAGAAGTTTTCCACTTCTCCCATGCTTTCATGAATCAGAGCAAGGAAACCCAATTGATGTTTGCTCTGATTCAGTGCTAAAGAGCAGGTTTTCCTGGGGAAAGTGATGGGAACAACAAAAAACCACTCAGACCCGTGCCTAGAAAGCATGGCAGAAGTGGAAACAACAACAAAAAAGGTAAACTGAGAACAAATCTTGGTTGCCTCATAATTTGTCTGGAGGAAGACAAACCACAACCATAGATTTGGATATGCATCAGCCCCACGCTGTACTGCAGCAGCAGGACTGGAAAAGAGGATCTGAGAACTTTAACATTTGCTCATGTGTATTAAGCCATGGTTTGGTTTACTACACGCAAACCCAGTAAAAATACAAGTGGGGCAGAAGGCCCAATCAACATAGTGTACAAGCCGCCACCCCCCAAAATAAACTTTTGCAGGCACACCTGACTGTTGTTCATTTTAACAATGGCAAGTTTAAATGAGTCAGCTCCAGCAAGTATAGCTTTAAGCAAACTCTCTGAGACTAGTCCCCCCATTAATTTTAACACACACACTTGCTGTTTTGGATGGCATGACAAGTCTGCTCACCCCTCTTGGTGCAACAGCGTTGCAGGACGGCAGAGGCTTCACTGGGGCCCTGATGAGGGAACTTGAACAGCAGTGCCCTTCCTGGTAGGCGGCTTAAACCCCCTCCGCCTATCAGGAACGGATCCTAGTGGGCATCCAGCTTTGGAAAATGGGGATGCAGGCTGGGAACTCGGGCTGTGCCAGGGGGTGGAGCCAACGAAGCAGGTAGGCTTCCCTCAATCCACCCCTTGCCCATTTAAGCAGCCTGTACCTGGGGCACTACCTGTTTGTTCCTTTCCAGGGGGTTTCCCTGCCCGCCTGCCCTAGGTTTAAGCTGATAGTCAATGACTATGCTGTGACTACAGTGGTCGCCATTCTTTAAGCAGCCAGGTAGGAATTTGCTCACCGGGTGGTTTTGCCTACCTCATCCGGTGGTTTTGCCTACCTCATAGCAATCGTCTGGTTGGGCATTGGGGCAATCCTTTGCTTTGGATGGAGGGGAGGATGTAGTCTCCATTAACACACACTTGCTGGTTTGGATGACATGACAAAATGCAGTTAAACTAAAGGAACAAATGCTCCCAAACTCCTTTTCTCACCTGCATAGGAAAGATGAGCTGAAAGGGGAGCACGTAAGCCGGCGGCATGCTCCTGTTTAGTGTGGCATGAAAAAATATGGCCATTCTCTCAAAAATCCTTCCCACAAGTTTTCAAAGATTTTGCTTTCAATATGCAACGTATGGCAATTAAAGGGTACTCAAAAACACACCGAAAGAGAATAGGAGCCTGAAACTGATTCAGCACACTTGGATTATGCATACTTTTGGTTTTAATTCACTTACACATTTACAAATAGAGACCTTATACACACACACACTCTCTATATATACATACATATACATATATACATATATATATATATATACCGGTACACACACACACACACACACACACACACACACACAGTACATGATTTACAATGGTTAGTAACTTTGAAACAGCAAAATCTGATAATGTGTCTATTTCTGTTGCTTATTCATTTTCTGGAACAATGCTTTCATAGAAAATGAGAACTCTGTACAAAAATATAACAACAGAATATTTCCATTATTGAAAGCTTCCCAGCCCACCTCACTAGAAAAGATATTTAAGTGAAAACCTTACAGTATTTTTAAACTGCCTGTATTCAGATTGTATAAATACAGAGAACTTCTAATTTAAATAGAATTTAAGAGTAACACTAGTTTTGTAGCCAGCATGAAAGGAGATGTATAGAATGTTGCAAACTCTTACCACATTAGGAGCCTTTTATTTATATGTTAAGGCACAACCACCTCCAAGCAGCTCCTAACCTGCTGGAAGCAACATGGAATGTCTTCCTTTAAGTGTCTCTGTATTGGCCTGGTTACCATACAGTGTGCATTACATCCAGCTATGCCAAAATCTCAGGACACACTGGGCTGGTTCAGATTATCATATCTTGTATTAAGATATACACAGCCCTTTTGTTCAAGCTGTAATTAAGCCATGAGATTTGTAAGCCGTGACATTTCCCTCCTTTATCCAAACCAGAAAAGTATGGCTATCAAATTAGGAACAAGCCAAGACTATTAGGACCAACTTCAAACCATGGTTTAATACTTCTGGCTTGCTCCGAAACTGGTAACTACAGTTTCCCAGTTTGGGCAAAGCAATGAACAATGGTGAATAAGAAACTTCCTGGCTTCATAGTGAGTGGCTCCCAAAAGTGATAGAAGTTGTTTGTATGGCAAAAGGCTCTATGAGACCCAACTGAAATGACTGACAACTTTTCACACTGATTTTAAAGTGGTCTAAGTTGAACAAGTCTGTATCCAAATCCTAAACCCCCATATCCCTCTCTAAGTTAGGGTAATCTATTGGGCAAACAGATATCTCAAACACAGCACAAGGTCAGAGGAAAATCTGATCCTCTATCCAGCTCTAAGCTTAAGTCAGGGTGGGTGGTGGAAAGGGACAAGCTTCTGTCTCTGACAGATCAGGATGGGGGTGGGGGAGTCTAGTCTCTATACCTTCTTGATCTTCAAGCTGATGGGGGGAGGCAGAGCTAGCTAGTTTACCTCTGCATGTAGCTCCATATTTAGATTCAAGTTGATCTTACTTAGATTAATGTTGTTGATCATAGCCTGTGTTCCATCTAACCATGGGGAAATGGGGGGGGGGGAGGCCAAACAAAATCTACCTACCCCTGTCACACATAAAGAACCTCAAACAAAATGCTGAAATACAGCTCCAGCTCTTAAACATAATTGTTCCTGTTTTGGGCTCCAGTCAATCTGGAACAAGAGTCAGGTAGCAGTGTTCAGAACTTGAGGGGAGGCCTTTAGGAGAGACAGTAAGAACTCCTGAAAACTTCCCCTTACTGCACTATATACACTAAGACGCAGGGCTAACTTCCTGATCTGATCCCAAGTCCTCTGCTGCTGATGAGCACAAGGTTTCTTGAAAATGGAAAAAGTCAAAGGCACCTATTTTGTCTACCCACCCGCAGAAGTCTCCCCGTGGCAAGCACCCACCTCCACCCCCCTTTTCCAATCTTTCAAGGCTTGCCTAAGCTTGTTACTATCTCAATAAACCAATGTTTATTATGACACGAACACAGAAACTATTTCGGAATCATAAATACAATGTCAGTTATGCACTCATTCTGTTTTCTATTTCCCTTAATAAACTTTGTTTGCTAATTCTGTCATACTTTCTCCTGTAATATTTCTTTAAAACAAAACAATTGTGAGAGGGATAATATGGATTGAGGTGTTAGCTCTTTCTCTGTACACACATTTCTCCTCAAGATACAATCCCTCTCCTCTCCCATCCAAGCATTTTTTTCCTTTCTCTCTTTCTCTCCCTCTATCACACACAAAACCACTTCACCCAGTTTTTCTACTCCTCTCCTTGCTTCCTCCAATCCAGTGTTTTCCCACTTTAAAAAACCCTCCCCACCCCTAAACACCTATTTGTCATCTAGAGGTGGGCAGGAGGAAACTGGAGAGGAAAAGTTTAAAAGTCCATTCCTCTGCCCCCCCCAATAGAATGCATCTTCCACATTTCAAGGTTTTAGTACCCTATACTAGTGCTGAGGGCATCAAACATATCTGAACTTCAGAGAGCTGAATATTTAAGCATTAAAAGATACTAGAGCAGAGGTTTTCAGATTGTCTGATGACTAGCTGCATTCAGGTGGAACCACAATAAGGCTGTGTAACAGTCAATAATTTCTATGCTTGGCCCTGTACAGTACTTGATTCTTTCCCTGCCCCACTGCTGAGACCATTTTGACCACCCTTACTTCTTGGCCATCATTACTGCCTTTGGTTTGGCTAGGTCACAATGGCTGCCGTGAATGTCGAAGCCACAACTAAAAAATCCATGTATATTGGGCCTCATGGCTTCCCTTCCTCCTGGGAGCTCTTTCAAGTTTCTGAGCTTCCCAACCAAAGTATTCCTATCCTGGGACCTGTGGGAGAATTTGAATTCCATCAAAACTCACTACTTTCCCTCCTCTCACAAAAGAGACTACACCACTTAATTCAGCCACTCAAATCTTCACCCACAACTGAATCCAAAGGTGTTTTCCTATGAGTACAAGAACACTGCCTAAGAAAAAGGAATTGAAATCCAGAGGCAGCCCTCTTTTGTTCAAGTCCTTGCACAACATTATTTACTATTTTTCTATGTATTCTGTACCTTTAACGGTTTACAGCTTAAATTCCTTTCTTGTGCACAATCATCAGACATCATAATTATGTCAGGTGACTGACACCTGTCAAAGTTGGCCCATGAGGATGGGAGAGATAGGTCAACGAGGCTTGCTCAGTCCTGGGCACAGAATTTCCCAAACACCTAACAATCAGATGATTGTCAGACGTTTGAGAAGTGCTGCGCACAAGGCTGAATAAGCTTTGCAAGCCCTGCACTAGGTTTTTTCGGAAGTGTTGAACACAGGCTTGTAAAGTGACTTGTGCAGCGTTTCCCCAATCAGCTGGTTGTCGGGCATTTGGAAAGTGTTGCACGAAGGGCTTTGCAAGGTCTGTGCTAAGTGGTTTCCAAGCACATGGCTTGCAAAGTTATTTGCACAGTATCTGACAATCAGCTGATTGTCTGATACTTCAGAAGTGCTGCACAAGGGGCTTTACATACACAACCAACAAGCAGTGCCTATAAAGCCCTTTCAGCCCAGCCTCATGTCATTTTGGCATCACGTATAGGACAGATGGGTACAGGTTGCCTGAAACAGCCTTGCAGGCCAAATGGGGAGGCCTTGTGGGCCAAATTTAGCCCTTAGGTTAGAGATTTCGCACCCTAGCAATACACAACAAACCAGTATTTTTTATTTGACCATATGCAGTTTGTTTTGCAATGATTATTCAAATACTGTCAACCATGCAAGACAGAAAACTACTCAGAAATACTGTGCATCAAATTCATGCCTGTTGGGAAATACCCATTATTCACAACTTTGGCAAAATTTTTCCAACACAATTTTGGAAAAAATAAGCTGAAGATAATCTGTAATAAGAATAGTGCATCTATCCAATAAAGTTAAGCACCTTCAAGTTCAGTTTTATTTAAATACAAGAAGTTTAACTCTGGCTCACTGAAGTCAATGAGACATATGCTTAACTCTAGCTAGTTCATGCCTGTGGTAACTATCAAATTTAACTATCTGCAGCATATCAGAAAGGCAAATTGCTACTATCAGCTTTGCTAATATTTATTTTCTAAATCAACTAAATAAATTACACTCTTACATTATGCAATTTGAGACTTACTTTCAAACACAACCACAGAATAGGGCTAACACACAAGTATTTGCAGGTAACAGGTTATTCACTTGAAGACTTCTCAGTTCTATGTCATTTAAAATATGTAAACAAAAAAATCAACACAAGCTATTTGGCTACTTCAGAGATTCTGGATACTACAGATTATTAACAAAAACTGGAGAATGGGGGAGACCTAATGGCAAACTTCATTATAAACCAACTACTTAACTGAGTACTAGCATATAAGTAAAGAGCACCTCAGACTTCAATCCACAGGCAAAAAGGAAGAGCTGGATGGATGTAAAGGAACCATGAACAGGCTTCCCATTCCTAACATCCCATGCACTGCCAGTACGCACATAGGTATGAGAAGAAACAGAGCTCTATTACGTCTATCAGGTTCTAACATGCATGGGTGCTATCCATGGTGCAAATGGATCCTTTGCAAAATGTTTTTGAACTGAAGAATGCTCAGGTGTTTGTTTGTTTGTTTGTTACTTTGAACACTTTCCCCAGCATATCTTAAATAAAACCACAAGACATCTATACTAACTCCTGGTGAATGGCATTTATACCTCACACAGGAAAGCATTTAAATGACCACAGAAAATATATTGGAGGAAAGGCACTTTCGCGAATTAAGTGGGTACCAATTAAGATTTCAGGATAAAAGTTAGACTTGAGACAAGGTTTCACCTGTGCCAATGAAGCTGCCATCTAGCTGCTCTTAAATGGGCATGGATTATGGTACCTTTGTCCCACAGTAAGGACTATAAGACTAACAAATATTAAATATTATTTAATGCACCATTTAGGCACCTAAAATGACAGGAGTATTTTACAGGATCTTTACCATCTAAGGGAAGTAACTCCAAATAATCTGTTTTTCAGGAAGATGCTTTATAATACAGTTTATTTTACAGATAAGTTTACACATAAGACACACACAAACTTTTTTTTTAAAGGAAGCCACTTGTAATTTACCTATACCCCAGCCATGGGGAAAGAGGACTACAAGTTCTATTACAATCATTGCTTATAAACAGCATTTCCTAAATCTCTAGAAAAAGAAAGAAACTCATAAGCTTTAAAGCTTGCATAGACTGGCAAGTGAGTGCTAATAGCACAATCCTAAAGTTCTTTTTCAACATCAATAAAATAGTCCATTTTCTAGGGGGTAAAGAGCAGAAATATATCCCAACACAATATAGGACTTCCTATCATCCCCACAAATGACAGAAGTATCTACAATAACCCCCCAAAAGACACATGTTTATGTTTGGGTTAGCCATGCCCCAAGATGAATGGCACTGCCTGCAAACTTAAAAAAATTAATTTTTCCCTCAAGAAAGAAGACACACACACAATACTGTACATTCATTACTTGATTAACATTATGTCTCAAATGCAGCAGCAGCAACTCTTTTTTGTCAAAAGATATGGACATTTTTAAACTTCTAAACGCACCATAAACAACGCAAGTGTTGTGTTTTGTGTGTATTACAGGGACACACAAATTCAGGACTACTTCCCTAAATTTTATTAAAGGGATACTCCTGCAAGCCGTTTTTCAGGATAATCCTTTCAGTTTCATTATTTTATTTACAGCTGTAACTAAACTGTGAATTTTTACAAGTGAATGCCACAATATGGCAAGAAATTCTGTCTCACATTCTAGGGCAAAAGTGTACACACACACAGCCCCTCTCCCTCTATAAAACCTAATGTGCCTGGTCCTCCAAGACAACACACTCCTGTGTATTCCTCACAGTGCTTTTCACCTGCCACAGTATTCCACCCTCCCTGAAAAAAACACATCCTTATCTAAATGATGTTTACCAATGTTCCATAGGATTTACAGTACTTTCTTATGTATGTGCATGCAGCTGGAGTCTGACCCTGACGATCAAGAACACACAACTCCACTGTTAAAGAACATCAGCGCAGGCAATCATGACCCACGGGGGGGGGGGCAATTAGAATGGACGTTGTGGTGGCTTTCACAGAACCAAACAAAAAGGTGGGTGGGGTCTAACTCTGTTTGGGGGCCTTAGATCCCCTCCCTATTCCCTAAAGATAAGAAGAGTGCCTCTCTGGGGCCCGCAGCTGGAGAAAACTACACCATAGGCAGCTGCTTCGGCACAGAGCCTTATCATATACACTGTTGTCGTACTTGCTCCCCACTTCACACGACCCCTCCGGGATGAGGGCACCGGTCTTGGGCGTGTCAAAAGGTGCGCTTTTGAGAGCAATGCATGCGCCCTCCTGGCTTTGCAGCCGATCCTGCTCAAGGGGGCAGCTACGGCCAAGGCTACCAGGTGTGCAGGTGTGACCAAGCGCTGTTGGCATCCGCATCTGGCCGTAGTAGCACCTCTTCCCCCAGAGTAGCATGCGGGGTTCTTACATCAGAAAAACACAAGGGAGGGGAAGAGTGAGAAAGAGGCGGGGGGGGAGAGAACACGTCTGCAGCACTTATCGCAACTTACGGGTTCAGCAACTCCGTGGAGATCCCCACCCACACCCACCCTCGGTTTACCAACAGCTGGCGTTGAACGCAGCTGGTCTTGCGAGTCATGGCAACAGCCGAGACCCCACCCCAAGGAGTCCTTGCACCCGATACCGAGGGGGGGGGGTCGCGGCGGAGCCCCGGGCGCCCTACGAGGCCTCTCCGAGAGCCCACCCCGCCTGAAGGTCCTTGCCCGGCCTACTTCCCCAGCTCACCTTCCGCCAGCAGCTCCTCCACCGTGACCTGGAAGCGCCCCACGGCGAAGACCCTGCTGCTGCCCACGGCCGGCCCGCCTCCGGCCACAAAGCCCGACACGGCCGCCGACGTCCCTCCGCCGCCGCCTCCTCCGCCGCCGCTACTCGTGCTGCCTCCGGTGCCGTCAGACTTGGGCATGCGAGAAAACTTCTTCATGGCGGGCGAGGAGCTCGGGGAAGTAGACCCGAGGAGGAGCGGGGCGAGGGGGAGAAGAAGCCTCTGCCGCCGCCCAAGGAGCCGCCCCTTCTTCCCTCAAGGGCTGGGACCGCGGAGGCTCGCGCCAGTCAGTCAGCGCCCGGCCCCGCACTGGGGAGCCCCAGGCCGCCGCCGCCGCCGCCGCCGCCGCTACTGTGGGAACCTGCGCTTGACAACCCCGGCTCCGCCGCGCCTCACATTCCGGGAAGGAAAGTGGCGTGTTATGTGTGTGAGGCGAGCCGAGCCTCGGCCACCCCCGCCTGCAGCGCCGTATCTCTCCCCTTCTCTCACACACACGCGCGCGCTCTCGCGCCCGCGCTTCTTCCCTCACAGGGGAAAGGGGGAAAAAAAGAGAGACGCTGTGAGGGACGGAGAGACCCCTCCCCCTCCCGCTCCAGAACCAGGCTGCAGGCGCGCGCGCGCACACACACCCGCCGCCCTTTAACGTTCCGCCGCGCGCGCGTGCACGGCTGAGGGGAAGGACGAGAGGGAAAACCCGAACTGGATTTCATGGCCCCCCCTTCGCCCTGCTGTCAAATACTTCCAACGTCTCCCTGCTTGCTTTTTCTTTTTTTTAACCCCTTCGCGCAAGCCAGAGGAGTTGTTGTTGTTGTTGTGGGGGGGGCGGGGGAAAGAATCATTGCCCTGAGGGAAGGGAGGGAAAGGCGAGCCTTGCCCCCCCCCAAAAAAGGAGGTCTGCGCACGCGCGTGGCTGGCTCGTTACTTTTTTTTTCTTCCTCCTCTTCTTAACAAGTCCCCGCCCTCCTCGCAACGCCGCTCTGTGCTGCCGGAAGTGAGGTTGCCACGCCTGGGTAGCACGTGCTTGGGAGGGGTGGGGTGGGGGAAGCTTCGAGGGGGAACCGCTTTGGTTTGGCTGGCGCCGCCCATCTCTGCTTCAGCAGGCGCGGGCGCTCACGTGCTGCTGTTGCTGCCGCCGGGATTTTTTCCCCCCTCTTGCGAGGCGAACGTTCGAAATCGTTGGATGGAGCCGTTGGAAAAGGGCCGTTAGGCTAAAGGGGGGGCGGAGGGGATTGGGGTGGAAAGACTATAATGGCGTTTCTGGGCCGCTGGTGTTGCTGATGTTCTTATTTTACTTTTTATTTACAGTGGTACCTCGGGTTACAGACGTTTCAGGTTACAGACTCTGCTAACCCATAAATATTACCTCAGGTTAAGAACTTTGCTTCAGGATGAGAACAGAAATCGTGCGGTGATGGCAGCAGGAGGCCCTATTAAAGTGGTACCCCAGGTTAAGAACAGTTTCAGGTTAAGAACAGACCTCCAGAACGATTTAAGTTCTTAACCCGAGGTACCACTGTATTTTCGTTCGCTTTATATTTTTATGAAAAATCTCAAAGCGGTTTACAGCATATTAAATCAATAAAACATAAAAGCATCTGAAGAAAGTCAAATATAGAGTATACAGTGGTACCTCTGGATGTGAACAGGATCCGTTCCGGAGCACTGTTCACATCCTGAGCAGAACACAACCCGCATCTGTGCGGGTTGCGATTCGCCGCTTCCGTGCATGCGTGTGACATCGTTTTGAGTGTGCATGCGTGAGTGGCGAAACCTGGAAGTAACTCCGTTACTTCCGAGTCGCTGCAGAGCACAACCTGAAAACTCTCGACCTGAAGCGACTTTAACCCAAGGTATGACTGTACAGTGGACCCTCGGGTTATGTTACCTGTGGGTAGCGTAACTTTCGGGTTGCAAGCACTGCAAACTTCCGTATACTTCTGGGTTTTGCTCTGCGCACATGTGCAGAAGCACTCTATCACACCACACGTGTGCGCACAAGCGGCACCTCGTTGCGAACTTTTCGGGGTATGTAAGGACCCCCAGAACGAATTAAGTTCGTATCCGGAGGGTCCACTGTACAGTCGAAGCAACGTAACACAAAACTAAAATATGATCTTAAAAGATTTCAAAATAAAACATTACAAAGGAGGTCAAGTACAGAATACATACTTAACATTTATCTAGTACTGAATACTGCATGGCAGCAGATTTCCCTGCATTTCTTCAAAATCATACAAATAGATAATTTGTACTACTTACTGATGCAGAGAGTATGGACTTTACTCTTTAGTGTGCACCTGCTTTAAAAAGCAGTCTGCTCTCTGGCATCAAGCCAGAAATTAAAAATTGATAGATGGATCTTAGTTTCAACCGGGAATATGTCAGTTTCCCCTAAAAAAAAAAAAATGCAGGTTTGCCTTTAGGAACACCTAATATTTCTCATTTACTTTTTCTGAAAATAGTTAAAAGCTGGTGTTCCATATGTCCCTCAAACTTTTTAAAAAAAGAAACACCAAAAAACTTTGACTCAAAACTTTGATTTTGATAAGCTAAGAATGTACTGTACACCCTCAATTCTTTGCCAGAGCTTTAGCAGCTGCCTTCAGTTTTCCATTTGGCAGCTCTGAAAATTCAAGGAACTAATGGCACTTTACCTACTCAGTTGCCTTGGAAATAAGATGCAGCATATGCAGGTTGGATTTACATCCAAATATCACCACCTCCCCCCCCCCCCCCAAATCTGTAAGTAGTTTTTGCAATGTATTCCCAGAGTTTGTAATAATCCTCTAAGACTGATCTGTGCAAAACACATGCATACCCACAAAAGCAAAAGTCTATAGTGTTCCAAAATCTACTTCCTATTCCCAGGTTCAAAGCGAAAAATGGTTAACTGCTGGTTTCAGAACAATATTTATAAAGAAGCTAAAGAGTGGTTGAAGCAAGCCCTCTTTCAATTCCCCAGGTAACAAGTAGATTTAGAGAGCCTGAAAAGAAAGCCTAAGGTTTTTAAAGTTTTTTTTTTAAGTACCACTATTAAGGGGGTTGTAATAAATATGGCAAAGCTTATATTTGACCAAAATATTATGCCTAAACAAAATCAATTTTCTCCATACATCAACTAAAGCAGCAAAGGCAAAGGCTTCCTTAATGAAAATATTTATGCAGCTTGTGGTTGAGCACAGAACATTAATCCACTGGGGAGAAGCCTCTTCTTACTCCAGCCGCCTCATTAAAAATGCAATTTCTTATTGCCCAGTTCTCAAGTTCTCTCGACTACTTTGCATACAGTTTTACAGCTGTGTTAATCAAAATTATCAATCTGTAATTGGTAGGTAGCTTCCTATTGCCCTCCCTTTAAAAACAGGAACCATAATACTCAAATCATACCCAAGAGGAGAAATACTTGCCAAATCAGTATAATCTTAAACCTGGGAGCCATGGTTACATTTAAACAATCTGTATGTCGTGTTATCCTCCGTCAATGCCTTTAGAGCAGGTATGTTCAAAGTCCGGCCCAGGGGAACAGTTTATTTCAATCCCCCCCAAAATTCAACAACTTTGGTGTAAAACCGGAAAAGTTTGGACACCCCTGCTTTAGAGAGATGGCTCCAGCTTGCTTGCCCAAGATCTCTGCCATTCCAGCAGGTCCACTGGCACCAGGAACCAAGATGGATTTGATGCCACTCCAAAGGCTTTGAAAGCGAAGAGCCCTCATCAACCCAACAGACCTTGAGCAAAGTAAGGGTTTCCCCCTGCATGGCGTAGCATCCTACCAGGTGCATTGCGGAGGGAAGCATGACTGACTACACTGCCATGCAGTTCACCAGTGGAAACAGCCATGTCTCTTCCCACCCCGAACCTGTGTACCTGACAGGATGCTACTTTACATTGAAGTCCTTTCTCAGATGCAGTTTTGGGCTGAGAATCGGGGTGATCACTGCCACTGTTTTGCTATAGGGGGGTTAAGAGTGGGTGGGGAGCAGAGCAGGTGAAGGAGGGTGGCATGGGTAGAGTCTTCAAGGTCAGACGGAGAAGCCTGGAGCATCGTGTTAGGCCATGGGTAGGCAAACTAAGGCCCGGGGGCCGGATCCGGCCCAATCACCTTCTAAATCCGGCCCGTGGACGGTCCAGGAATCAGCGTGTTTTTACATGAGTAGTAGAATGTGTCCTTTTATTTAAAATGCATCTCTGGGTTATTTGTGAGGCCTGTCTGGTATTTTTTACAAGAGTAGAATTCATTCATTTTTTAATTTTAATTTTAAATATAGCCTGGCCCCCCACAAGGTCTGAGGAACAGTGGACCAGCCCCCTGCTGAAAAAGTTTGCTGACCCCTGTGTTAGGCCACTGGACGCAAAGTTCCCCAATCCCTGTTGTAAACAGTGTTGCATAGCTACTGAACGTGCTCTTTGGACTGTTACTGGTGCAGGGGGAGAGAGATTTCCAAAGAGACTTCCCTCCTGTGACTGTTGCCATTTTGGCTACATAAGTGATGGTCTTCTGAGAATTGAATAATCAGAATGGAGGCTATAGGGTACCTTTCCAGGAATCGCATCTTCCCCTGGGGCCTTATCACACAGCAGCTTGTAATTAGTTTCTCTATGTCAGGATTTATCTACTGGTATATGGGTCCATAGATCGGTATCACGGAAATTAACATTAAAATCTTGCAAAGCTAGATCAGGAAAGTCTTACCAAATACAGACAGGAAGTGTGATCTCCAGGCAGGTTGTGAAACACCGGTTGTTAAAATATTGTTATAATAATAAAAACCATAATTAACAATTTCTCAGATGTTGGCACTGTTTGAATTTCAGAACCGAGAGAAGCCCAAAGCTGCCTTTGGTAATCAACCTTCCTTTTCAATAGAAATTTTTATTCCTTTTTTGCTTTCTAAGACCCTGGTGGACTATTCTTTCTTAGCTGATTTGCACATTATCGAATCATAAAGGTTTGAAAATTGGTTTATTGAAGCTGGGACCACAGGAGCTGGCTTAATATTTTCCCGCATTTGTTGAAAAGTACCATAAGACTGGAAGAAGCCAAATCTTCAGTTTAAAATCTGATACACAAGGGTTATAGGATCAGATGTTAATAGGTTACTAATATCCACCACAGGCCCATCTCAGTGAAGATATTTAGACTATGAAACTTCTACTGCTATCATATTTGGAATTACAACATTCCCATATCAGAATATTTTTTAAATTGGCTTTGATTGCCTATTGAATGCTGCTTCCATTTTGGTGGTATATCAGATCCCCAAAACTGTCAATAACATATGCATAGCACAAGCACTGGTGGCAGAAATATGTGAATATTTTCCATAACAGTCAATGGGACTTCTTCCACTTAATTTTTTTTGATGTAACATAGGGCCCATTCCCACATTATATTATGTGTGTAACTTGCAGTCATGTCAGGAGTTTAAAAAAACTAATTAAATGTGCAGTTCTCAGTTAGGGTTGCCATATTTTGACGGGCAAAACAGAGGACACATTTGCCGACTTACACTTTTGACTATGGATCTCTATGATGACTCTCATCATGAAAAAGAAGGTGTGTCCTGGAAAAAGAGGACATATGGCAACCCTAGTTGGGAGGATTTAACCTTTCCCAGCCCACCTGTGATTCCAGTGAACATTACCTACCCCATGCTGCAGTTAGTGATGGGGAAAGCACCAGTTCTAGTGCCAACAAAATACAAGAATCCTTAGATTTCATTAGAGGAAGGGGGGAAATGTCCATTTCCCTCAAGTCCCAGTTTTGCTGTAATAGTCTTGGTATTCCTGCCAATAAATATACCAGCCAACGTTGTAACAGTTTGGATAACTATCCTTGTGAGTTTCAATCAGAAAAAAGCAACATTTTTCTAAACAGCATCAATAAAGTACTTGGAATTTATAAGGGGAATATAAACATTGATTAAAAACTAAGACCATCTGTCTTCATTCTGGATCTTATCTGTGATGTTTATATTTAATGTGTAGTCTTGAGTTGTTTAAAATAACTTACCCTTTTTTCCCCCTTCTGCAACTAGAACTTATTCCTAGGAAACAAAATTTCATCAGTGTCAGGCTCAGTGACCCAAGATTGCTGGAAAGAAACATGTGTTACATCACACTTTTGTTTTTTGAAAAACTGAAAATTTCACAATTGCTCGTACAAGGAGACTTCCAGGCTGGTTGGTTGAAATGTTGCAGCTGCTGAAAGGATCTCCAGAGATGGGGTGTGATCCACCTGCTTCCTTGCCACAAGAGGGGAACTGGATGGTGCACAACTTGAGTTACTGCCATAGGAAAAAATGAGCATTATGAATTAATCACACGTGTTCCTTAATTTAAACTATTCTCTTTTATTCTAGAGTCCCATACAGTGTTAGGGAGAATAGTTTCCTTCATATACAGTACCTCAGTTCTGCAAAGCTACTTTTTCTGCAAATAAGCATATACCAATGTACATTCTTCTGCATTTTCTCTTTGTGTTCTGAGAAATAACTTTTATACAATCACAAAGAACAAAAATGGTGCAATCCACTCTCCCTTAGCTTATCAAATGTTCCTTCTTTAGCTCTTTTGCTGATGTCCCTGGCTTATGTACAGTTTCAGTTACAGTTACCAGCCTCCACATCAAATGTTTACTTTTACTGCGGCAACTAACGAAACACACAGGAGTCCTACGGTTTTTGCTCATGTTGGGAGCATAATGTTAAAGATCCAGTGTGGTCCAAGAGATAAGAGCCCAGGCTTACTTCAAATTACATCATAGCAAGCAGGCATACTCAATGGGCTTTGCAGACAAATTATCTGTCAATTTCAGTTTCCCATCTGTAAACGAAATAAGCATCCAGCTCACATTGCACAAAGCAAGCATGATGTAAGGGAGGCCTCAAACCAGGAGTGTAGCTGGGACTCTAAGGCAAAGGCTTTAGTCCTGTGGCAAGCTAGCTGGGTTTTTGCAACCCCAAGTGCTTTTTTTTTAAAAAAACACCTTTTTACTTAGGTATTTATAGGATGTGCACAGGAAGGCAATGACGCTCTGGTTGCTACTAGCTCTGCTACCTTTTGACCGTCTTCAGCGTGGTATACTGAATTACTGCAAGTTACTTGTGATCATTTTATTAAGGGAAGAGACCCTCTGTACTCGCTTGGCTGTCTAGCCACTTAGGAAATACTTTTTATAGTTATTAATCACAAGGAGGACAGATGTGGACTGGAACCTGGGGAACACATTGATGCTGGTTCCTGTGGGATGCAAGTACTTGGCAACAGTAATTCTATGGAGGAGTTATTTTTTAGTCATGGCCTCTAGAGGTTCCACAGTGATTTAGCTAAGGAGTTAGCATTGCTGTGCTGACAGCTGCTCCCCATCTATTATTGCCTAATTTCTAAATGATGATATATTGAAGTTTATAAAGCCATGTAAAAGAGAGATCTCTGGTGTGTGTGTTTGGTATTATTTTCCATGTTTCTATTCTATTTAACTTGAAGCATAGGAAACTGGCCGTTACCAGGTCAGACTATAAGTCCATCCATCCCAATATTGCATATTCTGGCTTGCAGCTGTTCTCCAAAGTCTCCCTACAAAGGTCTTCCACATCACTGACTACTTGATCCTGGAAGCGTCAGAGTTGAAACTGGGACCTTCTCCATGGAAAGGAAACCGACAAGGAGAAAGTTCTGAGCTATGCACTCCTATAATATCAAGGTCAGAATTTGGCCAGGTCAGAAAATATCGCATCGCTTCTGTGTACACATTCCCTGGCAGCAGAACTGCATTGCAAAATTCAGAGGCAGGCAAATTTCAAAGGACAGCTATGTTTCAGCTCACATCTTGTGTGAGAAAGTGTGGGTTTGGCAGGTTCATCTTCAAAATCAGTCGAATTTCTCACCCAGCCCTAATACTGACATCAAATGATTTCCTAGCTAAGGTGAGATCAAAGCCAGAGACATTAAAGCTTGCTGATCTGTAAACTATGCTACAGCTGGGAAACAGGTAAATTCTGCAAAATGTGAAACCTAGCCCATTTAAAGTGCTATATGTTCAAACCAGAGCACTGAATTGTCCCTGAGAGACTTGAAAAAGCCAGTGGAAATGGAAACCAGTGCTAATGCACCTCTACTGCCCTACTCCCATTGAAAGGCAGGCTGCTGCATTCTGGGCCAGGTATCAAAGGATGCACATACCTGTATAATCTAGTCAGCCTTAACTATTGGTTAAAGCAAGCTTTTAAAAGTTTAATTCTGGACTGGATGCATGTTTAAAGGATACCTAGAAAAGCCAGGACCAGCCAGTAAAATCACACATACACACCATTCAATTTTAAAACCGTGCCTACTATTTATTCTTGTTTCACTTTATAATAGCCATGGCTTCGCTTCAGCCTGCTGTGCCATCAGCAATTCTTTATCCTTCATCAATCCCCAAGGAGCTGTGGTTCAACCCATCACTGTTTAGAACAGGGTGTCAGCTACATAATGACACCAAACACTTCTATAGCCCCTTTCATCTTCAAAGCCATCAAGCATATTAACTTAACTCATTTCCTTGGGAAGTGAGTGAGTAACAAGGTGGCAAGGAATGGACAGAGCTCTGTGTTTTGACTGTTAAATACAAAAACTTCAACATGAAACACTATTCTGATACAGTTAAACTTAAAATGTCCACGGAAATCTTTGTTATCCAAATGACCTAAATTTACCAAAAGACACTGTAATAATAATGCTTCCTGGCTAGTAAAAAAATAATAATAAATCATTTTTTCTGTTGTGGAGAAGTGGAGAAATGAAGCATTTTGAAAACAACAGCAACAACTAATACATCCATTGTCTCCTTAGCATAGTGGAAAATATTAATCTTCCACTTCAGACTATTGGCTCATGTCACTAATGCAATTTTGACTAGCAGAGGTCTTTCCTATCCCTGTTTCCCATGGTCCATTTTAGTGGAAATATTGAGTCAAATCTGGTGCCTTCTGCATGCAGAACTACCTGTTTCTTTACTTAGTTACAGCTCCTCCTATCAAGGCCTGTTCCAGAGATGAGTGAGATCATGAATTTATTGGGAACTCAAGAAGAATGAGGAACCTACTGCCCCAACAGCAACCGCACAGCATCCCAAGAAAATCAGAAGGGATTCCCAAGCTTTCAGGCACCACATTTTCTAAGTTAAAGAGTGTGGGCCAAATATCCCTTTCTATGGGCCCCACAAAACCTGGCACCGGAACTGTCTTCAACCCATAGTTCAGGAAAATTGTCACTTGGATGTTGTCATACTGACACCTTTAAATATATTATTGATTTATGCAACACATGAACATTTCACCAAAAGTATACATGCTCTGCCCACAGCAACTTACAAGCAAAAAGCAGAAGATCCCAAGAACTGGAGTAGGAGAGTTCGCAGGCTGAAAAGCAAAGTGCATTTGCTGGCAATTCTTTCCCTTCTAAGCTGTAAAAGCAGAGGATGGGAAATGTTGCCACAAAACACGAAGCAATATAGTACAGGGGAGCTCCGGGCCCTGTGCATTCTGTTAAACACCTGAGCTTATGCGGCAGGTGCCTAAGGCAACTTAAATTAATTGGGTTTCCATTAGAAGCAGGGCCTATTTACTAGTGGTACCATCTCTTTGGAAAGTGTGCCCCAGGCAGGCCTGCCTGCTCCCAACTTGGAGAGCCCTCAACAGCCAGATAAAATCTGGGATCTTTCAAGAAAGCTTTGGGGATCTTCTGACCTCTATATTCATTGCTTTCCAGCTCTAATGGCCCTTCCCTTTTCATTCATTACTGCATGGTGATGTGCATGGGCTGTTTTAAGTGTGCTATTATCTTCGTTCTGCTGTTGTGTTAGTTTGTTTGTCATTCGTAGAAATTGGTTATTCTCTCAAAGTGCAATTCTATGTGTGTCTGCTCAGAAGGGAGGCTAATTGAATCTAAAAGGTTTTACTCCTAGCCTTAATCTTGTTTTGCTAGCTGTGTTGTGTTTTTCAAAACTGAGATTTGATTTTTTTTTTAAGGAATAGCTAAATAGCAAGTTGCCTGATATAAAGTCAGTCCATTAGTCCATCTAGCTGAATATTGTCTACACTGACTGACAGTGCCTCTCCAGGATCTCTCTCCAACCAGGACTCTGAAGTGCCCCCAATCCGAGCAATCTTGAAGTTACTGCCAATCAGCTGATCAGAAACTCTGAGTTTAGTTGATCCCAGCAGTGCTTGAAGCCATCATTACTCAGCTGATAAGCACTGTCTTGAATCCTGGCTTTTGGGCAGGAATCACACACCCTCCAACATTTATCCAGTAGTGATGTCCTATTCTACACCCTCCAACACTTCTTTGATGAAAATAGGGACATCCTAAGGAAAAGCAGGACTTTCTTGGGATCAAATCAGAAATTGGAACGGTTTCTGTAAATCCGGGACTGTCTCTGGAAATTAGGGACACTTGGAGGGTCTGGAATCAGCTCCACTTGGGAATGCCAATTGGGAACTCCCCAGCTGAATCAAACCCAGCAGAACTTGCCTTTGGCACCAAATTATACAGCCCCAAATACAGTCCCGTCCCAGAGGCCTCCTGTGCCCACAGTGGCCTTACAATCCTGCTCAAACCTTCTGCCTTCTATTGGAGTGGGAGAGGTTATCTGAATCCCCGAATGCTTATCCCTGTGTTGTGCTGATCTCTACATTTCACTCACAGGAGCAGGGTAGACTGGTTTATTTCTACTTACTTGGCAGCCCTAAGTATTAAGGTCACAAGTTTTGCAGAATTCTGGCTCAGAATATACATGCTTTCAGGAACCCCAAGCACTTCGTCCCCAACAGTAGCCTTAGACAGATTACGGCAGAACTGCACTCATAAACTTGTTTTCTTTTATTTAACTGTGCAGTTCCAACACAATTTCCACCTTTATCTTTCAACCTTGGCCAAAGGCCACATGAAAGTCTCTTCTTACCTAGCCCATTAACTTCCTGATTGTCTCCTTAGGAACAGCAAAGGCAGCAGGTGATTATGTAAACACCTGGGCATTCCAATCCCCAGCACATCCTGCTGAAACAAGTCCTGCTGACTTGATATAAGGCAGAAAATGTAAGCCAAAGGATTTTTGAGGACTGGCATGCATTTTTCAATAAATCACAGCACCGATCAGTCCCAATCATTTGTGAAATAACCACTGGAGCTGGTCCACAAATACATGTATATTAATCTCCCATCTGTAGAATATTAAATGTTTCCTGGCAGGTACTCAGTCCATGATTTGGAGTTATCACCTTCACCTCCCTTTTCCTCCTTCTTCCTCCTTTTTTCTGCTCTCCTTGCACACAGACCAGCCCCATTTCCATGCCTTGCCCTCTCTCCTATTCTGCACCCCCCCTTTGCACAACTCCCTCCGCCAATGATGATACATGTCACTGTATATTTAAGATGAAAATAATATTAAGAGCTAGCCTGTTAATTTGGAGAATGTTCAGTTCAGATGATGGCTAGGGGACATACCTGGGTGTTTGCTTGCTAATAAATTATCGCTTCTAAATCACTAAATTGAATCCGAAACTTTATGCTGAAGACAACACAAGGTACCAGAAGTGAAATACATTGTATGTATGTACTATGGAATATTTGAGGATTTCACGTCTGTTATCTTTCTCACATTGGGAAGGTGAGTAATGGAAGAGGGAGAGGTCTGAATACAGCAGGAAGGAATGGACACTGAAAGGAAAATAGTGGCTGATAAAACAATGACAAAATTGGAGTAAAGCAGAGGTGTATAGGCACTGAGGAATGTGGGTTTTTTTAAGGAGACAAACCAGGTTTAACAAGGAGAAATAGCAGAGATAGGGACAGCGCAGAAGCCAACAAACACCAAAAAGCTAACACAACAGAGCCTTTCCAAACCAGCTTCTCACTCTACTCAAACCTTGTTTTAAACTTCCACTTCCCTCACACAATATCACCACCTGCTCACTCTACTCAGACCTCTGCCATTTTAAAAATTGCCACTTTTTCACCTCAGTGTTTCTACCTCCATGCTTTATTCAATCCTCTGCTGCTATTTAAAATCACCATTTCCCACTCAGTGGCCTTCCATTCCCACTGGAAAAAGTTAGCATCCCCTGTATTAGATTTTAATTCTTCCTTTTTTTATGTAAGATTTGCCTGAAAAGAGATGGATCAATACCTTAAATAAACAAGTGAATGATAAATTCCCACACATCCACGTAGGAAATTCTGTTTCCCAAACCATTTTTGAGCTAATGAGTAGCTACAGAGAGCTGAATGATGTGTTACTTTCCCACTAAACTGGTTAGTGATCAGGTTTTCAATGATTAAAACAAGACATTCATGGCAAGGGAAAGAGGGAGTCTAGAAAACAAACCTTGCTGCTTCTATTAAAGGAGAAAGGAAGGAAACAAGAGAACACATCATTACTGGCAAATACCCACAATTAACCGTCAGCATTGGAATGTGTTGCATAACAAGTCTCTAATGAGGTTTCTAACGATATAATCTTGACTATTATGTAAATAAGGTATACTTATTGTACAGCCAGGTACTTAAGTCCTTGTTAAAATGCAGATGCAGTCCTGACAGGAAGTTACCCTTCAGGCAAACTGGAGGTGACTTCCAGATGTTCCCTACTCCATTTCCCTCAGCCCCAGACGGCATGGCCAATAGTCAGGGGTGATGGGGACCCTGATCCAACATCTGGTGGTTGGAGAAGGCTGCTCCAAGCTGTACTGTGGAGCCAGAAATGTACCGTATTTTTTGCTCTATAAGACTCACTTTTTCCTTCCTAAAAAGTAAGGGGAAATGTGTGTGCATCTTATGGAGCGAATGCAGGCTGCGCAGCTATCACAGAAGCCAGAACAGCATGAGGGATTGCTGCTTTCACTGCGCAGCAATCCCTCTTGCTGTTCTGGCTTCTGAGATTCCTTGTTTTCCTCCTCCAAAAACTAGGTGCGTCTTTTGGTCTGGTGCATCTTATAGAGCGAAAAATACGGTATTTTGTTATGCAAATGGTCCTCCCCTGCCACTTCATGAGACGTTAAGCTTCATAGCATGAAATACATTTATTTCTCAACGTATTTGTATTAAAACTGGGCTGAATACCACACACGACTTTCTCAGGACCATTTAGCCCCCACAAAGCAAGCGGAAAATATATTCAGAGGCTTTTCTGAGAGCCGGAGAATTGTTCAAGTGCCTGGGTTTCTCTCCCTGGTCCTTTTATTTTTATGGTTTTTTAAGTCTTACTGCTAGTTGAAGTGGCAGCTTCACTGTTCCACCATGTTCCTGGGATAAAATGCCCCAGGGAAAGACTCTGATGTAGCGTCATTCCTAGGCAAGGGGGTGGAGGAATGGGGTGGACAGACAATGCTCAGCTTTAAAGCAAAATCAATTCCCCCAAAGAAAAGAACATGCCTTGCAAAATCTTCGGAGCAGGATTGCCAAACAACCAAAATCCTGCAGGGCTTTTTGGGTGAGTTTTGGTGACGTCCACTGAGA